AGGCGTCAATTTGAGCGGAAAAAAATTTTGGGGGGCGTTTTTTTAAATAATTCTGTGATTTTTGGAGGCGTTTTCAAATTTCTGTGAAGGACGGACTAAGAAAAAACTGATTTTCAAATTCTGTGATTTTATTTTTAATGGACAGTTTTTTTTTGTAAGGAAACCACTTTTTTGAACGATTACTCGATTTTTTCAAACCTAACTTAGTAATCAGTTAATCGTCACTTTTTTCATCGAAAACCAGATTTTTCATTTCTGTAGTTCACGGAGAGTTTTTCACTGTCCTATCATCAAATCCCCATTATTTTCCCATCCTTCTTGTCGAATCGAAATGAATGAATACCCAATTTGATACGAAATGAATAAGAAGACGTCGACGACGCGCTCCGGATGAGATATTCATTTGGGTGGAAGATGACGAGATGAATCCTGACGTGACCTTGCCGTCGTCGCGGCTTTTGACGTCTTCTATTCATCTTTGAAGTTATGGGAACTCGAGAAACATGAGTCAGCCACCTGCTCCGAAGGGAAATTGGGACACTTTATGAGTTTTTGGAAACGGAATTTATGGTTTTCCTTCGAATGGAGTTAAGTGTATACACGCAAGATGAATCACGGTATAGCGACATCGTGACAAAAGCCACGCGATATCGTCTAGGAATACTTTGCCGTATCGCCGTCATCTTGCGCGTAGAAAGAAAAGGATTTCCTTTGGAGTTTCAATTTCCAGAAATACTATGATTGAACCTACCACCACCAAAACCAATAAAAAATCACTCAAAAAAAAAAACCCAAAGAATATAAGTTTTTGAGCTTTTTGTACATCCTTAATAGGGAACTTTTTTTACCCCGGTCGAACTTTTGATGAAACTTTGCTGGTGTACTTTAGGACCCCCTGATTCCAGAACAAAAATAGAATTTCTTGCAATAGATCTCGTTTTCGAGTTAGAACACTTCAAAAGCTCAAAATAGCGCCTTTTTGTCATAATTTGCGTATTTTGCGGACTTTGAAGCTCCATAACTCGAAAACGAGATCTATCGCAAGAAATTTTTTTTTTGTTCTGGGATCAAGAGGTTCTAAAATACATTTCAGCGAAGTTTCATCAAAAAGTTTTATCAAAAAAACCGCGGGGGGTAAAAAAACCTTCCCTGGGAAGTCCCTGTGGCGCTTACCAAAAAAACATTCTTTTCGAAAAAAAAAAGGAATTCGGACCAGATTTGCAATTTTCCCTCCCGAAATTCAGAGAAAAAATGGTCCTGACACGACTAGATTAATAGTGCCTGAAAAACAGGAGACGTTACAGTAGTCTCTGATTTTGTATTTTTGAAAAGAAGGAAGAAACAGAAAAAAATACTTGAAAAAGCTGTTGAAGTCATGAGTTTCCATTTTTTTATAAAAAAACAAAAATTAATTTTTCCTGTTGTTTTTTTTCACTTTGCCAATTCCTTTAGAATTTTTGAACAGAAAAAAAATGCACAGCTCTTTTTTTCTGCCGAAATTTTACGAGTTTTCGTCGTCTCCTAAAAGTTTTTAATCAAATATTGGTTCACATGTACGAAAGAAGAAAAAAACACGCGTTCCCCTTTTGATGACGGATATTTTATGGGAATGGCTATGGAAATGGCCTTACTTTTTTTTGAGTTTGGAGGGTTTTTACTTAACAGGGTTGTGAAGAAGGGTACATGAAGTCTGAGGGCTCTTTTTTCAAGATCTTTCAAGAAAAATCTGTATAAAAAAGTCTCGATACGTAATAAAGTCGCACTGTAGTTGAAGTTTGATGTTTTTTGCTTTTTTTTAAAATCTTAATTTAAAGTGTTCATTTTTCTTTTTTTGGTTTGAGGATAGCTTCAAAGATTGATAAAATTTTTTGAAGCTTCTCTTTTTATTTTCCCTGACCCTTTTCCTCCAAAAATCAAAGAAGCTATTAAACTTCACAATCTATTTTTTTTTCCTCCTCACTTTCCCAAAACATTTCTCGGCAAGACATTTGAGCGACAAGATCGAGTTGTTTGATAAGGCCGATGAGATATGACGGCAATTTTTTTTTTTTTAAGGTTCTAAGTTTTTCTGACTGATGTGTGAGGAAACATGGAAAATTAGTTTTTATTGGATCTGTATTGGATTTTTCGGTGCTTCTGGTGAAGAATATAAACGAACAGACCATATTCAAGCTCCCCTTTTTTATTCTTGGCAATACTACCTTTCCAGGGTAAAACTTATTTTTATACCTTACTTTCCTTTTTTAAGTCAACTTTCTGGACTAATTAGGATCTTCACTTGATGCCTATGTATGGGAAAAACGGGTTACCTGGGGCTTTTTGTTTTCAATTTCCAATTTAAGTACTACTGTACTACCATCTAGAGCACTACTACAAGACTACAGTATTCCAATTTACAGTAATACTACAGTACTACCAGTTGAAGTAATACTATATCGTAGGGTAGCGTCCCAAGGGGGGCGGGGACTACGTCAATTTCACTTTGACAACTTGTGGCTTTTTTTAAAATTTTCCAGTAAAGTACTACAGTACCACCGCCCACAGCACTACTACAGTACTTCGATTTACAGTAACACTACAGTAACAGGGGGGGGAGCTACAAAGTTACTCACACGGAAAATTCGAAACTTTGAAAATTGATATCGCAAAAACTGGAAGTCTGTGCAAGGAGCCATTAAGAAGGATATACACCTAGACATTTAAAGAGTGATTGAAAAGGTTTTAACAAATTTCACACCGGCAAAAGTAAAATGACCCCCCTCTCCCCTGTCAGTATGTCAAAAACACGGAAACTATAGGTAAAATGACCTTTTTACATGTGTAACAAGTACGATGATATCGGAGCCGCGAACACAGATACGAATGTTGATGAGCGGGCCAGTTTTTTTGGGGGGTCCAATCTGTAATCAAGGCGCAGGTGATGTCATCACACGCCGCCGTTTGAAGTCTTCCGCCGTGGGCCTTTTTTTTGGAGGCAAACGGAGGTCGACAAGGCGGCCAGATAACGTGACCTTCTCGCACTCTGGCGCCGCTCAGATCTCGTCCATAAATGGGAATTGGGCGGTAAAATTGCCATTTGGTTCAGTTGCCCGATCCTAATTTGTTAGTTTCCGGTTTGGGGCTTTTTTTAGAGTTGGTTCAAGCTTTGATGTGTGGGAACCTGAGAAAAAGTTTCATTGGAAAGGCATTTTTCATGGTAAAAATCCATCTAATTTGAGAAAGTTCTATTTTTATCATTGGAGCGTAGTTGAAGCTGTCTAAACGCCTTCTGAGTAAGTGAAAGCCCGATTTTATTATGAGTAGCGTATTTTGAGTTCAATTAAGGAGTAGAAATGTTCGAAACCTTGACTTTATAGATGGAGCACACTTGGAGCTAAACAGGGCGGCTTTTTTGATCCGATTCTCTGAGAATTGGGTGGTAAAACTGCCATTTGGTTCAGTTGTCATTTCCAATCTTTTAGTTTTCGGTTAAGAGTTTTTTTCAAAGGTTGTTTCGGCTTTGATGTGGGAAAAGCTAAAAGAAGAGATTCTACAGAAGATGTGATCTCATGATGGGATTTGAATAAACGAGTTCTCGGACATCGGTAACGCAAACCGGACGCGCTCAGAACGTTTCTGAGCATTCCTAGTAATCACTCAAGAGGTTTGACGTCACTAAAGTGATCCCTAGATATGCTCAGAAACGTCCGACCGAGCCCCGAGTAGTTCTCAATGGAGCACTGTTTAAGTTCCGTAGGGCGGATTTTTGACCCAATTTTCTAAAAGCTGCGTGGTATTTTCATCGTTTGCCTGGAGTATTTAGTTTCCATTTAGGGTTTTCTTGAGGCATTTTATGAGTTGCTGACACGAATCAAATAAAACCTGGTGAACTGGAAAGTTTGAGATTGCAAACAGAACTCTTTTTGAAAAGAAAGATGATCGATTTTGGATTACATCGTACATCTAGAGGAATTGTTATCTTCGAGACGAGGTGCCGAAAACCTTTCATTGATGTGTATAAGTCTCAATTAAAGGTTTTCGAGCTACTCTAGTTTATTCTTTGAAAAGCCCCTCTTCCGTTGTTTAAGACATTTTCGAAGCCCACCGAGAATATTTTCTGACTCTTTTTCAGCTTCATTTTGTTAGATGAGAGCCTAATTGAAACTGAGGAAAATACTTTCAGAGTTTATTTTGAATCTACCCTGCTGAGTTTCGTTGAAATATTATTACTGAAGTTGAGGATTCTATAGGAAATAATATTCCCTCAGTTAAGCCTTAATGGTCTGAAAAATATAGCTAACTTATTGGAATGAGAACAATGTTAATAAATAATAAGACGAAGCCGTTTTTTTCCATTTTTCTATGAATAATATTTTTTTCATTCACAAAATGAGCAAAAAAATGCTCAAATTAAAAATTTTTTTCGGGCTCTTCTTATCAATAAAAAAATTAAAAAAATTAATTCTTTCCAATTTTTTTGGCATTTTATTTCTCAATTTATAAACTCAAAAAAAGCCATTTTGAGTTTTGAAATTTTTGAAAAAAATCTTTTTTTCCCTTTTTGGAAGCTTCTGAACTGAAAAAAATCTTTCTTCAATTAAGGTCTTCTTTGGGCTAAATTAGGTATGTTTTTACCAGTTTTCCAGTTGATACTTTAACTATTTGATGTCTTAAGAGTATAATTTTCATAAAATATTAAGAGATCCACTGGATTTTCAAAGTTAGAAAGGATTAAAGAAAAAAAAAGCTTCTAAAATAGTTTTTTTGAATTTTTCACTTTTAATAAATCTTCATACAGAATTTAAATTTTTGCGCGTTGACCAAGAAAATAAGTCCTGAAAGTAATTCTCCCATGAGATCAACCTCATTAGTGTCGAATTTCTCACACCGAAACGAAAAGCGAAACAAGTGGGCGTGGCTTGAAGAAAAAGTAGGCGGGGCTTCTTCGAGGCATGCGCCCCGCCGCAAAAAGTCCACTCGGTCATTAATTTCTGTTGTACTTTCTGCTTTTGAAAATAATCATGAAACGGAAACCTAAAATACTGGTGAAAAAAGAGGAAGGAATCTGCTATAAACCTTCGATTCAATCTTATTCGGCTGTTTTTATTATTACGACTCTGGTTTATGTGCGCTCCATCGATGCGGAATTCGTCTATGATGATCGGTTGGTTTTTTGGAATTTTTTGATTTTTGGTCGCATTGGGAATGGCTCAACGCGTTGCGGTTTTTTCCCTTTTCTTCAAGCTTAAAAATAGGGTACTTTATGATTTTTTCAATAGATCTCAGTAACATTTTTAGTCATTCTGAATTTTTTTTTAGAACAGCTCTCTAGGGACCACTTGGACTTATAGGCCTAGACCGAGCATCTGATCCGGTTTATTGATTTTTTAAAATCTCTTCTTGGACTCAAGTAAACCCTGCCCCTTTCTCAAAAGAAAAATGAATATTTTAACTGAAAGCTCTGCAGAAATGGAGTGGTCCTCACGGAGATTAGGGATTTCTGGACGTTTTTGGAAGATTTTTTGCGAGTTTCGAAATTACAAAGCAAGATTTTTGCAACTTTGACAGGATTTTTTTGAAGTTTCTTCTGAATTTCTTAAGAATGACGGCCTGAAGATACAAAATTTTTTTCATGATGTTTTTTTCTTGCTGCGCTTCATTGAGAAAACTGGAATGATCAAATTAAGCTCACGACCTGGATTTCCAAATCATTACGACGGCCTGAAATTACAAAAGTTTTTTTCATGACATAATTTATTTTATACAACTAAATACGGACGACCAGGACCGTTAAATTAAGTTGATGACCTGGATTTCCAAATCATCACGACGGCCTGAAAAATACAAATTTTTTTCCATGATATAATATCTTTTTACAATTAAATACGGACGACCAGGACCGTCAAATTAAGTTGATGGCCTGAATTTCCAAATCGTTACGACGGCCTGAAAATACAGTTTTTTTATGATTTTATTTATTTCCTACGAGTAAATACGGACGACCAGGATTGTCAAGTTAAGCTCATAACCTGGATTTCCAAATCATTACGACGGCCTGAAAATACAAATTTTTTATCATAATGTTATTTCTTTTTACAATTAGATACGGACGACCAGGACCGTTAAATTAAGTTGATGACCTGGAATTCCAAATCATTACGACGGCCTGAAAATCCAAAAGGTTTCTCTAACTTTCATGCTAATTTTCAACATTCAAATTCTTCAGAAACCCCAATAAAAGTTCATTTTGAGCCAATTTTTTGATTCATTTTTTCAAGCTCCATGCTCATTTCCAAGTTCTCAAAAGCTCCTCACGAAGCCCAAAAATAATTCATTTTGAACCAAAAAGCCACCAAAATTCGGAATTTTCGTGCCAAAAAGTCATTACGACTGGTGTCCTCACACATGTGGTTCGCATCAAGATGGCAAAAAGTCGTAGAATTCCGAAAAAAATGGCCGAAGAGAAAGAAAAGAGAGAGAGAAGCCTAATTTCCACCCAATTTTGTCTCTTTTTTCCTCCGTCCATTTTTGCTCTGGAAAAAAAACCGGGGAACAACTAGAAATGCATTGAAAAAGGAGAAGAAGCTGAGCAATTCTTCTTCTTCTCGAGTCAACAAGAGGAAACAAGTGGCCATTGTTTTTGGCCGACGAGACGCTGCAGGAAAAGCTTCTCAATAGTCAGGTGCAAGAAAAATATTAGTTTTTAATGAGGGGTCAGTTTCTGGTTTTCAAATTGTAGTAGTCATTTTACAAAGGATTTTTTTGAGAAACAATTTTGGAATTTTTTTGAATTTTTGCTAGATTTTTTTCGGATTTTTGCCAGCAAGTTTTGACCTTTTTTTGGGCGTTAAACTTCGATTAAAAAGTATTTTTTGGTTTTCTTGATTTGGAAACCTGGTTTTAAGCTAATAAATCCTGGTTTAAGCTCAAAAAAAGCAAAAATTCGGCGAAATTTTTGGAATTTTAGGCCTTTAAAACATTCACTTTACGGGTTATCAAGTCTTGGGCCAATTTTTCTTAAAAATTAGGAATTTAGAGATTTCTGGAGGTGGATAAGATGAAGGAATTATTCGAATTTTGTTCCTTTTAGGTCGTTTTTCGCCAATTTTTCAGTTTTTCAATGGAAAATTTGAAGTTAAACAACAGAAAACTTGTACGTAGAGGTACATTCTAATCAGCTGATTGAGAGATTTGAATAAATGAATTAAATAAATTCTTGAATAAACGGCGGTTTTCGCGTTCAATTCAATTTATGGTAATTCAAACTGAAATCTACAATTTTCGTGGAAAAAACAGAAGGTTTTTGAGTCTTTGAGGCTTCATAACTCTACTTAAAGGCGAAATTCGGACTCTTTTCTGATGAATTCTGACTCAGCACGTCTGAGAGTACCTATATGCCGATTATAGCCAAATTTTGAATACTAACACCTTTTGTACGTTTCCTACAAGTTTGCAAGTTACAAGTTCATTAAGACTATAAAAAAGACTACTGTTTCTGCTTATTATTTATTTCTGCAGTCCTAGAGCACTTGAAATCACGATTTATAGCATTTTCCTACCGTAGGAAAATAATTAAAAAAAGAAAAATATCTCTGAAAAATCTGAAAAATAATACACGAAAGTGCTCCTATACACAGTAAAATCGAATTGGATACCTTCAAATTTTCCCTTTTTATAAATTTTCCATGTTTGCAAACATGGAGCGAAAGTAATGCTGGGATAATCTTTCCGGATTGCGACACCCTGTCGAGTAAGGTGGCATGTGTTGATCTCCAGCCCGAGCCAAAAGTCAAACATTCGATTACGCGAGAGAGCCGTTGAGCCCTTCTCCCGGCTCCGGTTACCTTCCTGAGCCGCCCAGCTAATTGGCTCGAGCATCGTTGTTGGCATATGAATATCCAGTTCGGAAGCCTTATTAACCACTACGACGTGTGTACTTTCATACTCCTCCAATCTCAATTAGTAGTGCGGATCAGAAGGGAGAGTTCTAATGAGCCGCGGACTTTTGGAATCGCTGAAAATCCCACTTTGGGGTTTTAAAGGAGCATACACTACTTCAGAAATCATCCCGAGACGAAAGTTCCTTTTCAGCGTGACTTTAGCCTATTTGATGAAATTTTGACTTGGAAAGCGAGTTGAACTTTTTAGGGCTTTAGAAATACGAACCAACGGGCCACATGACCTGGAATTCCAAATCAAACCGCCTAATGACCTGGAAATCCAAATAAAGCTTCCTCATGACCTGGAAATCCGAATAAAACTGCGTCATGACTAGGAAATCCAAACCAAACTTCCCTATGACCTGGAATTCCGAATAAGGCTTCCGTGTGACCTGGAAATCCAAATAAAACTGCCTAAAAACCTGGAAGTACAAATAAAACTTACTTATGGCCGGGAAATCCAAATCCAACTGCTATATGACCTGTAAATCCCAATCTAACTATTATATGACCTGTGAATCCAAATCAAACCGTCATATGACATTGAATTCCAAATAAGACTTCCATATGACCTGGAAATCCAAATCTAACTGCTATATGGCCTGGGAATCCAAATCAAACTTCCTTATAACCTGGAAGTCCAAATAAAACTGTGTCATGTCCTGGAAATTCAAATCAAACTGTCTATTACCTGGAAATCCATACCAAACTGCCTCATGACCTGGAAATCCAAAATTTAATGCCCCATGACCTGGAAATCCAAAAAAAAAAAACCGAACTCTGTAAAACCTGAAAAATTGTTTGGTATGGCCTTGAAATACAAACTGAGAGCTTGATCAGCTTTGATTTTAAACTTGATATACAAGATCAGACTATTTGAGTTTTTATGATACCGACCACAATGACCCCACAGAGAAAATTAACGCCAATGATAAGATAAAGATTACGGTCTCAGCCAATGATAACTAGAGAAGAAATTATTCTCCCTTTCACTGCATTCCCTTCACATTTGATAGCAAATCCCAAGATTTTCTCACTTCGGAACAAGTTCTAGCGAGATTTTTCTATTGCGGGACCACTTGAAATCGATAATTATGGCAATTTCGGATCGTAGGAACAGCAGATTGGCTCCCCGAGAGAAATTATTAGGATTCTGGAGGAAGATCTACTTTTTTGTTGAAGATTCTGAAACGATTTTTATTGGTCTGTCGTAAGTTGAATGATTAGAAGCGTATAGTTTGCACCCGACCTGAAACGACTTGCGCGTCCAGGCTTTAAAAAGCACTGGAGGACGCTTTAAACTGCGACCGCAAAGTTTTGAGCCATTCCAAAAGCGATTAGAAAGCTTTGAGCTATTCTAATAGCTAAGGAGACTATTTGATCCATTCCAAATGCGACCACAAAGCTTTGAGTCATCCCGAATGCGACCACAAAGCTTTGAGCTATCCCAAATGCGACCACAAAGCTTTGAGCCATTTCAAAAGCGACCAAAAAGTTTTGAGCCAATCCAAATGTGACCACAGAGCTTTGAGTCATTCCAAATGCGACCAAAAAGCTTTGAGCCAATCCAAATGTGACCACAGAGCTTTGAGTCATTCCAAATGCGACCAAAAAGCTTTGAGCCATTCCAAATGCGTCCACAAAGCTTTGAGTCATTCCAAGTGCGACACATAATCTTTGAGCCATTCCAAATGCGACCATAAAACTTTGAGCCATTCCAAATGCGACCATAAAGTTTCGAACCATTCTAACTGCGACCAGAAAGTTCTAACCAAAAAATAATTTTGCAGACAAGCGATCCTATCGAACCAAGACGTGGTCGGAGATGATCCATGGCTTCTCGACGTCTTCAGCCACGACTTCTGGGGCAATCCGATGTCGAACCGCGGCTCGCACAAAAGCTTCCGGCCGCTGACGACGTTGACCTTCCGCGCCGGACGTCTTCTTCACGGCCTTCAACCCCAACTGTCAGTTCTGCCACGTCTTCAAGACACGAAGACATCTGTCGGAATATTGATGAACACGACGTTCCATGCGTCATCTGCCTTACTCGATAACGCTCTAATTTCCATTAGTGACACCCTCCCTGCCGAGGGATCTGAGTAGAGAGATGAATGTGTTGAGATGAGAGGAAAAAATTGCTGTTTTAGTGGATTTTTGAGCGCTTTTGAGGTCAGTGGAGAAAAAATAGAAATTTCATAGATTTATTGAGAAAAATTCTTTGGTAAAGGGTGGTTTTGTCGAATTTTTGAACGGTTTTGAGGTTATTTGGAGCAAAAAAAAAATGGAATTTTATGGATTTATTGAGAAAAATTGCTTGGGAACCGGTTGTTTTGTTGACTTTTTTTCAACGGTTTTGAGGTGTCTTTGGAATAGTTTGAAATGAAAAAAAACTTTTTGCGGTGGTTCAGTTGAATTTTTGAACGGATTTGAGGTCAATGGAGCAAAAAAATGAAATTTTATGGATTTATCGAGAAAAATTCTTTGATAATGGGTTGTTTAGTTGTATCTTTGAACGGACTTAAGGTCATTTGGAGCAAAAATATGAAATTTTATGGATTTTTTGAGAAAAATTGCTCGGAAATCGGTTGTTTAGTTGTATTTTTGAACGGTTTTGAGGATTTGGAGAAAATTTTTGGATCTAAAAAAAAACTTTCTTGGGTGGTTTATTGGACTTTTTGAACGGTTTCGAGGTCCCAGGAGCAAAATACGAAATTTTATGGATTTATTGACAAAACTCCTAGGTAATCGGTAGTTTTGTTGGTTTTTGAATGGTTTTGAGACCTTTAAAAAAATTTTTAGATCTAAAAAAAATTTCTTTGCGGTGGTTTTGTCGAATTTTTGAACAGTTTCGAGGTCGCAGGAGCAAAAATAGGAAATTTTATGAATTTATTGAGGAAAATTGGTTGGGAATCGGTAGTTTTGTTGGTTTTTGAACGGTTTTGAGGTCTTTGGAATAATTTCGAGACCAAAAAAATTTTTTTTGGGTGTTCTAGTTGATTTTTGGAACAGTTTTGAGGTCTCGGGAGCAAAAATATGAAAGTTTATGGATTTATTAACAAAATTTCTTGGGAATCGAAGGTTCAGTTGAATTTTGGGGACCTTTTGAATAGTTTTAAGATTAAAAAAAATTTTTTGCGGTGGTTTTGTCGATGTTTTGAACGGTTTTGAGTTCCTAGAAGTGAAAAAAATGGTTTTAAAAAGAAAATTTTTGTTTTGATTGAAAAAAATATTGCTCTGACATCCGTAGTTTTGTCGGATTTTTTTGAACAGTTTTGACGTTTAGAACAGGTTTTTTCCCTTTCAAGAAATGAGAAAAGATATGTGGTTTTTCAGTTCAAAAAAGTAGAATATATGAATATTTTGAAAAGAAAAAGTGCTTGGGAATCGGTTTTCATGTTGAATTCTTGAACGGTTTTGAAGCAAAAAACAGGTTTTTTTTTTTTGGATTTTCAGCTAAAGTTTTGAAGTTTTAGCGATTTTTTTTCTCAGGATTACTAGTCTCTTCAAAAACGCCTATTGAGGGAATATTGACCTGAAATTCAATACTTTTTGAATTTGGAAGTCTATAAGTATTCATTATTTTACGCATTTCGAAGTTAAAAAAATGTTTTTTTAGCTTCTTTTTCAAAAGACAAAGTCGGCTCCGAAGATGATTTATGAGATTCGACAAACCAATTTTGGAGTTGTAAGTGGGTTTTCGGGTCGTTTCAAAAACATTATCCCCTTGGAAGTATGAAAGAAAATTTACTTTTGCACAATCGATTATCTGCACGAAAATATTGAAAAGATCTTTAGAATTATCAAATAAGCGTCGAGAAACGTATACTTCCCTTCCACGCGAGAACACAACACGTTAATGAATAATTTGTTCAAATTTTTCCTGGAAAAAGTCCATAATGGTATTCTCTAGGGGCCACTTTAGCAACTCCTATAGGGACCACTGAAGCTTGCAAAAGTGGTCCCTGTAGGGGACATGCTAGTCGATATAAGTTTTGAACTCTAAAACATTTCGATGGGAAAAACTGAATAAATGAGCGTTTTTTTGAATGAAATTGAAAGACCACTATAGAGTCTACTTGAGCTTCAAGGACTAAGTGGTCAGAACCTATACCCCTATAGGGACCACTTTTCGGTTCTTATATGAGCTGTTTCCCCCCTAACCCCTATAGGGACCACTCTGGAACTCCTAAGTCAAATATAAATGGCCCCAAGAGACCTTTCCCGCAGTCATAACTCTCCTAGGGTGCACTAGAGCTTCAGGGACTAAGCGTTTAGACCCTAAACCCCTTTAGGGACCACCTTGATTTTACTCCTATAGGGTCCACTTTTACGGTCTCGGACCTTGGTAACGCGAACGGGACGCGAATCGGACGTGTCGGGGCATTTCTAGTGACCAGTTTAGTAGCCTTAACGCTCTTAAGTGATCCCTTTAATCGCCCAGAAACGTCCGGAGCACGTCCGTTTCGCGTTACCAATGTCCGAGGTTCTTATATAGGTTGTTTCCCCCTAACCCCTATAGGGACCACTCTGCAACCCCTTGGACAAATATAAATAGCCCCAAGAGACCTTTCCCCAGTCATAACTCTCCTAGAAATGATGGCGAGGTTCAATCCGAAATGAATCATACTTTCGGCGGTCCTCATTCCCTCTCTCTCTCTCTCAGGACCCATCAAACTCGATTTCCCTCCAGTCGTAAAAACGGCCCGAATGAGGGCTCCAAGTGCATAGGTACGAGAAGCGAATCAACGAGAAGCAAATCTCATCTTCTTTCCTCCGAACATGTCGACTATTTCCAACACGTAATGGAATTGGGGCTGAAGAGCGGATGAAGATTAGCTTTATCTTCTCAGAGTTCTCCGTTTTAATGGGCTTTTCCTCTAGGAGGAATGCGAAATTTGAATAAATTATTCATTAACGTGTTGTGTCGCCAGTGTACGCTTTTTGGTGCTTAAAGTCCAAGGGGTCACTTGAGGGATTTTGAGAGGAGAGATCTGACCCCCTAGCACTAAAAGCTTAAGTAGTCCCTATAGGGATCGTTTATACCAGCATGTCCCCTCTAGGGACCACTTTCGCCAGCTTTAGTGATCCTTATAGGGGTTGCTAAAGTGGTCTTTTTCCAGGAGGAATGCCGAAATTTGAATAAATTATTCATTAACGTGTTGTGTTGTCAGGCCAGTGTACGCTTTTTGGTGCTTGAAGAAGAAGTCCAAGGGGCCACTTGAGGGATTTTGAGAGGAAAGCACCAAAAGCTTAAGTGGTCCCTATAGGGGTTATTCAATCCCATTCAAAAAACGCTCATTTATTCAGTTTTTCCCTGGAAATGCTTCTCCGCTTCGAGTTCATAACAATTATCGACCAGCTTGTCCCCTATAGGGACCACTTTCGCCAGCTTTAGTGATCCTTATAGGGGTTGCTAAAGTGGTCTTTTTCCAGGAGGAATTCCGAAATTTGAATAAAGTATTCATTAACGTGTTGTGTTGTCAGGCCAGTGTACGCTTTTTGGTGCTTCATTGAAGTCCAAGGGGTCACTTGAGGGATTTCGAGAAAATTAATCGAAAATTCTTTGTTTTTGGGGTGTCAGTTTTTGTTCGGTGAAAGCTATCTGGACCTGAAAAACAAGGGTTTATTCATTTTTAATGAGAAATTGTCTTTTTTGACTTCAGAAGTGATTTTTTGAAGGATGACGTTTAGTAAGGAATCAAAAATGTCGTCGGGAAGATCAGGCATTTTTGAGTTTGGGGTTGAATCCCCAATTCCCGAATTTTTAGCTAAAGCCACTTTCTGGTAGCCTAGAACCATTTTGAAGGGTCCTTTTCTGGAAAATCTAGCTTCAGAAATTTGTAAAAATCGGTCAGAACGGACGAATTTCAGCTCAAAACGTAGTGGAAAGGGCTTCTCACAATTGATTAACCGTCAAAATAATAAGCCACAAAGGATTTTGTTTTTTTGTAACAGTCTAGAAACCATTATCAAGGCTCGAAGTGACTCAAGAACTTCAAAATAGTTCAAACACGGTCCTGAAGTCTTCCGTTACACTCAGTTGATCAGATTACGAGCCTCAACGAGCCCCGTTGTGTCCTCACCAATCATGCTCACGGGCAATTTGCCAATTTTGCAGATTCCACGCCGTCAACGTCTTCTTGCACGCGGCGACGTCGTGTTTGGTCCTGATGATGATGTCGAAGTTCTTGGGGAAAGGTAGGGGGAACATTGAAACAAAATTTCTTAAGATGAACCAAGGAAGGGAGAAAAATAAGTTCAAGGGTGTAATTTTGGTTGCGATTGGCTTGAACACAGTTACGAATAAATGACCTGGAAATCCGAAATTTTGTGAAATGCGGCCTCCGTCGCGAAACTCCAGAGTGGTCCCTATAGGGACGACCTTAGGGCCCTTGGATGGTTCCCTATAGGGGCCACTAGGGTTTGCAAAAGTGGTCGCTATCGGGGTTTCAGTTAGTGGTAACTATGGGGGGAAAACTGAGTAAATAACTGGATTTTAAAAAGAAGTTGAAAGATCCCTATAGGGATCACATTTTCAGTCCTTATATGGGTTGTTTTCACCCTAAACCCCTATAGGGACCACTCTGGAATTTCTAAGAATGACGGAATTTTCGTAGAACCAGAATTTGAAAAAAAAAAACATAGTTAATAACTTGAAAACCTGAAAAACTCGTTGAGTCAGGAACTTTTTGACTGCTTGAAAACCCAGAAAAAAGGCGGCCAAATGCAATTTTTTCTATATATAAATTTTTGTGAAAACATCGTCAATACATATTTTACGGCCTAGGAATCGTAAGTTTTTGTAAAAACTCGGCCTCAGCCTCTCTCTCGTATCCTGAGGATCAGAATTTTCGAAAAAAAAAAATTGGAACTGCATATCAAATGTTCAAAGAACGCAACCGTTTCATTGCAAAATTTTGTCTTTTCCTTTTTTTTTTTCGAAACCAACTGAGAAGGCTAGAATCCCATTCGAAATGGTTCGATTTCCTAACGAGCACTCAAAGTATATTTTTTGTGCGCGCTAACGCGTAATAGGATCTGCCGTCGGTGCTCATATGATACAATTGGATTACGGTGCTCAAAACGCAAACAAAAACCCGGCGACATTGCGGCGACAGATGGGCCGTCCTAGCCACTTAAGGGATCGTCTTGCAAAACCGGGGGATCCTAAATGATGAGGAGTAATGGGTGAAGTTCTTACAAGGCTTTAATTAAAGCTTCAGTTTTTTTTTTTGAGTCAAGAAGTCCTCTTTTGAACTAGATTAATCTTCGGAAAGGTTGATTTTTTAAAAATTCGTCGGAAGGAATCGAACTCTTGACTTCTCTCATAATAACCAGAACCTTTATCCACTGCGCCATCCTTTTTTATTTTGTGAGAATCTGCCAAGAAACTTTTGAATGAACTTATCCAAAAATCACAAAAACCTTGAATTTTCTTCAAAAATTCATCGGAAGGGGTCGAACTCTTGGACTCTCGTATGATAATCAAAACCTTTACCCACTATACCATCGCGTGGTTTTTAAAAATTACTCGAATTTTCAGTCGGAAGCCTCTCATCTGCCACAATCTTCGCTGTACACGCCGCCAACACCGAAGCAGTTTGTTCCATTGTCGGTAGAGCAGACATTCTGGCGACTGCTACCGTAATTCTGGGCTTTCTAGATTTTCAGCGCAATGAGGTACTGTAGAAATGAGCTAGTGCGAAAAAGGAATGATTTTCAGGGCACCCGACTGACGCCGGTTTTCGCCATCGTCGCTCTTTTTTTCAAGGAAACCGGCATCGTCTTGCTGCCTTTGATTGGTCTGCACATAGTGCTGATGACACTAGCGGTGAGGATCATACTTTGAAGTTTTTATAGGATAGTGATAAGGAAGTTTGGAGAGAGTTTAGAGACTAGAGATTGTGAAGTTTTGAGAGAGTTTTTAGAGAGGTTAGAAAAATTGAAGGCAAAAAAAAAGAGAGTTGGATAGAGATTTGGCTTTTTCAGAGAGCATTTATCTTGGAGAGAGTTAGAGAAGCTCGATTTTTACTTATCTCATAAAGCTTCTAGAGAGTGTGCCATCAGAAGAGACGCAGACAAAAAAGACCTAGAAATTCGTGAGATAGAAAGAGAAATAGAGAAACTTGAATTTTAGTGCCGGTTCTCTAGAGATCATGGGATTTGAAGAGACGCAGACACTTCGATTCCTTTCTTTTACTTTTATCCTTTCAAATCTCAACACTATCTAGATTCCTTCACTTTTTTGAAGCTTTACAAGTTTTAACATTTTTTTTTGATCCGATCAACTTCCGAAGCCGATTAAGAAAGATTGCCTCATCTTTTTTCACCATTGAAACCAAAAAGATAGGTTAGAAATTACGTCGCCGCCGCCATACACACGCGTTCCATTGTGCTCCCCTCTGACCAGGCCAGAATAAATGGGCGAGGAGAAGGAAGGCCTCGAACGGATCGTTTCCTTCAATTTCACGCCGATTTGCGCACAACGCTCGTAAAAACCGCAAAACTTTTTTTTCCCTCCTTAGTTTGATCTTTGGGGAGATAGCTCGGCAGATACCTCGGCCCGGTGCAACCCCCAGATTTGCTCTCTTTTCCCCATCTTTTGCACTTTGCAAGTGGTAGTGACAAACCGTAACATTTTCAAGTCTTTTTCGTGCGAAAGGAGAGGCTGCACAGTGCTGACCACGAAGTTCAACTTGCATGGGAAAAAAAATTTAATATCAACAGGGCTTAACCTATTCCCATTGGACGCAAATAAGGTGCGAGAAGTAAGCTATTACGATAGCAGGAGTTTCTATTTAATTTTAAAAGATCTACTAAATAAAACTTTAGAATTGAATTTGAGAAAATTACAGATTTTAGATTCGCTTTTTTCGCTCGATTTCTCCCCTGAAATTGCACTGAATTGACTCGGAATTTCGAAAACTCCACTCTCGAGGCCATTGCGCAATAAACTGACACCGCGCTCGCTTTTGCCTCTGAATGTGCGAGAAAAAGCCCCAAAAATTTAAAAACCGCATCCCAGGTAGGGTTTGCTCGGAGCATAATTCCTGCCGAGAGAGGTTGGGTGATTGATTGATTGGGAGTTTTCGCGGGGCATTTGAAGATGATGGGACAGAGAAGCTTGTGAAAGATGTATGGGGAAAATCGAAAATTTTCAAAAAAAGGTCAAATTTTCCTTTTTCTACCTGTTAAAATTCTTTTCGGGCAAAGTCGGAATGGTGAATAAAGGCCTCCGAAAAGCAGCAAAAAGGCCCCAGAAAGGCAGCAAAAAGACCTCAGAAAGGCAGCAAAAAGGCCCCAGAAAAGCAGCAAAAAGGCCCTAGAAAGGCAGAAAAACAGAAAGGCAGCAAAAAGGCCGCAAAAAGAGTCCCTTTATCGAGCCTTCCATTTTTTCTGGGCTCAAGAAATGGTTGGAAAAGGGAGAGGCAGCAAAAATGGTGCATAAGGGCCGATGAAATGGCGCAAAAAGGCCCCAAAAAGGCTCTAAAAAGGAGCCTTTTTCCACCCTTTCCGACTTTCCCTATGAATGAATAAGCGTTGGCGATAATTCTTGGTAAACAAGAATTTTTCTAAAAGATAAAAATTAAAATCTTTTTTTTTCCGTTTATGGGGATGAGGTTTCAATTTTTGAATTTTGAACCAGTTTGGACAAAAAGTTTGAGGCTCATTTTCAAGCCAGAATATTCATTTTTAGCCCTGTTTTCATATGAATGACAGCGGCTCTGCTGCTTCCGACATTTTTCTGACAATTATTCTGGCGCAAGTGCAATTGACAACCGCCGGAAACGCCGGGGTAGTTGAGGACGACGTCGAGATAAAGGAAACCAGAAGACGTCGTCGCGGGGGGACATCCTTCACGGTCGACCTGGCGGCACATCTTCTTCCAACAAATTGCCGTCGTTTCTTCTCTCGTCGAGAAGAGCGGGTGGCAATTAACGGCGCCGACGTTTGACCATTATTGGGCAAGACAGAGTATCCTGTCGCCGGTGGGAACACCTCGATCAATTGAAAGAGAGGAAGAAGACCCTTTTTTTGGGAGGCTATTTGGAACGGTTCATGGGGGAGTTATAGATCGGGGGATCTGGAATGGTATTTTTTGGACAAAATTTTTTTTTTCCTGGGAGATACCTTTTTTGATCAACGATACGGTTTATAGGGAGCAAGAGATCTGGAAATTTAGATGGCTGTGAAAAATTTTTTGGACAAAGTTTGGTTTTTCTTAAGAGGTATTTTTCTGAATTTTCATTTTCGATCAACGAGAAGGATCATTAAGGAATGATAAATCTATTAATCTAAAAAAATTTGTGGCATGAATAATGCTTCTAAAATTTGATTTTTGATCAATCTAAATTTGGGGAAACTTGTTAAAACGTTTCAGCAAGGGATTAATGGTCTGGGGCTAAAAATATCGTGAAAAAATTTTGAAGATATTCGATTTTTTCTGCAAGATTTCTACGGACTATTCTTCTGAAACTTTTCAATTATTCACTTCTGACGGTTATTTGCAACTTTAGCTTTTTATTCGGAAAGATATGGATGTTTTAGGGAACGAAGGAAGTTGTGGAATAGATAATGGAATAATTTTCATAAATTTATCCAAGCGATATTTATTTCGAAAGGCGGTTATGCGCCTTTAACTGAGAAAGAGCGCTCGAAGAGAAATTAATCATTTCCTCACTTTTTAAAAAAATTCTGTTCAATTAATCTCCTTACAGAATCGAAAAAAAGTGCACGGAAACTGTTGGAAATATCAGTTCAATTCGTTTCGCTGTGCTATTTCCGGCTTTTTTTATCAATGGATTCCAGTCACCAAGGTACAATTTGAAATTTTTTTCAAAACCGAGTTCAATGTGAAATATAACTGGTCGGGTTTTGAAAAAATTAGTTTTTGCTTAAATCATATGTTTCTTGTAGTTTTAATTAAACATGTCTTTTGAATAATATATCTTCGATTCCAGGTTTTCTGCTTCGGATAATCCAATTGCTCATGAACCCTCTTGGAAAAACGAGAACCATGACTTTTTTTGTACCTTCCAATGGCACATTTATCGACTTTATTATTCCCTAATACGGTGAGTGATTCCTAAAAAATATATGAAAATCATGAAAAAAGATATACAAATAAAACTAAGAAAATGGAGCGAAATGCGAAAAAAAATAATAAAAGTGAAATTTGCTCGCAAGTTTCTGCGAAATCTGTGAAGGTAAACTGGGATTCATAATTTTTTGAAGATACATAGCTTTTTTTAGGAAGGAGAACTTCATAAGAACAAGGAAAAAAACGAAGCATGAAATCAAAGTAAATTAGAAAAAAAAAAAAAATTAAAAAAATTTTTGATTGTACCACAGAGCAACTTTATCGTGTTTCACGTAAAACTTTATTCCGGAAATTTTTTTCTATTTTTTTCGTTTTGTTTTTTTGGATGTATATGTGCTTTGAAGAATAGAAATTTGTTTTTTTAGCTTTAAATACCATCAGAAACTCTATGAAAATTTATATTGAATAACTTTTTTTGTCATTTTTTTCACTCATCGTTTTCCTTCAATTTTTAAAATTGTATATTTTTTTCAGCTGAGCTTTTGACTGGTCGATGGACTCGATTCCGCTCATCAAAAAAATCCGATGGATCAACGATTTTTATCAACTTTAATAGCCTACACATCCATTATCGCTTTCACGATTAATTTTGTTATAAAATCAAATATCATCGGGAAGTTTTCAAACTTTTCTCAATTTTCAACGGATTCTGAAAAGGTTTGTGAGAAATATATGCAAAAGTTTTACATTGATATTTAGATTGATGTAAAGTCTCAAAAAGCCTTATTTTTCATCGGATGGATGATTTTGTCGCATTTGCCTTCGTCCAACTTGTTCTTCAACGTTGGATTCGTCCTGGCTGAACGAATCTTGTACATGACGAATGTTGGATTTTGTGGATTTGTTGGGCTTGGACTTCAAGTTCTTCTCGATAGGTTCATTTTTACATATCTTTGAAGAGGACTTTTGTATTTCTGGTTTATTCGTTCAGTAGTTGAAAATGTGTCATTCGAAAAGCAGAATTTCAAAGTTTCGAAAATTTTCATGTTTATTGATCACTCTCTTCATGAAAAAAAGTAAGAAAAATTTTTTTTTATGAACTAGTTTTTTTAAATTTTATTTTCACCCGTGTATTTTTGTAGAAAATGAATTTCGGGTTTTCGAGGAAATTTAAACTTCAAATCAATAGGAAAAATTGTGTTTTTGAACAGGTTTTTGACGATTTATGGGGTTGAACTGTATTGTAAAATCTGAAATTTGAAATCAAACGGATTTATAATGGTCAAATTTTTCTATAGTTGTTTGAAATATGACCAGTTAGAAATTTTTTTCAGCTCGTTGGCCTAAAAACTTTCGTTTTTTCAAGATTTTCATTAAATTTTTTATGTTGAATTTCCGTTTCCTAGTAGAAAATATGGTCATAGTTCTGAAAAAATTTTAAAAAAAGCTATGAGTTTCCAGAAAACCCGCCTACAAATCGTGTATTATCTCAATCTTTTTCCATCGTTTTGATCCTTCACTCGGTTCGAACCTGGCGAAGGACCGATGACTGGAAAAAAATGAAGAAAAACTTATTTTCCAGTGCCATTTCTATCAATCCACCTAAAGGTATCAAAGAAATATAAATTTATTTATTTTTCCATTTTTTCAGCTTTTGCGAATCTCGGTCATGTTTATGCTGCACGTGGAGAGTCGAAAAAAGCTTCCGAAGTTTATGAATTGGCTTTGAATTATCGGCCGAACATGGCGGACACTTGGTATAACTTGTGAGTTTTTTTGAAAATTTATTTCTCGAAAGTGGAAATTAAAAATTTTGCTAGAGGTTCTTAAGAAACAGTTGATTTCAAAAACTCGGTTGCAAAAAATTGAATTTTTTTCGAATAATTTTTCATGATTAGGAATTTGAAATCGATCAATTTTGATATATAGAGAAAAATATTCATATTGAAATTCTATTGAAATCGTATTTTTTTGAAGCTTTTTATTCGATTTTCCTGGAAGTTATCTTGCTTTTTCTAAAAATGCATTTCTACATGATTTTTGAACAGGAACCTTATTAGTTCTCAATTTTTCAGAGGGATACTCAAAAAAATGACAACGGTGACAAGTCCGGGGCTTCGAAATGCTATCAGAACGCCTTGACCTACAGGAAAAACCTTTGCTGCAGGTATAAATCGAGTTTGAGGCTTTTTGATAAGAAAAAGGCTACAAAATCAAAAAACCTTCATTTTTCTTTAACATTGTTGAGAAAAAGCCACATAATTTCTTAAAAATCGATCTTTTTCCAGTGGAATAAAACAGGTGACCTTTTCAAACATCTATCAGGAATATGATTTTTCTAATTTAATTTTTTTTTTTTGAGGCTAAAAACGGTAGTTTTCATCAAATTTACTCTATTTAAAGAAATCTACGTAACTCAAATTGCCGTATTTGTGTCCTTAGGGTTTTAAAAAACAGGTTTTCCAGAAGAAAATGTGCCAAACGAAAACTTTCAGCCATGCTCAACCTGGCCCTCGTGGAATGGGATCTTGGCCTCGAGCCAACGGCTTTGGCCCGCTTGGAAGTTTGCCAATCGATAAATGGGGAAGATGGAAAATTCTACCGACATCATCAAGTAACCCTGACTCACTGTGGATTCAACAAGGGACGGCTCTTGGCTTCGAAAGGAAAACATTCGGAAGCCGCGGAGGCTTACGAGAAGGTTATTGATGCTGAAAGAACAGTGTCTGTGTATGCGCCTTTATTAACTGAACATTTAGATTTAATTAAAGGCGCATACACAGAGGCTGGCCGCGCGCTTTGAAGTGAAAATTTCGTGGACCGGAGAATGATAAAAATTTTTATAGACCTATGAGGAAGCTTCCCTGCGAAGCGCGTGACCGGACTCTGTGTGTGCGCCTTTAATACATGAAAATTTAGATTTAATTAAAGGTATCAAGGAGAAGCTTCCCAGAAGTATTTCGTCGTTTGGAGGATGATGAAAATTGTGATAGACCTATGAAGAAACTTCCCTTCGATGTGCGAGACCTGTCTCTGTGTATGCGCCTTTAATAACTGGACATTTGGATCTAATTAAAGGCGCATGAACCGAAATAGGCCTTGCGTATCAAAGAGAAGCTTCCGGAAGGGCTTCCTAGCCCTGAGAATGATTAAAATCGTGACAAGCCTTCCGGGAAGCTTCCTTTTAATATACACGACATGTCTCTTTGTATGCGCCTTTAATAACTGGACATTTGGATTTAATTAAAGGCGCATGCACAGAGGTAGTTTGCGCGCATTCAAAGGAAGCTACTGGAAAGGGTTTCGTGGCTTGGAGGATGATAAAAAATGTGACAAGCGTCCCGTATAGCTTTCCCCCCTCGATGCGCGCGACCGATCTCTGTATGTGCCTTTAATAACTTTACATTTTGATCTAATTAAAGGCGCATAGACCGAACCATTCCCTGCGTATCAGAGAGAAGCTTCCCGGAAGGGCTTCATAGCTCGGAGAATAATGAAAATCGAGACAAGTCTTCCGCGAAGTAGTATTTTTCCGATTTCAGGCGCTCAAAAACGCCCCGAAAGGCTATGAAAACGCGGCGGCTCTGCTAAATTCGTTGGGCGAAACCTATGCCAAACTTGGTGATGACCTTCAAGCTGAACGATGCTTCCAGAAGGCATTGGAGGCGAATCCGAAGCACGTCAACGCCTACATCACCTTGGCTCATCTGAGAATCCGACAGGTTCAGGAAAAACAAAGAAAGGATTTTAGAAAGAGATTCTTCAGAATCGCAGCACTGAAGCGTCGTCTTGGCTCTCGAAGGCCAGAAGTTTGGCGCCGGAATCGCCTACAGTACTCCAGCAAGCCGCTCAGGCTGCTTTTGTTATCGTAAGGGGCTTCTTTAGGGATAAAATTCGTTCCGAAATGAATCGAGTATTTCATTTTATTTAGTATCAGCTGTTCAGAAAGACAAGATAAAAATTCGTAACACCTTTTTTTGGATAAGCTTTTGCGCCCCATCGAGAACCTTTAGACTACTTATTAGCCGTCCTTCTCGAAAGATTTTTGAAAAAATCGGTTTGCCAATGATTTGAGCTTCATTTTCCTGACAATGACGTTTGTCCTTCCAGGGTAACCTGAACAACTCGGAGACGTTGTTCCGAGAAGCGCTCCGGCTCGATCGAACCCATGCCGAAAGCCTTCACGGCCTGGCCAACGTCCTGAGAGAGTTGGGCCGGAACGAAGAAAGCGAGGAGGTCCTGGCGCGACTTTGCGAAGTCAGACCCGACGATCCGGTAGCCGTGGCCAACTACGCGGCAACCCTGCATCTCAACGAGAAGCACGACCACGCCTTGAAGATGTACGACCGCGCTTTACGGCTGAATCCCGCCGACCGAACGACAGCTGAGAATCGCGCCAAGTTGCTGCGCACCATGCGCAGAAACACTCTTCTTTGATTTTCATTTCTGAATCTCTCTGTTTCTTTAAAAGTGTTACGGTCGTGAGGCAAAAGCTGGAAGCTTAACTTCTCTCGAGGCCACACCGCCTTGAGCCATTCCAAGTGCGACCAAAGATTTTCGACTTGCTGCGGAAAATGCACAGAAACACTCTTCTTCAATGTTGTGTTGAGAAGAAAATATATCCGGGGTCGCATTTGGAATGACTCGGCCTAAGGCGATTCACGGGCAAAGCCCGGAAGGACTTGAAAAAAGGCTTTGAAAGGCCTTTTTTGAATCTATTTTGTAGAAGGTTTTTTCTTTTTCATTTTCATACTCAAGTGAAAAATTGTACATACACTTTCCGGTTAAGCTAACTTTTCTCCTCGCAAAACATGTTTTTTTAATTTTTCTGGTCACGGTTATCTCCTTCATTAATCCTTACGAGTGCGCAAAACATCAGGGTGACAAGATTTGTGTTAATATATTGTATAAAGATCTTCATTATTATCATCACATCTGTTGAGAAATCAGATCATGACACGAAAAAGAAAGAAAAAACGACAACAGGGTCCGATTTGAGAGGAGACTTTTGAGAAATAGAGTTGGGAATTTTCATTATGGGCGATCGAACTTTGAGTTCGAATTTTGAAAATGTCAGATTTGATATCAAACTATGAGGGAGATCGAGGAGGTCAGGAAAAATTAGGTCTCGAAGTCCCAAACTTTTCTGGAATAAAGTTAAGAAACTTCGAAATTTCGGAATTCAAGCTTTTAGATGAAGCTCAATCAACTGATAAGCTATTTCATTGGAAAGCTGACATTGAGACGAATCGAATGATATGGTCAAATAAGCTGTAGCTGTTCTGAGAGCCGAGATATGAGCCTCCAAAGTCTGCTTTAAAAATAAACTTGCGCGTAAGATAAAATGTGTTGTCTGAATTGGCGCGTCGGGTCAAGTGCTCGTCTGAGGCTCTCATCGGTGTGGTTTCCTCGCGAAAAAGGAAAAGCTGAAAAAAAAGTTGCTCTTTTTCAAGTTTTTTCTAGCGTAACTGATAGAGCATCTTCTATATAGTACTGTTATCATATCAGTTTCGAGGGAAAAACTCAAAAGTTGGGTGAAAAAGACGCCCGAAAAAATGGCACTTTTTGGACTTTCAAGCTTCATAACTTTGTTCATACTGGAGTTGCAGAGGAACTGATTATATCAATCGATTCGTCTTATCATAATCTTTTCAATGATATAGGACTTCAAGTGTTTTGAACAACCTGGATGACGTCATCGGCTTTTCAAGCTATCATCTCAGCTTTTCCCACAAGCCGGATGATATATGAATCAATCGATACAGCGTCTTCAGAAGGGTCTAATAATGATTTTTAATCACTGATAACTTATCAAGAACTCGAGTTGAGGCAAGTCTAAAGCTTCTGGATGAAGCTCGATTAACTGATAACCTACATCATTGGAAAGCTTGTGATAAGACGAATCGATTGATATAATCGGTTCCTCTGAAACTCCAGAATGAACAAAGTTATGAAGCTTGAAAGATCAGAAAGGGCCATTTTTTCAAGCCAATTTTTAACCCAACTGTTGAGATTTTCCCTCGAAACTGATATGATAACAGTACTATATAGAAGCTGCTCTATCAGCTACACTAGAAAAAACTTGAAAAAGACAAACTTTTTTTTGAGCTTTTCCTTTTTCGCGAGAAAACCACACCGATGAGAGCCTCAGACGAGCACTTGACCCGACGCGCCCCTTCAGACGACTTATTTTAACTCACGCGCAAGTTTATTAAGGGAGACTTTGAAGGCTCATATCTAGGCTCCCAGAGCAGTTACCGCATACGTAATCATATCATTCGGTTCGTCTTGATGTCAGCTTTCCAGTGATATAAGTTATCAGTTGATTAAGCTTAACCTTAAAGCTTAAATTCCAAAACTTTAAAAATTCATAACTTTTATCCTAGGAACTAACTAGTTTCGAGATCTAGTTTTTCTTGTTCCTCTTGATCTCCCCTATCGATTTATAATAAAATTGACCCATTCTCAGAATTCACCCTGAAGTTTGACCGCCTCTAACTTCGTGCCTAGTTGACCAACCGGGGTCAAATATAGGTCATTCTTAGTTTCTCGTCGAGATCTATCGATTGATATAGGTTTCGTCTGGATCGGCTTCCATGATCTCAGAAGCTCGAAAAAAAGCTAAGGGGTTAGACTGCACTTTTTTCGATTTTCCCGAAAACCAAAGTTTCCGAGATTTTTACATCAATCGATAAGTAATGACGACAGAAGTACGAAAATTCAGGTCAAAAAGTTCTGAGGCTTCTAGAACGGAAGTTATGATTTTTTGAAGTTTTTGAAAATTCATTACTCGATCCGGAGGAGGTTAGGAACTTAGAGACCTAGTTTTTATTGATTTCCTTGATCTCCTCTATCGATTGATACCAAACTTGACCTACTTTCAAATTTTTGACCTCTCAGCTTGATCGTCCATAACTTAGTTCCTAGTTGACCTACAGAGGTCAAACCTGGTCTCAGGTTATTTTCTCGTCGAGATCTATCGATTGATATAGGTTTCGTCTGGATCGGCTTCCATGACCTCAGAAGCTCGAAAAAAAGCTAAGGGGTTAGACTGCACTTTTTTCGATTTTCCCGAAAATCCAAAGTTTCCGAGATTTTCACATCAATCGATAGGCAATGACGTCAGAAGTACGAAAATGCAGGTCAAAAAGTTCTGAGGCTTCTAGAATGAAAGTTATGATTTTTTGAAGTTTTTGAAAAAGCACAACTCGATCCGTAGGAGGTTAGGAACTTAGAGACCTAGATTTTATTAATTGCCTCGATCTCCTCTATCGATTGATACCAAACTTGACCTACTTTTCGATTTTTGACCTCTCAGTTTGATCGTCCATAACTCAGTTCCTAGTTGACCTACCGAGGTCAAACTTGGTCTCAGGTTATTTTCTCGTCGAGATCTGTCGATTGATATAGGTTTTGTCTGGATCGGCTTCCATGACTTCAGAAGCTCGAAAAAAAGCCAAGGGGTTAGACTGCACTTTTTTCGATTTTCCCAAAAACCAAAGCTTTCGAGATTTTTACATCAATCGATAGGAAGTGACGTCAGAAGTACGAAAATCCAGGTCAAAACGTTCTGAGGCTTCTAGAAGGAAAGTTATGATTTTTCAAAGTTGATCATTTTCAGCAGAAATGCTCAAAATTTTTCAAGATGTAGATTGTCAGAAAGATCATAAAGAGACGAGTCGATTGATGTAATAAATTTCTGTCAAACTTGAAAATGAACAGAGATATAAAGCTTCAAAGACTGAAAAATGAAGCTTTTTGGACCTACTTTTCACCCCATTTTTGAACTTGCCTTTGATAATGATATGATAACTATACTATATAGAAGCTGCTCTATCGATTGATGTAGAAAAAACCCCGAAAGTGTGGAAAAAATTTTGAGCTTTTCCTCTTTTGAGAGAAAATTACACCGTGGTGCAGTGCACCAAATGCATTTTATCTGACGCCTATTGAAATTTTAATGGCAAACTTTAAGGGCTCGTATCTTGGTTCCCAAAGTAGCTACAGCTCATCTGTTTACATCGTTCGATTCGTAATAATGTCAGCTTCTCAGTGATATAGGTTATCAGTTGATTGAGCTTCATATAAAAGCTTGATTTTTGACTTTTTGAAAAATTCATAACATTGTTCGTAGGAACTCAGGAGCTTCGAGACCTAGTTTTTTTTTCTTTTTTCTCGATCTCCTCTATCAGCTTTGATAAATTTGACCCTTTCTGAGAACCACAAGACAATTTTTTTCATAACAATAATAATAATAATAATAATAATAATAATAATAGGTTCATTCACTGGTATCATAAAAAAATCTTTAAGAAATGTATAAAAAAATATGAAAGTTCAACAAAGTGTAAGTACAACAACAACAACAAGTCAACAAAGAAATCGGAAAAACGATTTTTTTGAAGAAAAAAATAGTTTTTTTTTTCTCTTTTTCCACCGACAAAACGTGAACTTTTGCGTCGGAACAAGCGACGGCAAGTCTGTGAGGACCACTGGATTTCGGGGCGAATCTGAGAGAATTGAGATGAAAATACTGTTTGGTAAAAATCTGGGAATAATCTTCAATTGAAAAAAAACCAGAGCGGCCATCCTTTGCGGTATTTTTTTTCTCAGTAGCAATTCCAAAAAAAGGAAAAGTAAGGTGAAATTTTGGATTGAACTGATTGATTGACTGCACATTACGATTGACGAAGAAATCGTTACAAAAAAAATTCAGATTTCGAAATATATTTCCAAAACTTGTATTTGAAAAAGTACGCAAAATTAAGAACAGACGTAGAATAAAACGATTATTCCGCAAGCAGCTGATTTTACGTCGGAATATTCATTTTCTACTCACAAGGAGGATGTTAAAATTAACCAATTTAATTCGTAAACTGTCGTAAAATAAAATGCTTATTCCGCAAGCAGCTGATTTTACGTCGAAATATTCATTTTTCTGCTAATTTCTCACAAGGAGTATACAAAAATTAACCATTTTCGATCCGTGGATTGTCGTAAAATAAAATGCTTATTCCGCAAGAAGCTGATTTTACGTCGAAATATTCATTTTTCTGCTAATTTCTCACAAGGAGTATACAAAAATTAACCATTTTCGATCCGTGGATTGTCGTAAAATAAAATGCTTATTCCGCAAGAAGCTGATTTTACGTAGACATATTCATTTTCTACTTATTTTTTTTACATGGAGAACACTAAAATTAACCATTTCAATCCGTAGACTGTCGTAAAATAAAACGCTTATTCCGCAAGCAGCTGATTTTACGTCGGAATATTCATTTTTCTACTCACAAGGAGGATGTTAAAATTAACCAATTTAATTCGTAAACTGTCGTAAAATAAAATGCCTATTCTGCAACCAGCTGATTTTACGTCGAAATATTCATTTTTCTGCTAATGCCTCACAAGGAGTATACAAAAATTAACTATTTTCGATCCGTGAATTGTCGTAAAATAAAATGCCTATTCCGCAAGCAGCTTATTTTACGTCGAAATATTCATTTTCCTGTTGATTTATCACATGAAGAACACCAAAAAAGTGGCCAATCTCAACCCGCGAACTGTAGTAAAATAAAATGCTTATTCCGCAAGCAGCTGATTTCACGACGTTATATTCATTTTCTTGCTGATTATACTTTTTCTGCGATTTTCTTTCTAAAAATCAAAAAATACCTTAATCTCAAAACGGCCGCGTCGACAGGTATCGGATTCTGTCCAAAAATCGTCAAACACTCTAATTTGTTCTCCAAATTCAATCGATAAAAGTGGATACATCCGCTTTGCAGACCGGCAACGACCACTGCTTCACTGAAAAGAATTTTCATGGGAATTATATGAATAGGGGATCACTTGAGGGGTCCAGGAGACACAGCGACGGCCGTGACGGGCTCAGGACACTTGTTCGAAGCCAAAGCGACCGCTCTAGTGGAATTTTCGAGGGCTTCGACTTTCCAGACGATTATCTGGGAGAAAAGAATCGTTTTTCAAGCCGAGAAAAAAAATGCCAAAAAATTCAGAAACTTGGAAATTTTGGTGAATTTTACTATAATCTCCGAAAAAGCTGACTTCAAAATCAAAAATGATAATTGAACCTAAAAAGTACCTTTTTGTAACCTCGCCGTGACTTCTCGAGGAAGTTCAGTGGGTAAAAATGGGTTTTTAGGTCAACTCTATTCAAAAATCGTCGAAAAAAACCCTTAAAATCTTGAGAGGCGATGAATTTAGTGCTGTAGAAGCTGAAAAAAACATGTAACCACCTTCAAAAAAATCTATTTTCTCCGAATGAAGCTTAGAAAATATTTTAGAAACCTCCCAAAAATTCCAAAAAACGCTGAAATTCGTAATTTCTGATCTTCCACTCCATTTTATGAGGGTAAAATACCACTTTCTGATTTTCTACAGAACCTTCAAAAACTTGGACCAGTTCTTTTCAACCTAAAAAGATACCTTCTGATCCCTGGCACCCGTGACAAACTCCTGGCTGGTTCCAAACCAAGAACAGGACCAAATTATTCGGCTGTGCTCCTTCTGCGACGTCCAGACACACTTATAATTGAAGCCGTCCACTTAAATTCGCCAATTTCTTCAAATTTCGTGTGATTTCTCACCATTTCCATCGAGTTCTCTGTATAGTTTGGCGGTTCTGTCACGACTGACACTGAGAAGAAGGCTGCCTGAGGGGTTCCATTCGATTTGTGTCACTGTTAGTTGATGTCCTAGGAATTAATGGCAACCGTGAAGATTTTCATATTTTCCTTATCACCTTGAACATCAGCTTTCCTCGACCAATTACTCGTGTCCCACAGGATCAGCGCCGAATGAGTTGCGTGACTCGACTTGAAATCAATCAATAGTTATAATCAATCCTTCCCGAGTTGGGTTTATTGGCGAGCGTTGCGTGCGCGACGCGGCTTTTGGCGGGCTCCTCGAGAAATCCACTTTTTTTTCCTTCTTCGGACAAATTTTGAATAAAATTTAGGTTTGATAAGATTCAGTTGAACGGGTAAAAATATAAAATTGATAAAAATATTGTTTTCTCTGCACTTTTTCATGATCAAATTTGAACTTGAGCTTCTCGCCAAAAACCGCACCGCACACGCAACGCGTCACCCTTGTCAATCTACGCATCTCGCCTTTCAAATCGAGGAAAAATTCACTATAATCAGCATACGTGGGCAACTCCTCAAACGATCGAAATCTTCCCGGAGCTCCCATTTTTTTCAGCCAATCACTTTTTTTCCGTTTTTTTATTATTTTTTTCAGGTTATCAACGTAATTTATTTCATCTATAAACGAATTTTTTTAAAAAAATTTTTGGACAACAAAAAAATTTTTTTGTCATTGGCGTGCCTTCACTATTTCCAAACCCCCCCTTCATGCTATTCGGCGCGCTCCGTAAACTTCCCCCATATACAGAAAATGGTTTTTTTTTTTCATTTTTCCCCTTGGTCATCAAAAATCATTCCGAAATCTGATTCCCATATGCAATAATAACTTGTCAGCAAGGTCCAGGCAGATAACGGATACTCTCTCTAACATACTAAGCTGCCTGCAACTCAAAGAAGTTTCCTAATCGGTGGCTCTAACTTTTTGCACTCCGATGCGGGAAAGCTGTTTTTTTGTTGCAGATAGGAGTGTATGCCCGTTTCAAAGGTGTCTGATGTCAATCCGATCTAATTGCATCTTAGAAATTGCCTCTATCGTCAATTATTTGAACAAATTTCTTCTAGATTCACCTTGCAAGAAGTGGCCAAAACGGTTCCATTTGGGTTGACGGCAACGGCGTAGACTTCATAACCATGCCCATATAATTTATGCTCTTCTGGCCAGAGAGTATTTTGCTGGAGGAAATCTTCAGTCGGCGCCGCTGAATGAGTATAATTTTCTTGCTTCAGAATTTGAATGTCTCCGCTCCTGACAAGAAGGTCATTTCCCTTTGCGGTTGGGATTTTCCTAAAACTTGGCCGGAACACTCCTTGATGTACCAAAAAAAGATTCTGCAAGTCTTATCCTGCAAAAACTTCTAGTCTTTGAGAATGAGCGCTTCAAAGCCCTTAAAACCCATTTGAATGGCCTATTTTCGGGCTTTGAGTCCTTATTCCATGCAAACTAGGAAGTTGTGCAGGTTGAGACATTCAGGAGCTTTTTCTCATGGATTGATGACTGTTCTGGTCAATTTTCAAGAACTTCCTAGCCGCAAAGCAAAATGACCTCCCTTGTGAGGCTACAGTATCTTTCGTGTCGATGTTTTGAAAATTTCTATTTTCCTGTGTTCTGAGCAGTAGTTTCAAAGGTTCAAACAAAAAACGAGAGACAAATCACTAATATTTTTTTTTTTAATTTCTTTTTGAGTCAAAGTTTTATCACTTGAGCCTGTTCATGAAAGGAGAAAAAATTTTGAACAGGTTCCTAAGAACTTGCTGCAAAAAATCATACCTTCCAGAACGGTGGGAGCTGCTCTGAACGCGTCTTCTTCCCAATGTTCGCCATCTACCGTCTCGCCTTCCACCATCGCCTTGTTTGAAAGTCCCAAAGCGGGCACACAAGCGCCAAATTCGGCCAGTTTCGCGTCTCCGAAGGCCTTGAAATGAAAAAATGTTGATTTTTGTGGGGGAGGGGGTAAGCGGCACCCCGGGGTGTGATCTATATACTTTTTTTTTAACAGAGGAATCCACTTAGCATTTATTCCGAAACTATTCTCTTATGGAATACATGAACCTCCAGGATAGATTTTAACGTCTCCAGTGATCAAACTTCAAAATCTCCCGAGTTCCGCCATTTTTGACTCAATGTATAGCTGACGGTTGGCTTGAGCCATCGAAAAAAGGGTTCTGACACGATAATACACGAGATAGTGCCTGGCTCGTGGAGAGCCGAGACAGGCCACGCCCCCAAGCTAACCGGGATTCAGCTATATTTTACTGCGCTTCTGTCGTATTATTATGACTAATTATCTGCTCATAGTCCGTTCAGATTTCGAATGACGTCATTCGCAAACGCTCTGTGGAGGGCTAGCTCACTGATTGGTTTAGGAGGGGGCGGAGCTTGAGCGAGGACTAGACATTTGAAATCTGAACGGACTATACCGTACGCAGTGACTAAACCTATTATTATTAAAATCTGAATTGCACCGAAAATGCCCCTAATCCCCTTAACAAACCTGTTGATGATCAATCCCGCAGAGGGTCTCAAGACTTGTCACGAAGGACTTCGGAGCCCTGAAGGCTCTGAAAATTTTCTCCTCGGCTCCTGAGACGAAAACTGAGCTCGAAACGGAGGCAATACACTGCATATCATGGCCATGGACTTGGGGTCGTCCGATTTCGACCATAGTTTCCTGAAAACCTCTCTGGAAAATAGAAAGGCTGGAAGTTAACGGTTTTCAGCTTTGGACTATGAACTCAAATTATCAGTGCTCATGAGGATTATAAGAACTTCTTTTAAGTTTAGATTCCCAGAAAAAAATTAATCTAATAAGGTTTTTTTGTGTTTCGAAGCCTCAGGATTTCGCCATTTCGCGTTTTTTTGGCTCTGTTCTTTCAACCCTTAAATGAGCACTTGGCCAGATTCTGAAGCGAACCCTTCACAAAAAATCAATATGTGAAGTTTCTGACCCAAAAATTCTAAAATCTTTTATGAATTCTTTTTTTCCTCATGGTCTGATGGCTGAGCTTATACCTTCCTTAAATGATGACTTATTGAAATTAAGCGATTCATTTAAGTGGTCCCTTAAGAGAGCTAAATTTTTCAATACATAAGTGATCACCTCGTTATTCCTAAAGTGGACCTGCACTTATTCATTCGAAAATGTGTTCCTGAAAACGCCCAAGAAACCCGAGCATTTTTAACCTTCAAGGGATCCCTTGACTAACTTCTAAAGTGAACCTCCGCTATCTTTTTTTTCTTTCTGAATTTTCAAACGACAAGAAATATCATCAAAAAATAGCCAATCCCTCAAGTGATCACTTGTCAAAACCGAAGAGGCCCATTAAGTGACCAACCCCGTCCTTCAACACCGAATAAGCCCTCGTCGTCTGGTCCTGTCCAACGGACAGCAAAAACTTGGGCTCCGCGTCATTTGCGCTCCGTTGCCAATCCAAGTCCCGGACTTCACCGACATGGCCACCGGTCATGGTGACGCCTTCGAAGAAGTCCTTGAGTACAAAAAAGGTTTTTTTCTTTTATTTTTGAAACATTATCATCGGAGATCCAGGCATAGATTCCACCGAAGTAGGAGCTTGCGACGACATGATTTCCAGTCGAGGAAAAGCTGGCGGCGTAAAATCCCGCGGCTTGGCCTCCGACGATTCCGAGACGGACGTCGTCCCTCCACAATTCGTCAACTTCTCTGGAAGGAAAAAACCTTCTATAGTCTGTGTATCACGACTTGAAATTTCACGGAACGACATTCCGCTGTGCCGCTGCGCGCCCTTGCGAACCTTGGTCGCGCTTTGAAATTTTTTTTTCTATCAATAAGGTACTTCACTTTCATGTGCTCCCACAGCAATAACAATCAATTGAAAGCGTGACCTAGATTCGAAAAACGCTTCGCGACCGCACGCAGCGGCACAGCGGAATGTCGTTTGGTGAAATTCCAAGACGTGGTACACTGGCTATATAAGTTGAGTACTTTCTGAGGAATACTAAAAAAATGATTTTGTTTAAACCTAATGACGGTTGAGAACGTGCGTACCAACCTTTCCAACAGTTTTTTCATAAAAAGCTGGAGAAGGTCCAAAGGACGAAAAAAGGGGGCCTAATTTCCCGTTTTAACTCAACACTTGTTCTTCTTGAGAGAAATAAGAAACCTCCAGATGATGGCCGACTTATCGCTACTCGCTGTCAGAAGCCGCCTTCCATCGGAACTCCAAGTCGTCGAATGGACCCAATCTTCATGGCCACTCAGCACTGCATGCGATGCCAGCTTCATGTTCACGACTTAAAAAAATCTCTTTTTTTTCATTTTGCTGTCATTTTTCACCCTTTTATCGGCTTATATTGCCCCTTTGTCACCTTTTCCTGGCCGTAGTGTTGCAACGCGGTCGCGAAGCGGTCAAAATTTTGCCATTTTTGACATATCTCGAAATTTTTACAGAGTAAATCGGGGAGTTAATGATCGAAATAGTTTTGATTTTAAAAAAATAAGTGATGTAAATTATAAAATTAGATTAAAAAAGCTCCCGATTGCGACAGATTGCGGGCCAATTCAATCATCATTCTCAGTTCTCTGATTTTACTCATACACTGGCATACATTGGATGAGCATGACTGGTGAAAAAAAAAATGGGAAGCGTTTTATTTTATCATTTGAACTAAGAAGAAAGAATTGCTTCTGCTAATCGATTGAACTTGACAAAATGAATTTTTGATTTTTTTTTTTATAAGATCGGACTAGCGCCGTCAAGCGCACACCCTGAAAATTTTTCTACGGTTTTTGCCAACCGCCCCCCCTTCCATTTTCTGGTTTTTCTCCCCCTTTTCAGGTCCGCGGGTGTAGATTTTGAACTTCCGTACTCTAACAGATTCCTTCCTACCGTCTTTTGTAGGCCACTACGCCTTCTTCCCGTGAGCTTACCGGTTTTGCCCACTTCCCGTCGGTTTCCCGAGGACCTACTGATTTTCTGTCTAATCTCCTTAAAGCACAGTGTCAGACTAGGGGCTTTTCCGCCTTTGCCAGGACAAATCATATATTTCTTTCCCACTCCAAATCACCTTTCCCATCCCTATCCGTAAGACTGAATCGATTTTTCGTCGAAGTGAGTACATCTTCTGCGTCCTCAACATCCGGCCCAACGTCCCACAAACGAACGAAAGCGTCCTGGCCAGCCGAGGCCAGAAGGGTCTTGTTCGGATCGTCTGAATCCACAAAAATCAAGAAACAGTTTCGAAATCGGGATTCGAAACCATTAAAAGCGATAGAATGGATCCAATCCGTGTGACCGGCGACGGAAATTAGGCGGGAGAAGCTCTAAAATTTTTTTCTTTTCAAAAGGACAGTTAAAAAAGGTGAATCAAGGACTGATACTTCCCTTCTTTGTTCAAGAAACAAGTCAAATAGGATCTTTTCGATGAAAATTCAGCTAAAACTTCATTTTTTCAATTTAATCATTAGAAAACGACTTTTTTTGTATATGGAATATAAGAATCATCGAAAAACTACAAGAACGCCGAAGTGGTCCCTAGAGGGGTGAGAGACAAAAAACCCATATAAAGGATAAAATGGTGACTTCTGTAGCGATGAAGTTCAAGTGGTCCCTATAGAGATTGAGGGGAAAAACAGCACCTTTAAGTCCGAAAAAAAGTGCTTCAGAAGATTAAAACTCAAGTGTTCTTTACAGGGGTTTAGGGTCTGACCGCTGAGCCCTAAAGCTCAAGTGTTCACTATAGGGTTCTTCGAAATTTTTTCATGAAATTCTCTGTGGATATTTATCATTTGGATAAAAAATAATCTAATGAAAACTAAAATCCCTAGAATGACCACTAGAACGCTCCCCCTAAAAGGGCCACTAACTGAAAACCCTATAGGGGAGAGTTAAAGCCTGCAAAAGTGAAAAGAGCTCCTACAGGACTTAAAGGATTCCTACATGGGTTTAGGGTCTGACCGCTAACCCCTAAAGCTCAAGTGGTGCCTATAGGGTTCTTTAAAATTTTTTCATGAAATTCTCTGTGGATATTTATCATTGGAAAAAACTAACCTAATGAAAACGAAAATCTCTAGAATGACCACTAAGATGTTCCTCCCTATAAGAACCACTACTTGAAAACCCTGTATGGGGAAGTTAAAGCTTGCAAAAAGGAAAAAAGAGGCGGACTTAAATTTAAGAGGTCCCTACAGGGGTTAGGGTCTGACCGCTCAGCCCCTAGAGCTTGAGGGGTTCCTGTAGGGTTTTTTTTTGTTAATTTGAGAGTTCAAAGGAAAAAAACTTGATCAACTTATTTTTTGTTAGGATTTTTCGAAAAACCCAATCTAATGTAAACTAAAATCCCTTTAGGGACCACTAGCATGTTCCCCTTAAAGGGCCGCTAACTGAAAACCCTATAGGAAGGTGTTAAACCTTGCAAAAGTGGCTCTTAAAGTGGCTTGGTAAGGCTGAGTAGTCCCTAGAGGGGGGTCTTCAAGAGCCCCTATGAATGTCCCTACAGGGACCCCTCTATAGGTCCTAAGCAGACTTGATATTTAATTGAAGCTGAATTACACTCTATTTTTTTTCTGAATTTTCGATAGAAAAATAATTGTAAGTAATATTTCTAGATGAAACTTGAGCCATTTTAAGTCAGAAAAACTCGAAAAAAACAAGTTTTTTGATCAAAATCCCTTTCAAACTGTCCACTAAAAAGCTTATTCAACGGAAAAAAAGACCCACCTTTTCCCCTTCATTCTCACCGTACAACTCTACCAATCTTTTGGAAGTCCCAGCCGCAATTATCGTATTCCCTCAAAAATTTTCTCATTTTCTAACTGAATTTCAATTCGAACCTGTCGCCAAGACCATGGAATCCAGGCACAGGACGAAAGCCTTCGATTCAAGGCCAATATCAAAAAAATTCGACGAATTTCCATTCAAATCCGTCCACCAAACTCGAAAACCATACGAATCGGCTCCGACCTGAAAAAAAACTTTTTAGAGTTTTCCTATGCAAAAAAAACCCAAGCCCCCGCGAGAATCCTTCTATTTTCAGACGTGCAACCACAGACGGCTCCAATTGATCCAGTGGCTCCTTCTTAAACTTTTTTTTTTTTTGAAAATCCAACAAATCAGACCTAAAGTTGATAAAAACTGCAATTTCAAACTCTCTTCTGGCAATTTCCACACGTTTATTCTCTTATCAACGCCTCCGGTCAAGAAGATTTCTGAAAAACAGTTCAAATATCCAAAAACTTCAACAAAAAACCTTCATTTGAGGATTTTACACGATGAAGAACGGTTATTGGCTTATCATGTCGTCTTTCTGACACACTGACAATCACGCCGACATCATTTTTATTCTAAAAAGGATGATTTCAATTTTATTCTGGGTTTTTTTACAAACCTTTGGAATTGTTTGAACAACCAATTGAAGATTCGAGGCATAAACGACAAGATTCCCGTTTTTACATGCAACAAGACAGTGAGAACGGGGATTCACACTAGCTGCGGTGAATTCCCTTGTCACCTTCATGTTCTGGAAAACTAAAATATAAAGAAAAGTGAAATTTTAAAGCAGGAAAATCGTGGCACCAATTTATGCTGATCAACTATGGAAAAAAGCTAAAAAAATGCGAAAAAAATATGGCTAATAATTATATTGATTAAGTAAAACAGAACTCAGACCATAGAAAAAAATCATTAAAAATCAAATGAAAAGTTTAATTTCAACATTTTTCATGAAAAATTTCAAATTAAAACCCCGCGGGAACCATGCCGGCTCTTCACTTTTGCGTTTCATTCCTGCACCATTTGCAAGACGCCGTAAGCTCCGCCCCTCAAACTTTTTCGGGGCGTTTCAACACATTTTCCTCGTTTTTCTTCATATTTATCCTACTAACAAAGTTTCATTTGAAGGTTTTACGTGCGTTGTGAATGTCGGCAGGTGGTTCAAGGCTTTTCGCCAAGAGACTTGCTGCTAACCGCGTGAGTTTTTTTTTAATTTATTAAAAATTCGAAGTTGAAGATTTTCAAATGGTATTTATTAGATTCTAGGTGCCTGAAGTAGCTACCGACGATGTTCAAGATTGGGAAAACCATCTGATTCTTCGCGTTCCGACAGATTGTGTCGATAGAGTAAGTTTAAAGGTACATTTAAAATAAAATTTCTCATAAATTAAGGTAAATCGGCTGATCAAGGATGGTTATCCAAAAGAAGAGTTTGGGATTCAATTCGCCAACGGCGACATGCGAAATGCACAAATTCGGCTGGGAAATCTAATCTTAAGCGCAAAGATTTACGATTTGCCTTGTACCACTGAAGTTTGAAATTCAAAAAATATGAAAGAAAAGAGAAAATTTAAGGTGTTCAAAACGTTGGACCACAAGAATATTTACAAAGTCGCGGATTTATCCCAAATCGTGATTTGTTCCCACGACGTTCAAAGACCGCAGGATCAGGACCAGAAGCAGAAAAAAAGTGGGGATTATTGATAAGGTGAAATTAATTATTTTTTTAATTCAGGAACAAAAAAACAGTGGCAATATCCCCACGGGCTTACGCCGCCGATGAAAAGCGCCCGTCGGAGGAGATTCCGAAAGACGAAAAAGAAGAAGTATATGGATGCTCCTGAGGTTTTCAGGCGTTCAAGATTGTTGTAAAAATAAAAATATTTTAAGGTCGAAAAAAAGAATTGAAACGATTGCTGCGTGCCGATTTAGAAGCGGACAGCGTGCGTTGGGAAATTGTTGAAGATAAGAAAAAAAGGTTTTTCAAAAATACATTTTTTTCAAAAATATACATTGTGATTTTTGTGTACTACCATTTCCGAAATCTATCAAAGTGGTTTAAATTTTAATTTGAAACGTTTCTCTTGTGAAATTTGTATTTTTGAACCCTGCACATGAGAAATTTGCTTCTTTTTGCAAGGGAATGAGGTTTTGTTTGTATTTTTATGATTTTGAAGGGTTCAAAATTCAAAATTTAACATTTTACCTACAAGTTTTTATCAATTCAGCTATATTATAGCGTAAATTAATTTTGTAATCTTATATTTTCGTTATCTAAAAGCTTAAAATTGTGTTTTTGACCGTGAAAGTAGTTCAACTCCAGGTTAATTAGCTTCAAAATCGACTTCAATCAGAAATTTGAGGGCAGAAAAAAAAAGAAGTTTTTTCGGTTATTTTAAAGGTTTCTGGTTAACTTCTTTCACATATGCGCTTTTTTCTTACTTCGAAAATTAAAATAATTGTTTTTGAAAGACTAAAACTAGGGTTCTTGATCAAGATTTTCAATTTTCTAAGCTTTGAATTTGCAAAAATCCACATTTCCTAAGCGAAAAACTTTTTCTCGTTAGTTTTATTGACAGTAGGACGATTTATCATAATAACTTGTTTCTGAAAATCAAATCCTAGCCTTTTTCTTACCGAACTTCTTCAGGAACCTTCCCAACAAGCGTCCGACACGGCCCTCTTCGGAGATCAACTTTCCAGCAGCGATTCCGACGAGGAAGTTTCCATGATGAACGACGACAAGGACGATTGAAACTGCAAAATTATATTATATTGAATTATATTTTCGCTCAATATTTATTGTGATCTGCTTATGGTTCTCATGTACAAATCATTTCAGAAAAAAATGAATTTTTTTAATTTTTTTACTGTCGTTCTTGGTGTTCAAACGTGTAGAATCGCGTCTTTCGACGATACTTTGAAGCATTTTATTAAAAAAATGTCGAAACTTTATGAAAAAGATGAATTTTTATTATAAATTTTCGGACTTTTACGACGAAAAAAAGGGCGGTTCAATTTATTGTTATGGATTTTTGCGCCGGTTCTAATCGAAAATGTGCATTTCGAAACAGGTTCTCACCTACGCCGCTCTCAAAAATTACCCCTTTTTGTTCCTGGTTTCCAAGAAGTTTAGTACGAAAAAAAGTAATAGAATTTTTGAAAAGCGTTTATTTTTTTCTCATTGAAAAAAATGATATAACCCTATCTTGCGGAATCTTAGCTCAAATTTGAAAAGTTTGAATCTTGTTTGAATTATTTTATTCGTTTTCTAAAGCTCCAAAGCCATCATCTTCACGATTTCAATTGAAAAATGCCACCTTTTGTTATTTTTCGCACACTTATTTACGCCAGAACAAGCAATTTCCCTCATTTTTTTTTTCAAAATAACATTCTTTTTTGTTCAATTTCTCGCAAAATACACTTTATTCTATAAAATCTAGCTTTTGGGAAAGCTATAAAAATATTATCTGACGGGAAAAATTAATGAAAACTCCTCCAAGTGCCCACTACAGGGGGTACGTACGTTCTTTGATTTTTCCCCCTTTAGGGGGCCACTTTTTATGTTTCAAAACGGCTAATAAACGTAGTTCTTGTTTCCCAGTCTAGTGTCCAGTTCGGCGAGTGGCTTTCCCCCTCATGGGCCTTTCGGAAGGACCCTTTACGGACCTTTCGAGCATCCGTTATGGATCAGAAGGTTTCCATTAATTGTTCCTAAACGGGTGGCAACGGTTTCCTTTTTGTGCCTTTTCCCGTCCTTTCATCGGCCTTTATCCACCCTTTTTGGACCTTTTGAAAAACAAAAAATTTCAGAATTGAGAAAAATCTTATCCAGTGACTGTGTATGAACCAAAATATGCTACAGTAATAAAACCATAATGGCCGAGACTTTTGTCACTCTTTTGAGGCTTTTTAGCCCGCCAAGAAAAAAAGGCTCAATAAAGGCCGCAAAATGGGACCCTTTTAGCCGCCATTTTGCACCCATTTTGGCACCCACCTCCGACTTTAGTAGTGTTCAAAGTTTGGAACCAAAATTAATCAATCTCAATTTCCAAAGCTCCAAAACCATCATCTTCACGATTTCAATTGAAAAAAGCCGCCTTTTGTTATTTTTCGCACACTTATTTACGCTGGAAAAAAGTAAATTCTTTCGCTTTTTTCAAAATAACGATTTTTGTTCAATTTCACTTTTTTCTTCTTGAATATAGCCATTTTCAAACTTGGGCTCATAAGATCAAGCTTCCTTGACCGTTTCGATCTGGTATTTCGCTTCAAATCAATAAAATCGATATACCAGACAAATAAATATCGAAAATGGCCAACAATTAGAAAGATGAGATCATCATTAGAGACCCGCTTTTGGACGGCCGCCCCGAAGCCTGCTTCACAACTTCTTTTTTTCTCCTTTTCTGATGCCGTTGCCCTTCCTTCCCGATATCCTCCCATTCTTCTGCCCAAACTATCATGTTCTTTTCGTGTTTGTCCCGCGCTTCCATGTTTGTTTTTTGATTGTTCCGCTGGTTCTGAACGCTTTTATGTTGATTGGAATCGCTAGGAATTGTGTTCTTGACCGGGTTTTTCAGTGGTTAAGCTTACTAGAGAACCCCCAGGTGAACTTATGATGAAAGAACTTCTTGATTGTAGAAGCTTTTGAAAAACGCGTTTTTTTGTGATAATGGCAAAAAAACGAGAAAAAGGGGGGGGCAAGAATCGTAAAAAAATTTCTGAAATCAAAAAAACTCATTCTGTTCAGTTGATTAGCAGAAAAATCGATTTTTTTCTTTCTCAGGTAAAAAAATCTTTTTTTCTTCGAGCTTTTGGGGAGGGGCGGGCTCGCTTATCCCATATATGTTCTAAAGTACACTTCACCAAAGTTTCATCAAAAAGTTCAACCGGGGGCAATCTCTTCTAAAAAAATCGGAATTCTCAGACTTTTTTTTCTGAAAAATATCATTTTTTTAAAAAAATTTCTTTGAAAAAGTTTCACGAAGCGCCTTTCCCCAAGAATGGAATATAATGAACGGTTAAAAACTTTTTAGGTCTTCAACCTCTTTGGTTTAGGCGTTTAGTTAAGGATCTGGTATTATCACATCAGTTTTTGCATAATAAGTGCTGGTCAGACTCTCCCATCCAGGTACATAACATCTTTGACCGTCCCAGTCAGCTCAGAGGAAATGGTTTTTAAATTAATAAAAAAACGAAACCTTCACTGGTTTTCTTCAATTTCTTATCACATCGCATTACTAATGTTTGGAATGACATTGAACATGAATTATTGGCAGAGGAAGACAAGAAAAAAATTTAAGGACATGTTTTTTTAGTGTATGCAGAAAATGTGGGCGTCGAGCATATTCTTTCAAGTGTTCACAGATTTGTGCCATGATCAACTTGGTTTTAAATATCTACTTATTATGGTTCTATGTTTCTTTTCTTACACAAAAAACCTTCTTTTTTCTTCACAGGTGGGGTTAGTTAATCCACCTAGTGGTCTTTTTCCCTCCCTGCAACATCACCATACCATCCCGATGTTGCGAAAAATAAACAAATTGAATCCAAAGGTTAGATTTCTCGTGTACAAACCAAGCGATATATTCCTATTTCTGTTGTCAAAAATAAGTTTTGATGACGTTAAGATGGATAATTTGTTGAAAACTCGAAAATCAACTTTTTATCCAGGGTTTTTCCTGATACATACTTTATTTAGTAAGTGATTGAAAATTAATTCAATTATCCAGTTTCTCTGAATTTCATCCGTCATGTTTAGAAATCCTTATTTAGTCAAAAGTGCACTTTTTCGAGCTCAAAGATCCGGATTTTTCCGAAGTTTATCCTCATTTCTAAGCCATTCCACCCTAAAAGGATCGTTTGTTTCCTCCGGTCTTTTGTTCTTTTCACTTTTTTTGCGGTTCAAAGGAGAGGCCGTAAAAGTCCAGCACTCATCGAGGCCACATATTGACAGGCGGCTGTCGTTTGTCCGACTCGAAGAGAGTTGTTTGTTGCCTTTTTGAGGGCTTTCTCTAGAGCCTTATGTGGTCAGAAGCCCTTATTTTACAGTTTTTGTACGGAAAAATGCTTCGAAATGCTCAATTTACTTTTTTGCTCTGAGGAATTTGCTTAGAAATGCAATTTTTGATCGCCATTGTCTAGGAATTCGTTTAGAAAACTCCATTTTCATGTTTTTTTTTTCAAAGAAGCTCCGTTTTTTAAATTTCTTCCTCTTCACTCCGTTAATTTTTAATTTTGAGACCATTCTCAGTTATGAGAAAAAAAGAGCTCCATTAAAAATGGCGCAAGTGCGCTCCAGTAAACCACAGTTATTTTAAAAAAATTTACTTTATAAGTAGGGTCCGCAAGCCATTTCTTCAGAACGATTCAAAAAATATGTTTTTCACATTTTTTGATAGAGGAGACTGTCCAATTTCATAATCCGTTTAGTTTTTGAAAAAAGCTCCACTAAGAAAAAAGTTATGGCCAAAAAACGAGCGCGCGCGGCGTACAACTGGAGGCAAAATCTCACGGTTTACCCGCTGCCGCACGCTTTCTTTTTAAATGTTTTTGCGCGTTTCTGGACCGTTTTTGAATCGGTTTTCTGCTCTGTGAGATTGTCCGAACTGAGCCTCATGTTTTTGGTATGAATCTTTTGTACAATCCTCATAAGAATTTTTTTGATAAAATATCAAAAAAACTACCTAGAAAAAAAGGTCAAAGGGATTTTTTTCAGCTTATTTTTTTCTTTTTTTCTACTTAGAAAAAAATTATTATCATTTGATTTGGGAAAAAGAAAAAATGAAAAATAATGTTATTTCGAAATAAAACAGGAAAAAGTGCAATTTGACTACGAAAAACGGCTCCTGCGACATTTAAAAGGGCGCTTCGGCGTGTTTGACGCAAACACTGCTACGGACACTTGCACGAAATCTTCCGAAATTTCAAAAAAAATTGCCATTTTTTTCGAGGTTTTTCAAAGCCGTTATTTTTTTCGCGTCGATCGATTTTTTTCATAATTTTTTTCATTGATAGAGTTTTTGAACGCTTAATAACATAATCAAAAAAATATAGACGCGATCCTATTCTCTCATGCGTCAACGAGGCAGGCGAAAAAAATGGAGGTTTTGGTAAAACTCAAATATAACTTGATTCGCTGTCCCAATAATTGTTTTCATTTTTGAATTTTTTTATTTTTTTGGACACACTGTTAGTTTTTAAATCAAATAAAAAAAGTATACCATGTCGCTGAAATTTTTTTCGCATTTCAGCTTCAAAGTTTGGTGTCACTTTACAAGCTTTAATATTTTTTTCGCGTCGGTAGATTTTTTTCATTTTCACTCAAAAAAATAAAGAAAGTGTTAATGTATAACATACTTAAAAATTTAGAAGCGTTCCTCACTTGGTTTTCTGAAACGCGACGATTTTTGTGAAACTTGTCAGTTTTTTTCGTGTTAAATCTTACTTTTTTTCGCTTATTTTTTTGAAAAAAATACATAGTTTTAAAAAAATATTCAGTCTTGTAGAGCGTTGTCGATTACATAAATTAACAGAAACAGTTAATTTTTTTAAAGTGGGACTTTAGCTAGTATAAACGCCTCAAAAACCGTTTTTGCAACAAAAAAATCGTCATTTTGGTGGCGTGAAGGGGCGAGGGCTTTGCGCCCCCTATTTATAAGCTCATTTTTTTGGATTTTCGTTTTTTTTTTTCTATGGTCAAACGTCCTCCTAGAACTTTTTCGAAAGACATTCAAACTCAAAAAAAAATTTCTGAAGAGTTTAAAGGCACAGAGACGATTTTCCAAAGGTCTCAAGGGGAAGAGCCTTTTTAAAAGTGTTATTTTTTAAGTGATTCAAGCTCGGGCAAAGTTGGAATGGTGGATAATGACCGCTAAAAGGGAGAGGCTCAAAAAAGGCTGCAGAAAGGGTCCCTTTATCGAGCCTTTCATTTTTCTGTGTTCAAAAAATGGTAGAAAAAGGGAGAGGCTTCAAAAATTATGCATAAAAGCCGATAAAATGGCGCAAAAAGGCAGCAAAAAGGAAATCTTAGACCCTTTCCACATTTTTCGACTTTGCCTATGAGAATTCTGCCCGGAAAGGATTTCGAACACATTATAGTTGTAATCCTTCCGACTAATCCAGTTCAAATCCACTCTGGAAGCCACAAAAACCAACAATCTAGGCGTCTGCTGTGGGGGAGAGGAGGACACGACCTCGTTCTCCGAGAAAAATTCCTCGACCTCACAGAGGAATAAGTGAAAGACGGGGTCATTTTCACCTTCCTCGACTTTTCTCACCACCTTCCTGTGGGAAAATCGAAGAACGCGAAAAAATCCTTAATTTCGCTCCAAAAGACGTGAAAAAATCTCTTCATTTTCTCAATTTTTTAAGAAAAATTATCATTTTTAAGCATCCCACTCTCAGCCAATTTTTCTGGTTTCGATTTTTTCCGACTTCTTTTCATTTTTTTCTCCTTTAAAGGTCTTTTTTGTCCCTTTGGCTTGTTATTCGTCATTATTTCCACGTGGATTTTTTTCGAAAAGGGATTTTTTTTTTTGAAATGACGAACGGCTTGCCATTTCGCTCAATTTTTTTCACTCGGATTAGAGAATCGGATAGCTTCGTTTCGTACTAAAGTGAATCTTCTTTCCATATTATTTTTCTCAAAATTGACGTTTTAAAATAAAATTTTAAGTTTGCCATCTACCGGTAATGAAGCATCTTTCGTGTTTGACTCAAAATTTTTGAAGTTCCAAAAAATTACTTTTTTAAGTACCTATCAAAATTCATCCTTTAATGTAGTTTACCTAAAATTTCATCGAAAAAAACCAATCGATTATATTCCGTTCGAAACTCTTTCCAGCGTGTTTAAAGGAGCATAGACAAATTTTTCGAGAAGGTCTCGAGGCGAAGAGATTTTTTTTATTCCGTTCGAAACCCTCGCATTTTTTTAAAGGAGCATAGAAAAATTTTCGGGAAGATCTCGAGGCGAAGAGCCTTTTTCTAATGTTAATACTTTGTCTTCTGATTTTTTTAGAAAGTTATAAAAAAATTACGAAACATGCTAACAACATTAAAAAAATAAGTTATCAACTTCATTGATTGATTTTTTTATGAATTTTGGGCAGATAATTAACTTTCTTCCGATTCTAATCCTCCAAAAACTCATCTACCCTGATTTTTATCGTCCTTTATTGATTTATTGATCAATATTACTCGATTCAAAGTATCAAAACTAAAATATTTCAGGTAAAAACTTGGCATGATCAACGATAAAAATAGGTGAGATCGACGATTCCCACGCTATGCGCCGCCACAAAAGCTACCTGTTGTTGTTGGCGATCGCCGCCTTCTCCTTATTTTATTTCTACTCGGGGAAGTGAGTGGATTTTTTTGAATAGCAAGAAAAAATGAAAAATACTTTCGAAATGTCTTTCTCCTAAATTTAAGTAAGGGAGCCTAGCCATCTGGAAATTTTCTGTCAATTTTCTCAAAAGAGCTTCGATGATTCTTAGAGTCTGTCCCCATGTCAAATTATCGCTCAAGCTCCGCCCTCAATGATGCGATAAACCAATCAGAAAGCAAACCATCTACAGAGCCTTTTTGAATGACGTCATTTTTCCTGATACGCAAATTTGAGGAATATCGATTTTTGACCCCATTCTGCTTGAAACGGGAATTTTGAAAATTCATTGCACAGAAAGCGATTCGACTCCCAATCGATTAAATATTGTTCAAAAAATCCAGATTTCTGAGAAAAATTGCTTCCGATGTTAGAGGCGGTTATCTTACATGAACAACTAAGCATGTCCGGAAGGAAATGGACTTTAAAAAAATTTGAAAAAGTAAGGTAAAAAAATAAGTTGGAACCCCATAGAGGTAATATTTACAGAAAGAAAAAGTAAATGTTCACTTCAGGAGGTTTAGCTGACTTTAATTTATAAAAAGCTCGGGACTTCAAAAATTGGTCTCATGAATAGCTTCTATATACTTTTCGACCTCTTTATTTTTTTTTTCCAGATCCGAAACGAAACCCCAGACGATCTACAGCGCAGCCTTGTTACCGGTTAAGCCATCATTAAATTATGACCAAAATTCGCCGTATATTTTCATTGGTTTGTTGAATTTTACTATTTTTTTCATCATTTGGAGACTTCGGATGTTGTTTTTAGTGTCAAGTTTACATAGAAGTTACTTCAAAAGTACTTTTATATTTATTTAAATTTTTTTTTGTGAATCTCGATCGTTTAATAGTTCCTACTGTCGATTATTGTAGGGAAACTGTTTTTAAAAAAAATAATTTCTGATGGTTGGAAGAAATTTTGGGGCCGCGAATATTCGTGAGCGTGTTATGTGCATACACCAATCGTGGGTGCTCGAATCTTTGAAAAACGATTTTAGGGAATAAAAAAAGCACTTTTCAGAGGGGGTTAGCCGCACCCCGGGGTGGGATCCAGCCGAAGTAAATCTTCATCAATTCTGTTTACGAAAAAAATTTGAAAAATTCATAAACAATCGAAAAAAATAGGGAAATATTTCCAAGATTGGTGTATGCACAATTCACGCTCACGAATATTCGCAGACCAAAAATTTCTTTTACTATCTTCTTCTTCTCTGTCAACAAATATTTCCCGATTCAAGGAGGCGTACCTCGATCTGGAACGACGTTGATGAGGGCCATGCTCGACGCCCATCCCGACGTCCGTTGTGGGGAGGAAACTCGAGTCATTCCCCGGGTCCTCGGCCTGAGATCACAGTGGAGAAAGAGCGAAAAGGTTTCAAAAAAATAATGAAAGTTAAAATTTACTGACGATTATATTGGGACAATTAGTAAATGTCTTCGAAAAAATCAATAACCATTTTGACAATAGTTTTGTTCTAAATTCGTTTCTCGATATATAAATTCCTTAAAAAGGCTCTTTTTTTATGGCTCAGAAGTCCATAGAACAGAAAATTCAATGGATTTTCTCCAAACTCTCATCTCAAAAATCCCACTTTTCGTCATTGTTCCGCTTCTTTCATTTAAAAAAAAACGTCTTATCTCTAAGTCTTCATTTTCATTATTTTTTTTGGCTAATTTTTGTTCTAAATCAGATATTTCGATATTAAAAATATCTTGTGAGGGTTATTTTTTCTGGCTAGAAGGCTTTAAAAACAGAAAATTAAACGAAATTTGTCCAATTTGACATGTCAAAATACTAATTTTCATCTTTTTTCTTGCTAGTTTTGTTCAAATTTGGAGTTTCTCGATATTCAAAAACCTAATAAGGCTTGTTTTTCATGTCTCAGAAGGCCATAGAAAAGTAAAATTTCACGAAATTCGTCTGAATTCTCATCTCAAATTTTCAATTTTATTCATTTTTCCTCTAATTTTGTTTCAAAATAGCTTTTCTCGGAGTAAAAAAATACCTTATAAGGCTTATTTTTTTTCTTGGCTTCGAGGCCAAAGAACAGGAAAAATCCACCGAAATTCTTTCAAAAATCGCATGTCAAAGGTTTAATTTTTTGATACTTATTTTCGCTCGTTTAGTTATAAGTAAGATGTTTTTTTAATATTCGAATACCTTCTGAGGCTCATTTTTTTCCTGGCTAAAAGGTCATATGACAGAGAAATAAACAAAATTTATTCAAAGCCTTATCTTAAATTCTCAATATTTTATTCATTTTTCTCACTAGTTTTGTTCAAATTTAAAGTTTCTCAATATTCAAATACCTTCTAAAGCTCATTTTTCCTGGCCTAAAGGCCATAGAAGATAAAAATGGACGAAATTTCTCTAAACTCTCATCTCAAATTTTCAATTTTAATCATTTTTCTCACTGATTTTGTTCTAAAAACGTGTTTCGATGATAGGATACCTGTTAAGGATAATCTCATATATGAATATTCCAATTTTTTAAAGGAATGGAACCGATTACAACAAGCCGGCGTCACCAATGAAGTTATCAACAGCGCAGTCAGCTCTTTTATCATGCAGGTATCGAAACGAATCGAAGAAAATAATGAATTTTAGTTCATAAATTTCGTTATGATTGTTAAAAATTGGATGGAAGAAAGTTTGACTACAAAAAGAAAGCTTTACACTCCAAGAGAATCGATAAGTTGCCAAAAAAGTGACGCACTAAAAATTCATGTTTCTCTTTGAGCTCATACTTTTATCACAGCAACTACACAAGCCTCTGAAACTTTTAGTTCAGGTCTTGACAGGCTCCGCCCCTTTTAAGGATTACTGTAGCCAAAAAAAATCCAACTTTTTTCTCCGTGGTGCCTCGGAGAACGTTTTTTAAAAAGAATTATATAGAAAAAAGGGTTCTGATGTATCTTTAAAATATATTTTCTTCATTTTTTCAATAAAAAACCCAAAAAATGATATTTTCCAGATAATGGTAGGCCACGGGGAGCCGGCCAATCGGCTCTGCAACAAGGATCCTTTCACGATGAAATCAGCCGATTATCTGGCCGAATTATTTCCCAAAGCCAAATTTCTGATGATGGTTCGCGATGGACGGGCTACCGTCAATAGTATCATTTCCAGAAAAGTTGGTGGTTGGAAGGGAATCTGAAGTGGTCACTTAAGGGGTGTATTTGGAAGTTCATGTTGGCCGTTTTTGCGGTGGAAAAATCAATGAAATCAAAAATTATGTGTTTTCTGTTGAAGGTGGCCTTGAAATAGCTTAGAGGTCGAGTAGCCACTTAAAGGATGAAATCAAAGTGATCCTTTAAGAGGTCATAATTTTTCTAATCGAGAAAATCAATGGATTCGTCTGGAGTTTTCTTTTTTTGTATGTTCTCATTGAACCCCTTGGATGCTTTTTGAGGAATCCTCACATCCTCACGGCGTTCCCAAATGGGGTGGAAAAACGTCAATTTGGCGCGAAATTTGAAATCTCAAGTACGCAGCCAAAGGCGATCGAACAAACAAGTTATTAACGTTTGATACTCGGTGTAGTTATGACGTCATTTTATCCGGCGCGCGCACTTACTTTTTTTTGTAAATTCAGAAACTTGACGCATCGCTCACCCCATTATAGTCTGTTCAGATTTAAAATGCCAAGTCCTCGCTGAAGCTCCGCCCCCTAATGGCGCGATAAACCAATCAGAGAGCGAGCCATCCACAGAGTGTTTTTGAATGACGTCATTGCACTTGACATTCAAAATCTGAACAGACTATAGGAATGCCGTGTTCTCTTAAGTGATCACTTCAGAAATCCCCGAATTCCCTCATAAATCATGTCAATTTTGAGTTTGAAGGTGACAATCACTGGCTTTGACCTGAACGATTACCGACAATGTATGCAAAAATGGAACACAGCGATTGAGACAATGATAACTCAGTGCGATTTGGTCGGTAGCCGCTGTATGAAGGTAAGTTCAATTGAAAAAAAAATTGAGACGGCTGCGAAAACTTTTAGTGCCCACTTTAGGGTTTTGGCCTTTCAGGTCTACTACGAACAACTAGTCCTTCATCCAGAAGCTCAGATGCGGCGAATTTTGGAATTCCTCGACTTACCGTTCAACGAATCGGTTCTCAAACATGAAGAGCTCATCGGCAAGGATATTTCTTTGTCGAAAGTCGAGAGGAGTTCCGATCAGGTATGTATCATTTTTATCATTCTTACCATCCATCGTTTGAAAACTTTAAACTGTTGCTTGAAAACCCAAAAATATGAGTTTGAACCATTTTTCATCGTTTTTTCTAGGTCTAACGTCAAAGGAACTCATTGAAAATTGAGAAATTATTTTTCTTAAGGCTTTTGATATTGGTAAAAGACGTCCACACTTTGAAAACTTTGAAAAAATCAGCCTCAAAATGTTTCTAAGTACACAGAGGTCACAGAAAAACTGCATGAACAGCTCAAAATTTCGAAAAATCAGCCTCGAAAATTTCATACTAACACTGAGGTCTCATACAATATGAATGAAAAGTTCAAAATTCCGAAAAATCAGCCTCAAAATTTTTCTGAGTACACAGAGGTCACATAGAATCTGAATGTAAAGCTCAAAATTTCGAAAAATCAGCCTCGACATTCTTGTAAGTACACAGAGATCACACAGAATTTGAAAAAAAGCCAAAAAATTCCCTCTTTAGGTTGTCAAGCCGGTGAATTTGGATGCTCTAACGAAATGGGTCGGCAAAATCCCGGAAGACGTCGTCAAAGACATGGCTGATATCGCGCCGATGCTCGCCAAACTTGGTTATGATCCTAACGCTAATCCGCCAAATTATGGTAGGAAATCGCTGTTTTTCAAGCTTCTGGACCGCATAGAAAAAAAAATGGGACTAAAAAAATTGAGGAATTTTGAGCCGCTTAAAATCGAACTTTTTTAGCTCATGTTCGCTCCATGGATAATTTTCGGTTTTTGTTTGTTTTCAAGATGAGAATGATCGAAAAAATGGAATGGAGCTTCAAGAAAAAAGGTTAAGATCTAATTAATATATTCAGAATTGAAATTTTGTACCTGAGGGGTCGCAAAAAATTTAAAGCCATAACTATTTTTCGAGCTTTTCTCGATTAGTTTTCATATAAAAAGTCACAATCTTCATAATTTTCCAGGAAAACCCGACGAAATCGTACGGAAAAAGACAGAAGACGTGCACAAAAATGGCGAGACTTGGTACAAAAAAGCCGTGGAAGTCGTAAATGACCCGGATCGGGTCGATAAGCCCATTGGGCCTTGAAAAAAGGAACAAAATCTATTCCAAGAAACAATTTATCTATACAGAACACGATAGAAACAACCCCTTGTTATACTGGTCTCAATATCTTTTTTTTTTCAAAATTTCTTGTCAAATTTATTTTTTGCGTCACAAGCGGCCTTATTTTCCTACATCCGATTAGTTTTATTATAATTATGCAGCATTTCTCATTTTTCTGACTGGGCAAAGTTCAAGTAAGACCCTTGAGAGACTACTTGAGGGATCAAAAATAATCTTCAAAAACCCTCAAGTGACAACTTGACGAAATTCAATAACTTTTCTTAAGTGTCCACTTGAATTTTTGTCAGTTTTTCGCATTTCAATGGACTCTGCTTACCTAAACACAAGTAGTAACTTCAGTGACCACTTAGGAAATGTAAAACTATATAATTCCAAAAATGCCTTCAAAACTCCTCAAGTGTCAACTTGACGAAATCCAATATTTTGTCTTAAGTGTCCACTTGAATTTTTGCCAAATTTCTGTCAGTTTTTCGCATTTAAATTGACTCTGCTGACGTAAATTTATAAGTGGTGACTTCAGGGGCCACTTGGGAAATGAAAAAAAAAACATTTTAATATCAAAAAAACTTTCAAAACCCCTCAAGTGACAACTTGACGAGATTCAATATTTTTTCTTAAGTGTTCACTCGAATTTTTGTCAGATTTCTGTCAGTTTTCCGGATTTCAAATGGCTCTGCTGACGTAAATTCAAGTAATACCTTAAGGAGCTGAATTCAAGTGGTCACTTAAGTGAACTCTTAGGTGATCAGAAAATGAAGTTAGATTCAAAAAAATCAATGAATTATCAAGTGATTCTCAAGTTGTCCCCTCAAGTGTCTACTTGAACTTTTCTCCCTTCTCCTTCGCCCTATTCCAATAATTGCTCGTGTTGATCCTGTTCCGGGTTTTTTTCACAGTTTATTTCATTTTTTCTCTTTTTAATGGCATTTTTGCATAATTTATATACTCGACTATTCATGTACCAACTCGTCTGTGATATTCCTCGACAGAATTTCAAAATATTTAGATATTTCTTTGTCGCCCAGAGTAATTTTCTTTCGATTTATAAACCGTTTTATTCATTCCTCGTTGGAGCTTTTGAAGAATGCAACGATTTTCGGTAAAGAGTAGTCCTCGAGGAGCAATGTTCGCAGTTGTTCGACCTTGAAAATTTGCGATTTGAATTTGAAAAGTTTATTGGAATACTTTTCCACGAATTGATCGGCCGGACAGTCGGGCCCGGTCTCTCAGGAGATTCTCGTAGATGCTCAGGATCCCACTGTCCTAAAAAAATCTTGAATTTCAGTGGTTCCTATAGGGGCATCTTTATTGGCCCTTGAAGGGTTCCCTCTAGGCTCGACTTCACCAACCCCTATAAGGGCCACTGAAGCTTGCAAAAGTGGTCCTTGTAGGGGTTTTAGTCAATGGCCCCAACAGGGGACATGTCGATAATTTTTATGTACTATTTCAAGCGTAAACTGAAAGCGTTTTTTCAAATGAAACTGAAAGACCTCTATAGGGACCACTTATAATTTAGGAGCTAAGGAGTCAGATGTTAAACCCCTATAGGGACCGCCTTGATTTTAACCCTATAGGGACCGCTTTACCAACCCCTATAGCAGCCACTACAGCTCGCTTTTCGATGTGAAAAATTGAATAAAGAAGAGTTTTTTTTTTCAATTAAATTGAAAGACCCCTATAGGGACCACTGTACCAACCACTATAGGGGCCGCTAAATCTTGCAAAACTGAAAGCATTTTTAAATGAAGTTGGAAGACCCCACAAGCTTCAGAGGCTAAGGAGTCAGACGTTAAACCCCTATAGGGACCACTTTTTCGGTTCGACTTTTTGCTAGCTTGAGCCATCAGAAAAAAGGTCCTGACACGATGAAGAACGAAATAGTGCCTTGTTAATGGACAGGCCACGCCCCTTAGCATCAAAAGCTAGCCGTCATTTTTTTTTGAAGTTACTAGTTCATTCTTAAGATGCTCAATCTTCCCTCCGACCTCCCAAAAAGCTTCCCCAAAGCTCACCTCCAAGGAGTCGGCGTCGGCCTGCTGGAAGATGACGTCATGATTCCTGAGCATCTCGGCGTTCTCCTCGCTGAGGAAGGAGACGTCGTCGTTGTTTGCCTCGAGTTCCTGCAAGACGAGACAAAAAATGAATGAAAAGATGTTGCAGACGTCGTTTCCGGCCCATGGCAATTTGATACATAAACACCACTTTGTCGGCGTCTATTTAAATCTGCAAACTTTGTGACGTCGTTTCCATTTGGAAGGTCGGTCCAAAGTCCGTCGGATGGGGCTTCTTTCAAAGATTCGGTTCATCAGAAGCGGTGATTTCAAGTCTAGGCTCAAAAATTTCAGAAAAAGTTACCGAAAAAGGCGGGTTTCTGCGTCAGGCTGGGCGGCCTGGCCCGAGCTTTTTTTGCGAAGAGGTCTGCGCGAGCTTGGGCTATCCCGGGCTTTGAAAAACATTTTTTAAAATTCAATAACCTAGGAATTCTTATCACTTGGGAAATCATAGCTTCTGTTGAACTTCAAATATTAAAAAAAAAAAAACTTGATTTTCATCGTAATACATTTTTTTGCTTTTTTTGACCGGGCTGGCCCGGATCAGGGCAAAAAGAAACTGGGCAGGGCCAGCCCTCGTACGAGCCTTGGAAAAAAAGTGATAATCTTTCATAGTCCAAAAAATCTGTATCTGTATTTTGAAAAGCTTGACATTTGACTTGAAGAAAATTCAAGCTTTTTGAGCAGGAATTAATTTTTTTTTAAATATAGACCAAAATATGATTTTTTTTTTTGCAATCTTTCAAGAGCTAGAAATATCCTAGTGAGCCTTAGGAACTACAGAGTGGTGCCTATAGAGGCATCCTTAAGGGGCCTTAGAAGGTCCCCTTTAAGGTTCACTTTACCAACCCCTATGGGGTCCACTAAAACTTGCAAAAGTGGTCCCTATAGGGGAAATGCTGGTCGATAATTTTTATGAACTCTAACGAAGAAGTATTTCCATGGGCGTTTTGAATCAAATCGAGAGACCCCTATAGGGTCCACTTGAGCTTCAGGGGCTAAGGGATCATACCCCAAACCCTATAAGGACCACCTTGACTTTACCCCGATAGGGACCACTTTATTAGCCCCTATAGGGTCCACTTGAGCTTCAGGGGCTAAGAGATCACACTGTAAACCCCTATAGAGACCACCTTGATTTTACCCCTATAGAGACCACTTTTTGACCCCAATTTTTCGGACGTGGTCCCTAAAAAGGCCACTTTTTCGGCCCCTTTGGGTGGTTATGGATCATTATGTAAATCCCTATAGGGACCACCTTGATTTTACCCCGATAGGGACCCCTTTATTGGCCCTTATAGGGTCCACTTGAGCTTCAGGGGCTAAGGGATCATACTGTAAATCCCTATAAGGACCACCTTGATTTTACCCCTTTAGGGACCCATATTTCGGTTCTTATATGGGTTTTTACCCCTAACCCCTATAGTGACCCCTCTGGAATTCCTGAGGCAAGCTTCAATTTTTTCGGCCTTCACAACTCTCCACACAGACCTCTTCGACATTTTTTTTCGGGCCCGGTTTCAAAATCCGAGTGAGTCCCAAATGTCAAAAAAGATACTTTCAAAGCGGCCGAGTACATCCGCCGCTTCTCCAAGTTGATTAAATGCGACATTTTCGGGTCCAGAAGCTTCAGGCAGTGCTCAACGCTGTCTTCGTCGAGTTCTGAAGGAGAATATCGATTTTTCTGAACTTTTTCTCCACTGACCACATCTGACATCGGTTCGGATCTGTTTCTGGAGGGTTTCCTCGGAAATTCGCTCTCGAATCACAGCAATCGTCGACATACAGTCCGATCGGAACACTGCCGAGCCTCTTCTGGAAGAATTCTGTGGATAAATGACTGAAAAAAGCCAGAAAAAGTTTGGATTTTCGCTGAAAATGCGCTCCAAGGCTAATTCAAGCACTCGGAGGCGCTCCCGGATTTTCGCTGAAAACGCGCTCCAAGGCTAATCCAAGCACTCGGAGGCGCTCCCGTTGTGTCGGGCCATTTCTAGTGATCCCTTTAGTAGCATCCGGCCTCTTAAGTGTTCCCTAGAACAATTATCTTCAGTTTCAAAAACTTCGAGAAAGCCCAAAAATAGGCCTTGAGACTAATCCGATGCTAAATTTTCATTTCAAAAACTGGAAATTATGAATTTCAGCTCAAAAAAATCATAAAGATCTAGGATTCTCAAAAAAAAATCCCATAAACAAAAAAAAACTGAAGCTCTCTTAATTCGCCATGGAGCGCAATTGGCCTTACTCCAATTTCCATGGCTTTTTTGTAAAACTCATCATTTTTGTCGCTACAAAAGCTCACTCTTTCTGAAAGTTTCGTGTTTTTTCTTTCCATTCGAACTTTTTCAAACGTCAATATGAGGCTGGATGCTGGAAAACTCGGCCGATTCGGTTATTTTTGAAACTTCCAAAGTTTTTTCGGATTGGTTAGTTATTTACATTTTCAAAATTCGTATAGTACTTAATCGGACTTCGAAAGTGCTCATTTTATGAAGAAATATGTTCCAGAAAACCGTTAAATCTTCAAAATTATCTTCAAACTCAAAAAAACTTGAGGATAGCCCTTATAAAGCCCGTGCCCACACTTTTTGAATGTCTGCGTCTCTCTGTTCCCTCACCGGCGGGGTCAGAAAAACATGAAAATAGCACGGCAAGATAAGAGGGTCGCCGAGAACAAAGGAGGGCGCAGAGAAAAAAATACTCCAAGTCGCGAAAAACCGACCGTCTTTTACAGAAATTCCTGATATGAACTCAAAACTGACGAATAGGTGACTTGAAGCTGAGTTCCTCCATTGGTTGCCGACTGGAAGTTATTCGTCACAGTGTCTGTCGGGGGGCACTTGATCGGAATGTCCGGCAGGAGCTGGTGGAGCCAGGAATGAGCCTCAGAAATCGAGAACTGGCCTGGAAAAAGAGCTTTTTGGATTTTTCAGTGTCAAACTTTTTTTTATAGCCGAGTCGTCTTTTAGCATTTTAAGACTATGAAGAAAAACTTAGCGACTCGACTAAGCGACTCGTCTAATCGACGCGGCTATACGACTCGGCTGAGTGACCCGGCTGAGCGACTCGGCTAAGCGACTCGGCTGAACGACGCGACTAAACGACGCGGCTAAGCGACTCGGCTAGACGACTCGGCAAAGCGACGCGGCTAAGCGACTCGGCTAAACTCGAGAGCTACCACCAAATTCGAACAAGTGAAGCTTTTTTTAGGATTTTGAAACTGCATCCGACGCGGTAAAGCGACTCGGCTGTACATAACATGACGTCATACTCAAATTTTCAAGTTTTCCTGCGACTCGGCTGCAAAAAACAATATCCTTCTTGATACAGTAGAGTCTTTATGATCTGATTTTCTTCAGGTTTTTTCATACTGTGCGACGCGGCTATGCGACTCGGCTATGCTCTTGATTAAAACTGGTGCTCGTCGAGTTCAATATGAACAGACTATCCTTCAAAAAGATAGTATTTTTTCAAAAATTAATCTCTTTCCAGGTGTTTTATTACTGTGCGACGCGGCTAAGCGACTAGGCTATGCTCTTAATGGAAACTGAAGCTTGCTAAGTTCCCTATGAATAGACTATCCTCCGGAAAAAAGCCTGACTATTTTTAAATCCCCCCCAAAAAAAAAACCTGTGAACGAGAGAACATTGGCGGGTCGATTCATGTCGAAATTATGAACTCGGACGTGTGCCGACAACGCTTTGATTTGGTAGATTTGCACCTGAAACGTGCCTTTATTCAACGAATTTTTCAAAAGTTCCGTTTGTAAATGAATCTTGGAAACTGCGTCACAAGTCCGCCTCCTCTTCTTGGGGTCAAAGCAAAGTTTTGGGACAAATTAGGAAGCCGAAAAAATATTCCATTTCATTCCGCGGACGCCATGCGACCCACGCTCGCCGTTTTCGTCCTTCTCGTCGCTATTTTAGCCCTTGTTCAGTGCTCGCCATTTTTTCTGATCCGACATTTTCAGGTGAGACTTTAAGATCTATGAGTTCCTTATGAACAGACTATCCCCTGAAAAAATAGTTTTTTTTCAAAATAAAATAATCCTTATCTCTCCTCTCAAAGCTTCAATCGCAGCTAGAAAAAGTCCGTTTTCTCGACGCTCTCTCGTGCTTACGTGCTGTTTCACTGTTTCTATGACGTCACCGGTGAGGGAAAAGAGAGATCAGACGGGTCAGACTGTCCCAAGTTGTGGCGGATGACTATTTCTGTGCTGTTCATCATGTTGTGTGTCGCTCAAAGTTTTTAAAAAAGCTATCAAAACTTTTGAACAACTTTTTTAGATTCTTTCTTAGCTTTTTTGTACTTTTTGTCCTTTAGTTTTACTCATTTTTTAGTTGAAAACTGGTTTTTAAAAAGTGCAAAGTAACTATCTTCATAATCCAATAAGTCTTCCCATTTTTCCCAAGTAAAATTTTGCCAGGAGAACAAACAATTGAGGCACAATTTGAAAGCCTTGTTGTCGAAAGTAGAAAAATCTTTTTTTTTGCCAAAATTTTTAGTTGAAAAAATATATTTCGATTTGATCTTTATTGATTTGAAATTCCCGCCAAAAATCCGCTTCACAATTGCAACAATTTACTACGGTAGACGTGCGGCCATCAATTCCTAGGTCAGGAATAACGGATTGTATAAGATGAATCTCTATCAGATGCCACAGTTCGATAAGTTCATTCCCTAGCAAAACATATAAAAAGGTAGATCTTTTTTTTGCAGTTTGGACGGGCTCTAATGGCCTGGTCGTACATGTGTGTATCGGGTGGGAATCATAAATCTGTGATTTTTCATTAACTTCTTGGTTGGGTCGTGGTGAGGATCGAACTTGCGACCCTTCGTACCGTAGACAGAGACTTAACCAGTTGCGCTACGGCGTTTGCCTCAAGGTCCAAATAACCTTTTTTGAACTTTGCTAAATGTCCTTTTTCACGCCTTCGGCGTCCCAAGTTGGTGAGGCAAGTTCGGCCGCGATGGGGATCGAACTTGTAACCCTTTGGACCGTATGCAAACTCCCAACCTGTTGAGCAACAACGCTGATACTATTTCAAAGAACTTTAACTAATAAGAAGGCCTTCAGATGCGAGACGACGGTCCAATCGAAAAGCGAAGCCTGGATAAATGCGGATGCAACCTCGGCTGCTTCTATTCCAACGCCCGCGACTGCATCAGCTGCTGCGCCCTCGCCCTCTGATTCCGCCCCGAATCGATCGATTGAACTGACGTCATCGTGAAAAATGAGCCCACGCAAATAATAAATATCCGAACGTGTTGCCTTGCAGTGAAACTTCATCAAAGGTCATTGGTAACGTCGAAAATGAATTTCTCAATTTTATGACGTCATCAGAACCTTCCAGAGGAATGACGTCATCAGAACCTTCCAGAGGAATGACGTCATTCATCAGTCTTTTTAGAAGCATATTCAGGCCAGTGACGTCATCACAGTGGACAATGATGTCATCCATTTTGATCCTTTCTCTCACAACTTTTTTCTGAAAGGTCTTCAGAACCCTGACACTAAAAGTTACTAGTGACGTCATAAAAATCAACATCTTCTGTACTCCTGACGTCATCAAGAAGTCGAAAGATGATCTCAAAATGCTCCCTTTTGCCTGTAGAAGCTTATATCGTAGTGACGTCACCCAGTAGCTGATAATGACGTCATAAATTATGGTTAACATCGTAAAAAAAAAACTTTCTTGGTGACGTCACACTTCTGCGCTCGTGACGTCATCAAGGGTCTGATAGCGACGTCACAAAGTTCAGAATCTTCTGTGGCATAATTTCTTGGCGTTTGTCAGACTTTTGGACTTGTGACGTCACCAGGAAACTTTTAAATGACGTCATAATCGCCGTGTAGCTTTTCGCAAACTTCTCCTTTTATTTTTTCAACACTAAAATTTTTTTCAGAATTTTTTTATCAAGTGGTCCCTTGAGCACTAAAAATCACCAACCTGAACGACTTTGGGGAAAGTTTTGGGGCAAATGTAGACGTAGAGGTCGCCGAATTCGCCCTCCTCAACTTGAACCCTCAACTCCAGTCGGCAAATGTTCGCCTGACAACGGTAGGAAGCCAGAAGAGGCCATGGATTCTTCAAAAAAATGGTCTCGAAACGAAGGGTTACGGTAGCCGCATACCATCTCCGACTGGCGGATCTCACAGACGACCGACGCGTTTTTCTCCACCTCAACAAGGCGAATCGGCATTTTGCTCTGGAATATGTTTTATTGATTGATTTTTGTTTAATAAGTCAATAAAAATCACCTGGATCAACAAGAAATCGATTGGAATCACCAACTCAATGGTCAGGTTGTAGACGCCGAGTTGAGGGCTGAACTCGAATTTGTCGTAGACCTGGAAAATTGCCGACTAAAGGTCGTTACAAATTTTTTTTTTCAAAAAATAATAACTTTTTCGATATCGTCCGGGACGGTCTGAATTTCCTGAACAGGCTCTAAAGCCTTACATAAAACATATTGAATCATAAAATTACCAAAAAAAACTGAAACTCTTACAAAAAAAATAATGCAATTTTCAGAAAAACCGTGTTTTCTCCTCAGTAAATCGTAACTTCTTTGAAATTTTCCAGAAGTTTTGAAAAGTATACATCTTAATTTACACTCTCAAACCCTTCGTTCGAAATTTTCAATTAATAAATTAGTGGAAAAAGAAAACTTCTACAAAATCTTTTACAGAAAGTGATAAGGACAAAATGAACCTAAAAGTAGAGATTTTTTAACCAGAATACTTTACCTTTCTCAAAAAAAAAAAATTGTCTCTTTGAAAAATCATAACTTCCCCCAAACTTCAAATTTCCCCACAAAATCTACATTTTCTGAATCCTCATTTCTCGCTATACCAAACTACATACAAAACATTGTTAATAAGGACGAAAATAACCTGAAAATAGGGCAAAAAGGCGACGCCGTTCGCGCCTTGTTTCTTCGTCATGTCGTCGTAACGTTGCCGCTCTTCGGTGACTTTCGTCTCCAGGTCTTCCACCTCGGTTCTGAAAATATTCTTTCTTGAGCAAAACGATTTTTAAAGATTTATCACTTCAATTGCTGAATTTTCACGTTGATATTTGCCGCCTGGGGGGCCAAATCGTTCGCATTTCTGGTGATTTTCGAGAGGGAGAAGATCCAGCCTGTAAAGGTCTTTTTCATGGAATTTGTTATTTTCGTTTCAAGAAAATATGAAGAAGAGGATATAATATTAATCACATAGAAGCAAAATCTGTATCTAAACCAACAGAAAATTGAAAAAAGGTCTAAATTTGCCTTGGTAACCGTTATGGACCACAAAGACAGTATGAGAATGAAAATATAGAATAATTCAGCCATAAAAAAATTCAGAGAGCCAAAAAAAGGGGAGGGGGGAGGGGAACTTCACAAAAAAACTTCAATGAAAAATAAAAATAGCGACTTCCCGCCAATACAAGTTGATCGTCAATTTCGCGGGGTAGATCAAAAAAATAATTTTACAGCTGGGTAAGTTCAAATCTTTCCCTTCTATTACCGTAATATTTTTTTTCCGGCTCATTCAAATTTTTTTCTCTAAAAAGCATGTTAGATGTTCTTGCGACTTAAATTTTCAAAAAAATTAGACGTGATTTTTTTCTAAAAAATGACTTCATTTTTTTACTCGTAAGAATCAAAAAAAGAAAAAAATGGATTATTTTCAATCTCCTGGAGTCATACTCAAGATTTAAAAGGTCATTGGATCTCAAATTTTCACATTTTCAACAGAAAACAATATGGCATTTTCAAAATGAGAGCGAAAAAATCCGTGAAAACAGCTTTTTTTGTACTTTTACTCTGTAGAACTGCAAAAATTTAGGGTCTTGAACCGAAATTGGTAAAAGTTGATCAAATTTGGAATACGGTCTTTTTGGAAAAGAAGAAAAGGTGACAATTGGCTAAACCAGGACAGAAACCTCTCCATTTCCGAAAATACCATTTCATACAAATCTTCGAAACAAACTCGCCAGTATGAGTACAAACGACGATTTCCGGCTCGTCCGGCGAGGAAACATAGCCGCAGGCGATCGAAGTGATCGTCTCATCGCATTGCTTCAAACGAATGACGTCATTTTCATCTCGAGACGCACTCACGAAATAGCCATGGAGCGAACATTTATCCGTCTCATCCACGGTATAGATTTCAACGACGCCGTCTTCTTTGCCGATGATGACGTCAGGAAAATGTGAACCGGTCAAGGTGAAGCAGGTGATCGCGGTGATGGCTGAATTTTTGCAAAAATAGTATCGCCATCAAACTTTGTATCAAATTTGACATAGAGCTGAAATTTTCTATGAGAAAATTCAAGATTAAACGTCCTGGCCGCAACCGGAATGGCTCGACGCGTTGCGGTCGCGCTGCGGCCCAAAATAAAGGCTCAGAACTTTATCTCAAAATTTCGAAAAGCAGCGATTCTCTTCTCTCAAAAACTCTGGTCGCATTTAGAATGGCTCGACGCGTTGCGGTCAAGAAAATTATCTCCAATCGGTTTGATTACCAGCTTGCGCAAGTCGTTTCATGGTCGGGCGCAGTCGCATTAAAAACGCTTGAGCCATCCCCACTGTGACCACCATTTTTATTCAGATTCGAACTGTAACTCTATATAATTTAGTCAAAAACTGCATTTATTCAGAAAAAAGGGGCGTGTCCAGCCAATCAGAGACGTAGCTCAATAGAGCAGTTTCAAAAGTTTTTGTCTTTTTGATTTTTTTTTTCAAATTTCCAAAATTCAAACTTCATGGTACCTAAAACGTAAAACGAGAGACAAAACTCGCCAAAAACCCCAAAAAATCCCTAAAGTGACCAATTCCAAGGCTTACCACCAGTAGACGTGGTTTCCATCTCCCACAGGACCTTCCCACCGCCCGGAGGGACCGAGGCGAGCCCGATCTTGCCGCTTTTGGTCCCATACAGTACCAGGTGCTTACTGTAGCCACCGTCACCCATGAACAGGTACAAGGTGTACGGTACGTCCTGCATCCGGATCTCGTATCCGATTTTTGAGCCTTCGATCACCTAAAATTTGCTTCTGGAGGCTGAAATTTTGAGAAAAAAGCCTGAAAAATTGCTTTTTTTTTAATGAAAATTTAGCCGCGGCCTTTTTTTTTGAGCCTTCGATCACCTGAAATTTGCTTTTGGAGGCTAAAGTTTTGAAAAAAAAGCCGCAAAAATGACCTTTTTTAAATCAACATTCAACCGCGGCTCAGATGAATTTAATGAAATTTTTTTTGAAAACATTTCGCAGGTTAATCAGAAAATAAGAATAGAAGGCTAAAACTTGAAAAAAAAATACAAGCCAGAAAAAATTTGAAAGGCTTCAGTCAGCCTTGATACTCAAAAAATGTGAATTTAACGCAGCTGAAGCTCTATTTTACTTCAAGATTTCCACAAAAAACCTTCAAAGTGGAATCACTGCACGCCAGAACCGAGGTGAAAGGCCGGTCGCCCCAGGCACCTTCGGCGATCAAACTCACGACGTCGTGAACGTCTTCCGATGAGAGGAGGTACTGAAATCGTAGTTTAGGCTATCATTCAGGGTAAATACTGAGTAGACCGACGCGAACTTTTCCTAGTAGGAACAAGGAGATGGAGCTGGTAAGAACGCTCAAGAATCGGCTACTACTATTCAAAGAAGAGGCGGATTTTCTAGGTGCCGTTCTTGATCAACGACAGTTTCACGAGCCGAAAAACAAGTCTGATCCCGTTAAGGCGCACCTGGATGAACTACGCGCTGAAAAACGAGGCGAGGGACCGTAAGACCATTCTTTCAACTTGATCAACTACAAGTCTGGACTTACCGATCCAACTTGATCAACTACACGCCTGGACTTCTTGACTCATTTTGATCAACTACACGTCCCGACTTCTTGACTCATTGTGATCAACTACACGTCTGGACTTCTTGACTCATTGTGATCAACTACACGTCTGGACTTCTTGACTCATTGTGATCAATTACACGCCTGGACTTCTTGACTCAATGTGATCAACTATACGTCTGGACTTCTTGACTCATTTTGATCAACTACACCTCTGGACTTCTTCATTCAACTTGATCAATTACTCGTCTAGACTTCTTTGTTCGTTATAGCTCCAAGAGTTCATGTTCACCGCCTAGTCAATTACATCTAGGACTAAAACAACAGAACAAATGATTGATTTCATCAAAACCCCTCGAGCTTTTATAGTCGATGTGCCACAAGTTGAAATTTCATGGAACGACACTCCGCTGTTTCGATTTGTGCGATAGCGCGCATCTTGCGGATTTGCCAACCTCGGCCACGCTAATTTTTTTTTGGTTTTGATTCTAATTTTGATCGTTTTTTAATTGTTTTATTCTTTTAAAATGTATTATTATCGTTGAAAAGGATAGCGTTGTACAAATTTAAACGAAAGAACACAGTAAATTTCATGATCTTTCAAAAAGGTATACTATTCCCATATTTCCAAACTCCAAACTCACATTGGTATCAGCACAGTCGTGGTAATGGTTGTAGCTCTTTTTTCCCGTCAAGACCAACTCAACGCCATGTACAAACCTAGAAAAAAGATACATAACTAAAATTCAACCCATAATTTCCGAGAAAACTTTTTTCCAAGTTAAACATATCGAAAAAGTTGTTGCACATTCAATTTATCAATGAAAAAAGGTATTGATTGTGCAGGAAAATTTTTCTACGAAAAATTAATACGACTTTTTCATAATTCCTCCAGTTTTTTTATAGGCTTTTATAAAAAAATTTTCCATTTTCCCCATTTTTTTTCATGGAAATTCTTTTTTTCTTTCCTTTTTTTGAAATAGATCACGTCAGTCAGCCAAAGAGGATTAGGACACGAGAAATAATTAACGGAACAGTTGGAAAAAAAGAAAAACGCGGAAAAAAACAAGAGAAGGAAGATCATTTCTAAAATTCGAAAAATAACATTGATAGTTTCTTTTTTTCCTACTAATTTCAACTTTATATAGGTCTGAACGTACCTAGGTCTTTTTTTCATGAAAATCTTTTTCAAAATTTGAAGATACAAACATTCTTTTTGGCGACTTCAGCCATGTTCGTGTCGAAAGAGAAGAAAAATCTTGCCCTTTTGTTGATTCCACGGACGCTTGTTTCTGATGCCACGAATATCTGAACACACTCTTCGAAGCTTTATTTTTGAAAAAAATTATCATTGGTTTAAAAAAAACTGTCTAGGTACAAAAAACGTATTCTGATAAAAACCTTCATTTAATGTACAACTAATTTCCCCTTCTAGTGAAGTTCTGGTCGCATTGAGAATGACTCAAAGCGTTGCGTGAGGCTTAAAAATGAATTTTTAAAGTTTTTTTTTTTGGAAATTTCGAAAAGTTGATTCAAAATGACTCTTCCAAAAATCTTCTTAGACTCCTCTCAATAAATGAAACTTTTGGATCAAAATTCATTTTTAAGCCTCAAGCGACGCTTTGAGTCATTCTCAATGCGACCAAATTTTTTAGAAAGTTTTGACTTTTAAGCCTTACAAGGACAGTTAGAAAATCTTCTTTTTATGAAAAAGTAAAAACGAGCTCAGATGTAAAACAACTCTAAAGTGGCCCTTATGGGGCTATTCTCAATACGACCAAAACTTTTCTAGAAAATTCGGACTTCAAGCCTTACAAGGACATTTAAAAAATTCTTCTTTTAAGAAAAAATCAAAATGAGCTCAAAAGCAAAAGTACTCTAAAGTGGGTTCCAACCAATTCTGATGAATTCAAAGGCAATTTGTTATCAAAATAAAGGCTCGAAAATTAAAATTCAATTATTCGGGCATGAAAGTGCTTCATTTCTCAATTACAGTGTTAATGCAAAGCGGTCGCGATGAGTTTTTGGCGCCAATTCAAAAGTAATCTGATTTTAGTGGAGTTCAATTATTCAACTTCAGAGAATTTATTTTGAAAACCTTCGATCCGGTTCATTTAATTTCGTTGACAGAACATTCGAAAAATTGTCACGATCACTTTGAAACAACTGAAAACCAACGTTTCAGGTCATAATGAAGCGTTTTTGCTGTTCGTTAAGTCCATTCCTAACCAAAAAAAAAATACTGGTCAAAAAAAGTTCTTCGCCTTTATAACCTCTCCATGCAAAAAATGAATGCCCTCCTGAAAATTTATCTTTAGATTGAGCTAAGAATTAATGAACCGAACGCTCCACCTTAATATATTAACATTATTTTTAAAATAATACCTTATCCTTCAAGGTTCCACTGGCGCCACTCATACACATGCACTCGATCGGAGCGCCCGGCATCGTTTTGAACAGGATCTGCGGGAAAAAACGATAAAAATCAGTTTTTGAGCTTTTAAAGGGAACATACACACATAATTTCAATGGAAAAGTACATCTATTCAACTAAATTCATTCTTTTTTTCTTCTATTCACCTGAGTATCATTGGAATTTCTCGTCAAGCAAATCACACAGCCGTTTTGAGCGCCAACCGCGATCTAAATCCAAATCAAAAAAATGCTCGCATTTTAAAGACCTTATCAAGGGCCTTCTTGCTCCGGTCGCCAGGAACAACGCGCATACAGCCGCGATTCGTGGTCCCGACTTGCGCAAAGTCCGATCGGCCGTATTTTAAAGCTTTGTCCATTTTCTACCGTGCTACAAATACCAGTAGAATAAGTTGATTACACTTAGAAAACGATAGAAAATAAGAAAATGCAGGTAAAAGGTAAATTAGCAAAACAAAAAGGCCGCGCGCCAGGTAACCATGGCAACGCAATTTTCGTTTTTCCCTTAGAGTACCACTTGAAGGGTTCACTTTAGGCTTGAGCATAATCTAAAAGATCTCAGGAGAATCTTTTGATTCATATTTTCAACGGAGTGATCACTTAAGTGACCAGATTCAAAAGTCCTTTCTGTTGATGTGAACATACTAAAAATTAATTTTCTCAAATTTCCCTTAAGTGGGCTCTTGGTTTGTTTCAAGTGGTTGACATTTTACCGCGAATTTCACATCAGCATTTTCCTAACTTAGGAACTCCAGAGTGATCACTATAGGGGCTGTCTTTTTGTCAAACCTGTTTTTCTTCCCCTATAGGGGCTATTTTTCCCCCTAACCCCTACAGGGATCACTTGGGCTTTAGGGACTATGGGTCAATTTCTAAACGCTATAGGGACCACTTTTCATCCCCTATAGGATCTCTTTTTTCCCAAAAGCCCTATAGGGACCACTCCCGAATTCCTAAGAAACGATTACTCCCAAAAAAATAATCAAAAACCCCTCAAGTGACAACTTCAAATTTCTGAGATTTTAAAACCCCCCCCCCTTTTTTTTTCTTTTCTTTTTCATGGTTTCACAAATTCAGAATCTCAAGAACCCCCTTGAAGCTTTTTCTACATCTCAAAAATTTTGCAGATCAAAAAAACACGTATTTTTTTAGTTTTTAATCCCAAAAAAGGCTCGGAATAAGTAACAAAGCATAAATAATCTTTTCCTCCTAGACATCACTTTTTTTCCGCAAAATAATTGTTCCGAGAAGCTTCGAAATGTTTTCTAGTAGCTATTTTTCGAAACATCTTCCTGGAAAACTGGATTTTTGAGGAGATCCGAGAAGCCTTATGAGCATATTTTTGAAATCAAGCCTAGATAATTGAAAAATTAGAAGTGTTTTGGGTATTTTGGGATTATTTTTTTGAAGATTTGAGGCTTTTTTTGTCAGGAATTTCGATAACAAAAAAATTCTAGACTCTTAAAAATCCATTTTTTCATTCTGAGCTTTCGAGCCCAATTTTTGAGAATCTTGAGAGTTTGCAAAAATTTTCTCGCAGCAGATTTCAGCATTTGGAGCCTGGACCAACGTCTTAGCCATGAAAATTAAACAATAAAACTTTTAAATACCAAAACTTCTAAATTTCAAGTCATCCAATACCTTTTTCCTAACAATATTTCAACTTTCCTTCAAAAATATGTTTTCTATTCCAAAATTCCACTTCAAACGTCACCCAAACAGAATTTCAAATCATAAAAACTCGAATTTGACTCTATTTTTGGTCCGACCTTTGCCAAAAACCCACTCAAAATTCAATTCACCCACAAAACTTTTCGCCGTTTTGAATGACGTTCTGGAAACAACGGGTGCAAACCAATATGCATTTTGGATGAAACGATGGAGCCAACTTGTCCTGTCAACTCCACTTTATTTTTTTCCGGAAACGAGAGAATAAATCATCGATGGACAAATGGGCTAGTCCAGACTCGATTTTCTTAACCGAGCTTCTAAAATGGTCTTTTTCTACAGAAAAAAAATATACAGAATTTTTTTTAGACATGAAAATAAATCTTGGTGATAATGTGATATAATCTTATTCAAAAAAATTTTTAATAATTCCTCTTGCAAATTATGGCTTTTTCATACTCATTGAAATTCCGAAAACCAATTGAGAAGAGCGTTAAAAAAATAAATTCAATAAAATTTTGAATTTGAAAAAACGTGACACGGACCTCGTTGCGCAGTAATTTTATTCCTGATCATCTGACCAGATTTTTAGTCTGCTTAACTGTTTGAGAGCTGAGTTTTGGTCTGCTTAACTTTTTTAGAGTTCCTCATATAGCTGATTCACGGCTGGCTTGAACCATCTTGAAAAGGGTCCTGCCACGAAAAGAGACGAGACAGTGCCCTGGTTAATGGAGAGTGCAGACAGGCCTTGCCTTTTTGCGTCCCAAGCTAGCCGTGAATCGTCTATAAACTTGGGAGATGCACCTTGATTTTTTATTAGCTTTTAGATGATTCTTTTTTTTCCATAAATTAGGAGCTGCACGTTGGTCTAATTATCAATGGGAAGTTATCTTGGAGCGACAATGTGAGATAATTTATTCAAAATTTTTAATATTTCATCTTGTAAATGATGATTTTTCTTCTTTTTTTTGAACCATGTGACCAATAGAGAAAAAGTATTAAAAAAATGAAATTGCTGTTTGAAATATTTTTTTAAATATACATTTGGATTAAACCCCCCTTCAAAAACAGTTTTGGTCTGCTCAACTTTTTTTGAGAGCTGCTTTCAAATTTGAGAGCTTCATTTTGATCCGATCATTTTTCAGATAATTAATTTTTTTCTTTCTTTTTAAAGTTAGGTGGCTGCAATTTAACCTACTTACTCATTTTTTTGCATAGATTTTTTTCGAAAAATTGAAAAAAATTAGCGAAATTAAAAAAATTCCCAATTGAAAAAAACTACCACATTTTTTTATTAGAATCGCTATTTACGAACCTTCTCCTGAAACTTTTTTTAAAAACTTGAACCTAGGAAATTCGAATTAAATTTTTTTCTCAGAAAAAGATGTCCAATTTGATATTCCAACACATACTTTTCCGAGTTCAAAAAGCTTCTTAATTGCATGAGATCAAAAATCCTTGAAATAAAAGTTCCTTCATAATTATGGCACACAGCGAAACAAAATTTTCGAAAAACTAGTTTCTCTCTTGGAAATTGGGCAAAAAAACTCGAATATTCCCAATTTAAAAACGCAGAACCATGTGAAGTTTTATTAGTATCAAATTTTTATTTTTAAATAATAATTATTTTGATATGAAATCAGCTTTTCAAGACCTATTTCCATGAAAAAAACGATTTTTTTATACAAATTCTATTTTTTTCCAAATGGACTTCATTTTTAATAGATTTCATGATTTCCTTCGAGTACTTTCTTCAAAAATGCAATTCAAAAATCTTGAATATCTGAAATGAATGAAAAGCTTGTTGACAGCCCAATATATTGAAACGAAAGAATTTCTTCAAATTTTTGGAACTTCCCAAAAATTCCTAGCTGGAATCCGTTCGCAATTTAAAGATCTTCACGAAAAGAATCAGAAACTTTCTTGTCTGGAAGCCGCGCAAAAAGTGCAACATGGAACTTGGCACGGCAACTGTCAATCGTCCGCCAGATCCCATGTGGTCTAGTGGTTAGGATTCGTGGTTTTCACCCACGCGGCCCGGGTTCGATTCCCGGCATGGGAAGATTCATTTTTGCTAATTTTTTCACTTTTGGAGGTTGAATTTACAATCATATAATGAAAGAAGAACGCAGAACTTTAGAAAATTGATAGTAAAAGTTTAGAGAAACTATCAAAAACTGTCATTTCAATTGAGTTTTCACAAGAGCTATTTCTAATTTGATGACGTTCTTGCCTATTTTCCTTTTTTTGAAAAATTCCAACGTGTATCCATTAATCAAAAATGAAACAAACCTCTAAATCCTTGTAATTATGGTGGTCTTTTTCTCTCGCCGGCGTTCCTTCAGAAAAAATGACATCATAGAGCTGAAAGAGAGGTTTAAAAAAACAGACTCTCGGATTTAAAAAAATTACCTGGTTTTTTTCCACTGAACAAAAAGTTTTTTTTATCATTCGCAATGTAGATTCTGCTCTGAAAAAAGTCTTGTTAAGAAAAAAATAACGAGAGTTTCGAAAGGAATTTGAAAAATCGCTCTTTATTGTCACAGCTATGAAACGTAACGTGAATCGGTATTTTAATCGAATTACAGAAAGAATAAAAAAAATTAAGTAGAGAGAAATAAAGTGTATTCCGAAATACAGTTTATTTTTCCTCTACTTAATTTTTTTCATTTCAATTTTAAAAACTAGGTCGAGTTTGCAGGAAAGGCGCGCCGCAGTTTGCAAATCTACCTTTTTATTTTTTTCAAACTTTCTATAAATTAAAAAAATCGAACTTTGTTGAAGTTATTTAAGAATATTCAAAAATGGGAAAAAAATCCATATTCTATTTTTCCGACCAATTTTCCTTTGTTTCTATGCTCTTTTCAATGTTTGATTCTTAGCTTGAAATGCTCAAAATCCGGTATTTACCTCCGTTTTCCAACGAAAAACCCGTCGAACCGGAGGAAAATTCTCCAGCAAACTTCAATCACAATGACTAATTGATGGCCGTTTTGCTCTCGACGCGCAAAAATGAGCGTTTGAGCGAAAAATTGCTGTTTTCAAAACGGGCGCGGCTACGGTGTAATTAGAGGTTCTGTGGGGCTTTTCCTTTGTTTTCAGCGGGAATTTTCGGAGCGAAAAAAAACTATGTTCAATTTTGAAGTTTTCAATAGTTTGTCCAAAAATGCATGTTGAAGTTTTTGAAAAAGCACGGTCCGATTTCAAAAAGGTCTCGAGGCGAAGAGACGTTCTAATTGGTATTTTTAGGTTGTCTTGCACCTTTGAATTTTTCTGAAAGTTTTTTTGAAAAGATTTTTTTGGGATTTTGAACATTTTTTTGAACTACAGTTCGTTCCAACGAGTTTTTTTAAAGCGCAGCTAAATAAAGAGAAAAAAATCACGAATCGAGTTTTTACATAATTTTCTCATGTTCTCCCTTAAAACTTTTGAAATTCGACTTGGGAAAAATAAAAATATTTTTAAAGAACCAAAAATACGTAATTGCTAAGCCCATAAGAGAAGTCAGCTTCCGAAAAGACCGAAAAAGTTATTTTTTCTCGACTTTCTGAAAAAAAAAGCCGTTTCAAACAGAAATATAAAAACCCTGAACCCTCTCTGACAAGGGCAAGTAAAACACGAGAAATTCCAAACTCATGATTTCGAATTTCGAACGAAAATCCAACACGAAAACGGTTTATTTGGCGGCACACTGAACTTGAGAAAAAAAAAATACAAAAAGTTACATTTTACAAACAAAAACATTATTCGAATTGAAAAAAATAAATAGATATTTATCGACCGGCCCAAGCGTAAAACTGCTTCCGCTTGTTGATTTGGCCCGAGCTGCTCAAAACGTCGTCTTCGGGAGCCGATCGCTTGCCGGCCCAAGCGTAGAACCTGGGACTTATTCGATTAGTTTTGTTAAAGAGTCTAAATTAATAGAAAGGCTTTTGAGTGAAGCTTTTTAAAGCCTTAAGAAAAAAAACATGAGGGAGAAGAAAGAGTCGAAAAATCAGACGAAAAATGAATAAAATCAGAAAATCAGAACTATCCTTAAAGTTTTTTTTGTATATGGAGGAGCTTCCAAACCAGAAGTCTATCATTTAAAAAATATTTCTTCAAAAAATTAATTTTTCCTTCCAAATTTGAAAACTATTGTCGCATACTGGCTCAACGCAAGACGGCTGCGAAGCGGATGATTCAAAAAAAAAACATCGAAATTAACTTCAAAAAGCTACAAATTGTCACATTGACCGCATCGCAACCGCGACGCTTCAAAAATATTTCAAATTCCAACATGACTGATAAATTTTAATCAATAAAGTATGTAAAAAAAGTATTTTTAAAAAAAGTTGTTGAAGAAAAAAATCCTGGCTTTAAAAACAAATTCAATTTTTCTTTTTCAATAAGAAACAGAAGTATCTTCACTTAAAATGAATTTTGAAAAATTTATCTTATTCCAGATTAAGGAAAAAAATTATGATACATCAATAAAAATACATCAAAGATAGAAGTACAGGTGGAGAAATTTTCAAAGTCTACTGACCGAACTTCTTTCCTTTATTTATATAATTTTTAAGGATGCCTAATAAATTTTTTTGAATTGATAATATCAATTAAAAAAATTAATTAAAAACCCACTGTTTTCTCTTGAGACGAGAGCCGTCATCGTCAGCGCGTCGACCGTCTTCCCAAGAATAAAAGCGTTTCATCGCCTGAAAATGATGAAAAATAATAAATAAAAATCATATTGAGCTCAAAATACATTCTCATTCGAAATTGTCTCTTTTTTCGGGACTTCACAGTTTACAACGTCCAAAATCACGACGGAACTTAGCGCGCCAAGTCACCGCACACCGCCAGATCCCATGTGGTCTAGTGGTTAGGATTCGTGGTTTTCACCCACGCGGCCCGGGTTCGATTCCCGGCATGGGAAGATTCCTTTTTGCTGTTTTTGTAACTTCCCATAACCTTTAGGAATTATGGAAAAAAAGTTGATATTCTTGCTTTTTCATCACTCGGCTAGTTTTACAAATGCAAAAACATGTAATTACGCACAAATTCCATCCTTTTTATGTGTTTTTCAATTTCATTCCTACTTGTACTAAAAAGCAAGTGAAAAAAATATTCAATTTCAAGCCAAACTGAACAATAAAATAAAAAAAGCGGAAATTACTTTCTTGATTTAACGCGTCAATTAATTAATCCGCTCCCTTGTAATTTAGCCTTGAAGGGAGAAATTTTAGCTTCCTTATTGGGGATTTCGATATATTCAATTAGAAATAGGAAGCTTATAAGCAAGAGAAAGAAGAGTTCAAATTATTTTGCAGAATAATTCGAGAAAATTCAAATTTTTTGGAAAAGCACCAAGTTTCAAAAAGAAGATTCCTACAGAAATCTGTTCCATTAAATGGAAAAAAACTTATAAAAAAATAATAATTATTGCAACAAAATTAAATTTAAAGCTTAATTACTTCATTTCAACGTAAAGGGGAAAAATTAGAAGTGAGAACTGTTGAAAATTTAATAGAAGAAAAAGTTGACAATCTGATTTAATTTTTTTAAAAATATATGAGAAAAAAAGGCATTCAAAAATATAAAAAATTACTAAAAAAATCTTGTGACGTTTTGCTGAAAAAAATCCCAAAAAAATCTCGTTTTAAATTTAAGTTTGCGCTCATTTTTCTCGTCGGATCAAGTTACAAGGCTGTAATTTCGATATGAGTCAAACTTGTCAACATTGGACTCTGGTTTGAGAAGAACTATTAGAGTAAATTATACTTTTCCAAGAATATTCATCAAAAAATTAAGAGTTATCTTCGACCAAAACTTCAAAAAAAGGGACAAACTTCACAAAAATATTCAAAACTCGAAAAAAATGTCAGAAATGGACTTAACGACCTCATATTTTCCCTGTTGTCAGAAATGTAACCTCAGGATCCATATATTTTTAAATTGGTACTTATCGAAAAAAATCCTCAATTGACCAGAATGGTGAGTTTTATAACCTGGTTCATTTAAGACTTCTCAAACTATTTTTGATAAAACTTCTTCACAAGGTATATTGATTCAAAAGAGTTCATAATTATGGATAAACGACTTTTTTTCTCTTTCTAATGGTACCCAAATGGTCGGAAACCCTTGACTTTTGAAAAAAATATGAATTTTTGAACTTTTAGAACCGAAAATCGTCAAGGTCTTTTTCCTTTGCGGTTAGGAATTTCCTAAAATTTGGCCCGAACTTTTCTTAAAAAACCAAAAGAGGGTCCTGAAAGTGTCAACTAGCACAACTTCCCAGTTTTCGAGAAAAGACGCCTCAAAGTCAAAGAAAACCCTAAAAAGCAGGTTTTTTGAGGCTTTGAGCCCTTATTTCTGGAAAACTAGGAAGTTTTGCAGGTTAAGACTTTCAGATTCTTCTTCTAGTACGTCAAGGAGTGTTCTGGCGGATTTTCAGGGAATTTCTAGCCGAAAAGTAAAATGACTTCCCATGTGAAGACAGACGGCTTGGAAGAATTTTTAAGCTTGGAACTAAACTAACTGTGAATGAACTGCACCCATTCAAGAATATTCGCGCAAAAAAATCAAGATCAAGAAAATCCCTCCTACCGTCAAAGGCGCTTCGACTTCATCTGTCAAGTAGGCGTCCTGACTTCTGAGGGCCTGGCAGAAGACGTTTCCGACGACGACGGCGATCAGAAGCACGATTCGGACGAGCATTCTCGGCGGCAGGTGAGGGCAAAAATGGAGAAAAGGCCGAGGATGGAGCCAAGCCCTGCTCGAAGCTCCGCCCACTTTTCGACGTCCGCCTTTTCATTTCCAATTGCCTTTTTTTCTAGTGTTTTTTTTTTCATCATAAATCTGTTCATTTATTTATTCGATTGTTTGTTTGAGTGTCCTACTGTACTTGTCGGCTTGGAATGAGGAACTTGGCCTTCGAAATCGTTTCTCAGACAGCTCTCAAATTTACCTCTCGATTTTTAAACTTGACTTTTTGGGAAAATTTTTAGTGGCCACTATAGAGGCTCGCCAAGGACTACTTGAAGAGGACACTAAAGTGGCCACTAAACCCACCTCTATTAAGTGGCCACTTTAGTAGTTTTCATCCAGTATTCCTTCCAGTAACTCTGATCATCTTAAAACAAACAGATTGGACCAGTTATGTTGATCCATTGGCCCCTAAAATGGCCACTAAAATTTTTAGCGGTCTAGTAGTAGCACTCAGACCTCTATAGTGGCCACTAATTTTTTACCTCTTAAGTGGCCACTAGCTTGACTACTATAGTGGCCACTGAAAATTTTCCCATTAAATTACCCTGTTTTTTTTTTTAAATTTTCAATAGGATTCATAATAATTCGACTGTTTTCAAGAAAAAACACGGAAATGAACTTCAATTTAGAGAACTTGTACTTTATTGATTATTTTGAACCTTCACGCGTTATATTCATCGCGAATAACGTACAACGACTCGTTTTGACAAAATTTTGAAAGCAATGAAAATATCTCCAAAATTAACGTGAAAGGTTACTCTAAACCTACTAAAATCACCTTTAGATTGGAAAAAATTACTCTTTTCAATAAAATTCTCAAAATCCAAACGACACTAATGATATACAAGGTCTAACTTAGCGCGCCTCCTCAAGATCGGCCGCCAGATCCCATGTGGTCTAGTGGTTAGGATTCGTGGTTTTTCACCCACGCGGCCCGGGTTCGATTCCCGGCATGGGAAGATTCATTTTTGCTTTTCATTTTATTAATTGAGAAAACATAAAATGACAAAGTTTTTTTGATTTTGCATCATTTTTTTGAGCTAATTTTGAGTTTTTGAAAGGGCTTAGTGAAGCAAAACTCTGTAAAAAAATGAGTTTTTTTAGAATGAAATCGTTATTTTTTTCCGAGTTTATTTTTTTCTGGAATCTAATATAAAAACTATTTATGAACAAAGAAACCGCTTGAATTTTTTTCAAAGTCTAAAAATTTTTTTAAAAAGATAAACTCTTCAAGCTTCGAATTAATACGTATTTAAAAGAAAAATTATAACCTTTCAATTTTAGTAATTTTTTTCCTACCAAATACCTGAAACTCTTTTTTTAGAATCTCAAACCTCAACAATTTTTTTCTTTTTCTTTCTCAATTTGCAAAAAAAGAATCCAATAATTTACAAATATTCCAAAAATAAATAACTGAAACCAAAGTTGCATCATAGTGTCCTGAAAAGGAAGTCCCGAACGAACTGGACGACTTTTTCCTGGATCAACGACGGATTTTCAGAAGCCGTGACGTCGACACACATGGCGATTCCGGTCGCTCTTCGGCAAACCTTAGAATAAATGACGTCATCAGGAAGGTGTATAATGACGTCACTTGTTGGAATGGACATTGAGAATTTGTGGAGCAGAGTTGATTTCGGCGGGGGTCAGGAACTGTAGATGGTCGGCAGCGGAAAATCTGAAAAATGCACTTAAGTGGTCATTTTGAGTTCTACAAGGGTTCTTTGCTGTCAAAGTGGTCCCTTAAGAGTTGAACAAGGTCTTTCAAACCAAAGAGGTTGATTATGATTCTTTGATTTTTTTTTCAATACCTGAGAAACTTTCAAGGGGTCCCTATAGGGGGTTCCATAGAGGCCCTATTTTTCCCCTATAAGGGTCCTTAACACAACAGATCCCTACAGGGACCACTCAGAAATTTCTCAGACTCTAGAGGGTTCTGCCAGTTGTTTGCTTCTGAAGTGGTCCCTTCAGAGTTTCCGGGGAGTCAAAGTGGTGCCTCTAGGGTCTTTTCAAGACCTTTTACTCCAAAATGAAAAGTAAAAATTCAAAAAACACTTTTTAAAATTGTCTTGGCTCTCAAAGAAGCCACAGAAACTACCTAATCGATCCTCTCAAAAAAATACCCCCCCGTACCTTCTTCTCCTTGTCGACCAGAGTGCACTTCTCTCCACCAGAACAGTCAAAATCGTAAAAACATCCGATTTCTCCAAGCGTCGCCGCGATACTCGGCTCACACGTGGCCAAATTCTTCGTCGCCGTCGGCATGCATCTCTGAAGACGCGTCGTGGTCGCGCGTTGCGGTCAGCCATTCCAACCTGTCCGGAGAGGCAGTCCGAGTGGTAGACGCACTGGCGGTGCTGCTTCGTGACGTCATACTGGCAGGTGGTAACGTTTCTGTCGACGAATCGCAGTACGGCCGAGCACGATTCACCCATTCGGCACTGAAAAAGAGATATTTGTTCAGTCTTCTGAGAGGAATTTTTGTCATGGGATTCGTGACGTCATGCTGGCAGGTGATGACGTAAATTATCAGACTGTTTTTTTGATTTCAAGAATTTCGGGACTGCCAAATTTCATCTTGAAATATTTGGGACTGCCAAATTTTATCTTGAAAAAAATCAGCTTGAAATATTTGGGACTGCCAAATTTCACGCCGTCTCCAAAGTTATGCCGCGAAATTCAAAAAATAGTCAGAAATTGGAAAAGACAACTAAATTTTGGAGAGACAGGGATAATTTTGAATTATTTTAAATAAATCCTTTTCGGGCCTCGGTAATGCAAATCAGACGTTTCTCGACATTTCTAGGGATCACTTGAGAGTTCTGACACCGCTAAAGAGGTCCTTGGAAATACTCAGAAACGACCCGGGCGCTTCCGGTTTGCGTTATCAAAATTTTGGGAATGCTAAATTTTCACAACCATCTAGAGCCCATTCGGAATGACCTTAAGAATCTGACCTGTCTGCACTCTCTTTCCCCTCGCCGAAAATCTCATAAATATCAAAACAGCTCGTTAACGCGAGATTATCGCCGAGAAAAAAAAGGGTGCAGAGAGATCAGAATTTTGTTATAACATAAAAAATTAAAGGCGCAGCGGGGAACCCAACACAATTTCTAGTTCGTTCAGATTCAAAAGCCTCCTCAGAAAACTTCGTACCTGATAATCAAATTCGCAAACTGACGCGGCTGGATCAATCAGGTACGACTGCTCCTCTCGTTTATAGGCCGGAGGTGAAGTCATGTTGATTTTGATGACGTCACTGTCATGCTTTTCTCAAATGAGAAAAATTTTTTTTTATTGAAAAAAGGAAAAACATCACAAGAAAGGACAAAAGACACACATTGAAAAAATCCAATTATGACGTCATTATGAACTAATTTTCTCGAAGATGACGTCATTATACTGATTTACTTGAAAAAACAAAACAGAGGTTCGCACAAAGACTTCACAGAGGTAGACGACAGACAAACACAAGTTTATTCATGCAAAAACCACAGAGTGACGTCACCCACCAATGACGTCAGACGGAGCATTCTGGCTGTTGGCCAACTCGACGCCGTCGCCGATGAACACCGCTTGGGACTCCTTGTAAGGGACGTAGATCTGTTGAGGCGAGGCAGAAGTTGTGGTTGACGTCGTCGTCGTGGGGATCCTGGTTGCCGTCGTGGAAGAAGGCTTGTTGACGATGATGTGACGGAGGGGGATGACGTAGCCGTCGGTGATGGTTTCTGGAGGTTTTTCTGAATTCTCTGATCATCCCAAATCTGTACTTGAAAACTCCCAAAAAGGTCTGTGAAAAAATATTTTAAGAAAAAAAAAGATAAGGATCCTATTTTCGAATGGTAGATGATCAAGAACAATCAACTTTTTAAAGGATTTTTCAAAAAATCGTTAAGCCACTTTGAAACTTTAAAGTGGTCCCTATAGGGGTGCCTTGGGGGCCCTAAGGACCATTTCCCTATAGGGGCCACAAAAATTTGCAAAAATGAAAAAAAGAAAGCATGTCCATGCAAAAAACTAGATAAAAAGCGTTTTTTGAAAAACCCCTACAGGGACCACTTAAGCTTTAAGGGCTACGTGGTCAAACCCTAAACCCCTATAGGGACCACCTTGATTTTACCACTATAGGGAGCTCTTTTTCGGCCTCTATAGGAGCTGTTTTTCCTCTGATCCCTATAGGGACCACTTTAAAACTCCTAAGATAACATTTTTAAGAGCTTCCCACCGAAAAATCGATACAAAAAGACCATCGAAACTTCCAAAACTACAGTATCCCCAAACCACCGTACCTCCATACTTGTAGCAGATCTTGTCGTGGAGAGCCGTGCTAAAAACGCACAAAAACTCTGGATGAGGACAGTCGGACTCGGTTCTACAACGGGTCGCCTGTTGCAGAATATTTCCTATCGTCGGCTGAAAAGTGGGCACTCAAGAGGTCACTTAAGTGGTTTTCCCACCCGACAGAGCAACTTTCCATAGTATTTCGTACAGCTTAGAGTTTCATTGCAGTCTGCGTCTTTGGTACATGTTTCGTTGAGTTTTCCTGAATTTTATCATCTTTATAGCTCAGTGGAGAAGAGCTTTGTTTGTGAAACAGGGGTCGAGGGTTCGGATCCTTAGGAAAAATTCGGAAAATTCAGGACTTTTAAGAAAAAAGGCCCTGGAGCAATTTTAGCGCAAATTCACTTTGAAAACAATTGCCTAAACTTTTTTTTAAATATGAAAATTGACCTTTTAAGGATCATAAGCTAAAATTCGAATAAATAACCACTTCTATTACATTTTTCGGTTTCAATTTCCAGGAAAATTTATTGGGGGTCTAAAGCTTAATGGTCTAGTTGTTGGGGTTTGATGAGGTTTTTGAAAAAAAAAGAGAGGAAATTCCAAAAATTACTGGCCCCCTCAATATGCCTCTTCAGTCAAAAAGGTGAATTTTAAAGAATCCAAAAAAATCAACTCGAAAAACTTCTTGTATTTATGTCTCAGTGCCAAATATCTCTTCAAAAAATATGGAATTTCAAAAAATCGAACTTTCGTAACCTACACATTCTGTACAAAAATTCTAAAAAAAGATCAAATTTTATGATTTTTCCAAAGAACCATGCCCAAAGCTGCAAAAATAATCTCGATGCGGAAGCTCCGCCCCCATGCGCCTTTAATCCCAACAGTGCAACATGCAACATGAAAACATAGAGACTTCTTTATTACACGATGATAAAACATACAGTGAAGTGTACAGTGGTGCAAGTGATGACGTCACGTTTCAACCTGAGTAGCCGACGCCGTTGCCGACGTTGTAGCCGGAGCCGCTACCGTATCCAGTTCCGCTACCGTATCCCGGGACATAGCCTCCGACTTGAACCTCACACCGAGCCACGCCGTTCAGCATCGTGCAGGTCTGGCCGCTGGGACATTGAGAGCTGGACGAGCAGGAACCTAATGACGTCATTTTTATTATTTATGATGTCATATTTTTCCACTGACTCTATGAATGACGTCATTAAAGCAACGTTTACTGAGGTTTCAACAAAATTTATGAGCTAGTTGAAGCATAAGTACATTTCTGTTAAATTTCATGGTGACGTCATCATTTCTTCAAAATTTCTTCCGACAAGGAGGTCATTTTACTTTGCGACTGGGATTTTCCTGAAAATTGGCCAGAACACTTCTTAAAGTACCAGGAGAATATTCTGAAAGTCTCAACCTGCAAAACTTCCTAGACCTCAAGAAATACGGCTCTAAAGTCCCGAAAAAGCTCATTTTGATGGATTTTGAGCGTTTTCTTTGCAGCGTCTTTTCTCGAAAAGTAGAAAGTTTGGCAGGTTGAGGCTTCTAGAATCTTTTTGTGGTACATCAAAGAGTGTTCTAGCCAAATTTGAGAAAACCCCAACTGCAAAGTAAACCTCCCTTGTGAGCTTCAAGAAACCAAATTTTCTCGTATTAATGGAGTCATATTTTTATTTCTATTCGCACCTCTTACTTCTAGTTATATATTTCTTACGACGTTTCTTGAAATTCGGTTGAAATCTCACTAATCAGTCAAAAAAATTTCAAGACTTCCCTTTATTTTTTTGATAGCGATAAATTAATGACGTGTTTTTTTGAAAAAAACTTCTTCTCCACCCAATTTCGAATTCGTTTTCAACTTCCAAGATATTTTTTTGGCCTTTTTCCGGAAGTTCAGTCCTATAGGAAGTATATTTGCACTTACTGAACCTCAGACATAATTATTTTGAAAAAACTTCCTAGCAAACGTCTCAAGGAAAATTATTCCTAAAAAGTCAGGTGGCGGAAGACTCAAGCCGAGACTTCAAAAACGATGAATGGACTATTCAAACGTTTTTCAATGGCCCTACTTGAAAAGGGGAAGTGGAACTTTGAATGTTTTTTTTTTTCACAGGTATCAGGGGCACTAAAATCTTTGGAACAAGTCGAAAAAAATTTTCTTCCAAAAGTGCTTTGCTAATTGTTAAAAAAATAGTAGTTTTTCATGACAATATTTTTTTCGATTATTTTAGCGTCAGTTGATTTGAAATGTTGAAATTATGAATTTTACCTTACTTTAAAAAAATACCTAATATCCTTCGAATGGTCATACTTCTGATCAGGTTTTATATCTTTTGAAAATGGGGAAAAATCAGTAAAAATTTTTTTTTTTAAAAATGAATCAAATCATTTTTCAAGATTAGAGATCTACCAGTGAAGATCTTCAGAGAAACTCGGCAAGATTATGAAAAGATTCTTAAAAATAACAAAATGAATTAATTTTTCAAATTACTACCCTCTAGGTGTTCTCATTCACAAAAAGTACCAAGTTTGATGATTCTTGGAAAAGAATAAAAAAATAAAGATCCTCAATAATCTGTTTTAGGTAATATCATTCAAAATAAACACTACAAACCTGAACCAGGCGCACTTCCTCCATTAGAAGGCAGACAAATCTTGACTCCATTCACAGAAGGCGTACAAGCCTGGCCCATCCCACAGTTGGCGTCAGATATGCAATAGGAACCGAGAGCGACGTTCGGATTCGACCCACCAGTCTGAAAATTCACAAAAATCTTCAAAAAGACAAAAAAGTAAAATGAAAAATACTTCATGAAAAATTTTACCTGAACACCTGAACCAACATCATAATAATTAGCAATCGCCGCTTCAGAAAAACTTCCCAAAACGGGCAGAAGAAGAACAGCGAGCATCATGACTGAAACAAAAAACGGAACTGAGCTTTTCCTTGATTTCCAGGAACTTATAAATGAAACCAACGCGTAATATTGACTTTATCGCGCGAGCGATTCGAGAGCTCTTCGGAACTACTCGAAGGTTTAACTTGGGTTTGTGATTCATGGCGTTCAAGATTCGCTAAGAGGCTGATTCAAAATTGAACAGCTTATAAAATGATATAAAGCTTTAAAAAAAACCAAAAATTCTTATTTTCTCTGAGATAACTACATTTTTTCGAAAAGTGACAAAAAATCTCATTCAGGAACAGAAAGTTGACCCAGAGCTTCATTTTTATTGTAAAAATTTGCTTAATAAGGCTTTCCGACATTCGATAAACAGTTGAGCAAACATAATCAAAAATAAAAGCGTGAAAAAACAGCACCCGTAAAATATTTCAAAAAAATAACTTACTGTATGTGCGAAGTACGCAAACACGGCCGCCGTGTGACCAAACAATTTATTTTACGCCTTCTCTTTTTTTCTTTCTTTTTTTGAATTTTAATAGCATGATCAATATTTTTCTGACTTTTTTTAAAAATCTGATAAAATTACGACTCCGTTTCACTTGATTTGACAATCATAATTAAAATTTCTGTTTTTCCTTTACTGAATTTTTTTAAAATGATGAATATTTCTCTTCGTTTAGATTCTGAATAGAAAAGAAACGTTCACAAACAAAATCAATGAAAAAGGCGCTGACCAAAACGTATCACCCACGTACAAACTATCGTGGTCAAAACGTCTCCAACCGCCTTTTGGAAAAAGAAACCTGCTCGGGGGCAAACAATTCGATGGTCTTTTTCAAAATCCTTCGGTTTTATGGCACCTGTTGAAAGGTAAACGGCCCGGACGCGTTGCGCTTTTACAGTAACCTCCGTGGTTTCTTTTTGGTCTTTTATTTCAATATTTGTTGGAGGAAAGGATTGAGAAAATAGTATTGGAGTTCATTAATCGAGGAGAAACTACAAACTTATCACCGCCTTTTTTTCCTTTCCGAGTTTTAATGGTTTGAAAAGGGCATAGAAAATTTTCAGAAAAGGTTTCCATAAAAGCACGTTTCTCACGTCTTTTTGATTCTCTCAGGATTTTCGACCAAAATTTAAGCAGTACCTTTATACATAATCATTGTCTCTAAATTTAAAAAAATGTGGTCGCATTTGGAATGGTTCAAAATGTGGGGGTACAAATCTTAAACCAGTTGTAAATTCGCTACTTTTTTGAGCCATTCCACCTTTAGCCACGTTTTTTTCTCATACATAAGATCAGTCAAACTCTTTTTTATTAGATTTTTCCCTTTTCAACTGATAATTTCTACAAAAACACTTCTCAAGACAAAAATCCACTAAAATTTATTTTCTCCCCATTATTTCATAACGATTCCGATCCCGATGGACTCTGAAATCCAATTTTAAGGTTCAAAGTCCGAAAATTCGCCATTTTCTGTGTAACATTGTCCTCCTAACCCCGATAAAAATGACGTCATCAAAGGCCCCGCCCCACGTGAAACAAGCGCATGACATTATTGCAATTGTCTTTCATAACCGCACGTTTCCTACGTTTAATTTTTTTTTTCTACTTTTTTTCTCATTTTTCTGCCGTCTTCAACTCATTTTGAATGAAAAAAAGAACGTCTCAAAATCAATTTTTTCTTCCTTTTCAAAACATTTTCGGGCTCCCACTCGAAAACTCATTAAAAAAACTACGCTCAATCATGAAAAACCCTCGTGTTTTTCCGCGTCTCTCGGTCATTTATCAAAAATAATATATATAGTTAATTCCAGCCTCTTCGCCCACAATTCTCCGTCAAGCCGTTAGGAGGTTTTGCATGGACACTCCCTTGGATATTCAAGGTGGGAATGTTTTTTTTTGGAGGGAAATGGAGGAAAAGGGAAATTTAAGGGAAATGATGGTGAAAAGCCGTTTTCAGTTAGATTTCAGGTGGGAATTTCTGTTTTTTTTTTATTAAGGGGTCTTTTAAGTGAAATTATGGTTAAAATTAGGTTTAAGGTCGGAATTTCTTTTCTGAAGGGATCCTTTAAGGGAATTGTTAATGAAAGGTCATTTTTAGTTAGATTCAAGGTGGGAATGTTCTTTTTTTTGGAGGGATCATTCAAGTGAATTGATGGTTAAAGTTAGATTAAGGGGGGAATGTCGTTTTTGGAGGGGTCTCTTAAGGGGAATAATGGTTAAAGTTAAATTTCAGGGGGGCGGGGGATTTTCTTTTTTTTAAGGGGTCTTTCAAGGGAAATTATGGTTAAAGTTAGGTTTAAGGTCGGAATTTCTTTTCTGAAGGGATCCTTTAAGGGAATTGTTAATGAAAGGTCATTTTTAGTCAGATTCAAGGTGGGAATGTTCTTTTTTTTGGAGGGATCATTCAAGTGAATTGATGGTTAAAGTTAGATTAAGGGGGGAATGTCGTTTTTGGAGGGGTCTCTTAAGGGGAATAATGGTTAAAGTTAAATTTCAGGGGGGCGGGGGATTTTCTTTTTTTTAAGGGGTCTTTCAAGGGAAATTATGGTTAAAGTTAGATTTAAGGTCGGAATTTCTTTTTTGAAGGGGTCTTTTAAGGGAAATGATGGTTAAAGTTAGATTGAAGGGGGAGTTTCTTTTTTTTTTTTTTGAAGGGGTCTTTTGAGTGAATTGATAATAAAAGTTCATTTTAAGTTGGATTTAATCTTGGAAATCCTTTTTTGAAGAGATCTTTCAAATTAATCGATAATAGAAGCTGATTTTTCAGTTAGATTTTCCGGGAAAAATCTTCGAATTCCCTAATAAAATTAATGATAAAAAGTAATATTCACAGCCTGGAGAGCGATCTATCGCAACATGTCCGAGCCGTTTCTACTCGAAGAAAAGCTCCCAACTCGGGATCCATTCGTCCTGTTCGACCTCTGGTTGGCTTGAATCCAAAAATCCCTTCAATTTGTAAAATAAATAGCGTGACAGGTTCCGCGACGTCGCCACCCATCGGGAGCTCAGTTTCGAGGAATTGAATGCCGTTTGCTTGTCGACCGTCGGAAGGTTCTGAAAATTGGCCTTTTTTAAATCCCCATAATGAAGCAAAAGTATCAAGAAAAATGCATATGACAGATAAATTCATGGGAAAAATTTCCACTAATGATAGTTTTTTTCTAGTTCTTTTTGATGACCTTTTTATCGAAAAAAAGTCCTAGTTCTTGGTGAAGAAAAAAATCAAGGAAAGTTACGAAAAAAAGTAAAAAGATTTTTTTGGGGTTTATTCAATAAACTGTATTTTAGCGATTTTTTTCAAAAAAATATAAAATTTTTTTGTCTATTGTAATAAAAAGCCTAGAAGGGAAAAATTTTTCATTTTGAGTTCATTTTTTTCAACTTTTTCTGTGAACGCTTTTTCCAAGCCATTTTTTGAATACGAAAACTTGATAATTTTCTATCAAATTTTTTAAACAGAAGGCTTTTTGATTTTTTTTTTTAAACAGAAGGCCTTCAAGAAATTCGTCTATGTTCCTTCGAAAACTTCTTCTTTTCAAACTACCTTCTTTCACCTTGAAATAATATAATACTCAGAGATTCCCGTCCCTCCTCGAGAATGGTCCTGATGAAGGCCTATTCGACGAAAGGCGTCAGTTTCTACACGAACTACGACAGTCGCAAGGGCGTTCAACTCAGTGAGAATCCCAACGCCTCGATGCTCTTCTACTGGCCCAAAGTTCATCGGCAGGTACATTATGAATCGAAAAATATTCCATTTTTTTCTGCTCGGAACGAAGAAAAAGCGGTGGCTAGTTCAAAAATTACCGCTTAAGTGAAATTTTTTTCTGAAAATAATCTTTAATTACCTAAAATGAATTTCCAAGGCACCTTTTTTTCACCTAATTGGTTACTCTCCTGAAAAAAAAACCTGCCGAACACTAAGAATTTAAAATTTTTTTGATTGGCTTCAAAAATGAATCGAGAACGAATTTGCACGGGTTTCAAACCGAGAACTGAGTTCCTCCAGAGTGGTCCCTATAGGGGCGCTTGGAGTGTGTGAGTGTTCCCTCTAGGGATCTTTTTACAACCTCTAAAGGGGTCACTAAGCGTTGCAAAAGTGGAAACTATAGTGTAACGCGGGAAAATGTTCCCCTCATTTCCCGGTTAAATGTGTAGCGGATTTTAATGCGAACTCGGCTTGAATCTTTATTTCGTGGCGCACGCTAGCAGTGCGCCATGCCAGAGTGATGTTGTAATCAATAGAGAGGGCGAGTGCCTCAGGCGCCGCCTCTCTTGGCACATGTTCACAAAGCATGATGAAATGTTGCGATGTTAAAAGGAGAACCATTACATCCAACCCCTGGACAAAAGACTCGTCCCGAGGCTTTACAAAGAACGATGGATGATACTTAACATAGTAAATTACTAGAGCAATTTAAGAGAAAAGCACCACATCCCGGGCGTCGACGAAAGTCTCGTCCTCGAGGCTTCAGGATCTTAAAAGAATGGTTCTCAAGTGAACATGTGAAATAAAAATCGGATGGTATGTGCCGGACTTTGGCTTGCCAAGTTCGCTTAACAACTGATGCTACTTCAATTTTGAGAAAAGAGAGTTTACATTTGAAATGAATAAGGTCTCTGATGACAGATTTTTAAAGATATTCAGTGATACAATTTCTATGAGGACAGCCACGCTCAAACTGTACAATTAACAACTGTTACATTCATCCCATATGTAGACAGAGTTTGAATCAGAAATTGGTTTTTTTAAATTATCACTTCCATTTTTTGAGAAAAACACATCAGAGATAAAGGAAATGAACAGACTAAGTGTACTTGCGTAACCGACCAAACCGCAAGTCGCCGGGTGTTCTTCTTCTGTTCAGGTGCGACTTCGTAGATGTCTCGTACGCCAACCAAAAAACGTGCGAGTGCCAGATAGAGTCTTTGAAGTAGAATAGAATAACTGGTAGCAATCAGTGTGGCCGGATTATCTGTCGTAGGTCGAATAGGGGAAGACAGAAGTTCACCTTCTGCTAGATGGAATATAGCAGAAGTATCCGGGACCTCCATGTAACGCGGGAAAATGTTCCCCTCATTTCCCGGTTAAATGTGTAGCGGATTTTAATGCGAACTCGGCTTGAATCTTTATTTCGTGGCGCACGCTAGCAGTGCGCCATGCCAGAGTGATGTTGTAATCAATAGAGAGGGCGAGTGCCTCAGGCGCCGCCTCTCTTGGCACATGTTCACAAAGCATGATGAAATGTTGCGATGTTAAAAGGAGAACCATTACAATAGGGGTTTTAGTAAGTGGCCCCTGTAGGGGACATTCTAGTCGATTATTTCTATGAACTTTTTGTGAAGAAGCATTTCCACGCGAAAAACTTGATAAATAAGCGTTTTTGAATGAAATTGATTGACCCCTATAGGGTCCACTTGAGCTTTAGGGTCTAAGGGGCCAGATCCAAAATCCCTCTAGGGACCACCCGCATTTTACTTCTGTAGGGACCACTTAAGCTTTACGCGCTAAGGGCTCAGACTGTCAACCCCTATAGGGACCACCTTGATTTTACCCCTCTAGGAACCACTTTTTCGGCCCCCATAAGAGCTGCTTACCTTCCTAACCCCTATAGGGATCACTCTAAAACTCCTAAGTATGCCTCTTTCGAAGTAGATTCCGCGAAAATATCTCTGACCCTCCAAAATTTATTTATCTTTTTCTTTCTCTGACGACTATTTTGAACTCTGCTGAATCACTTTTTACACGATAATAGTACTGTATACCTTTATTAAACTTCTTTTTCCAGATCCGAATCGAAGGCGAGGTGGAAAAATTGCCGATGGAAGCCGCCGTGGCGTATTGGAATTCCCGGCCTCTAGCCAGTCGTATCGGATCCAAGGCCAGCAAGCAAAGCACCACGATTCCGGATCGGCAGGTCCTCCTGAAAACTAAATTTTAGAGAAAATTAATGATTTTCTAGTTCCTTGAAGACCGGAAAGCCGAGCTGGAGAAGCTAGCCGCTGAACAAGGCGAGGAGGCCATCAGCAAGCCGGAGTCTTGGTAAGAATCCATTCAGTTTCGTTTTTAAAAATATTTTTCTATCTTTAAAATTAGTAAAGTTGTCTCGAAAAGCTGGTTTTTTTTTGATAAGAAAGATTCGAATTTTCTAAAAACTAATCCGAAAAACAACACCGATTTGCTGAAATTTCATCATTTTGATCCTTGTCAAGAAAATAAATGAATATAGTTTGCTCACATTTTGAACTTCAAGTAGCTAACTCCGCCTCCAAGGCTACAATATCTTTCGCGTCAATGTTTCAACTCCATATGAACCTTTAATAAGACTTTTTTTTTTTTGACTTCTTTTCCTATCTTTTAGAACGAAAAAGATAAAAAATCATGAGAAAAGAGACTGTGCCCGCAGGGGCGGAGTTAGCTGCATTTGAAATCTGATCGGACTATCGAAACTTTTCATTTTATCAATATTGATAGCTTTCGGTATATGACGTTACCACCGGAAAAACGAAAATTTGAGGAATTATCCTCAAGAAGTACAAGAAAGTAGGTGCTAACTATCAAATGAGTTAAAATTGAATGTCTATCAGTTTTTTTAACGTGAGCTATTTTTAAACTCTCATCCTTTCGAATATATTTTTGCAACTGAATTGAAGAAGACACCATTTTATTTTCGATTTTTTCTCGAAAATCCGGAACTTATAATTTTTTTTAAGCGAAGAGAGGGCTCAAAAACGAAAATTTGAGAAATTATCCTTCAGAAATACAAGAAAGTAGGTGCCAACTATCAAAGGAATTAATGTTGAAACGAGCCGTTTTTCAGGATAAAACTTGAGGATCCAAAAATAGTTGAAATCGAACTTTTACACAATTATCTACTCGATGAAAATTTTCAAAAAAATTTTTTTTTCTTTTTAAAATTTTACACCACTCTCGTCTTGTGCTAGAACTTCATAAAGCCGTGTTTTCAAATTTATTTGCGCGAAAATTCAATTCATCTTTAATTCTCCAAAATTTGACATATTTTTCACTCCCTGACGGTTGTTTTGAACCTAACGGAATAAAGTTTGAGAACCCATATTTTTACCGTTTATTTTCGCCTTGACTTGGTATTTTCTCACAGGGGCGGCTTCATCCTGATCCCGCGGTACTTTGAATTCTGGCAAGGTCAATCCGACCGCCTTCACGATCGGATCGTCTTCGAGAAGGACAGCGACGTCTGGACGCTCAAGCGAATTTCTCCATGATTTTTTTTGTCCTTTTTTATGCATTTCTATTCATTCCAGTATGTGCCAATGTGAATATGTGACAAATTTTTATGTAGGGAACAAAATAAATGGGTTTTCTTCCACCCTTTCTTGTGGTAATAAGTTAGTATCACACGGAAATCAGAGCGAAAAAAAAACCGTGAAAATTACGTTTACCCCTAGAAGGATCACTTAGTTTATTCACTGCTGGCTTGGAAAACTTTCGCGAAAAAATCTTATTTTTTGGTTTTTTGCCTTACTGGGAAAAATTTTTAGTGGCCATTATAGGGTTTTAACGTTTAAGTGGCCACTATAGTAGTCAAATCAGTGACCACTTAAGCGGTTAAAAATTAGTGGACACTATAGAAGTTTAAGTGGTACTCCTCGACCACTAAATATTTTAGGGGTCAATGGATCAACATAACTGGTCCAATCTGTTTGTTTTAAACATATCAGAGTTACTGGATGAAAACTACTAAAGTGGCCACTAAATAGAGAACCTCTATAGTGGCCACTAAAAAGGAAAACAGTAGCCACTTTAGAGGTGGTTTTAGTGGCCACTTTCGTGTCCTTTCCAAGAAGTCCTTGGCGAGCCTCTATATAGTCTGTTCAGATTTTGAATGTCAAGTCGTCGCTCAAGCTCCGCCCATAATGGTGCGATGAACCAATCAGAGAGCGAGCCATCCACAGTGCCTTTTCGAATGACGTCATTCTACTTGACACTCAAAATCTGAACAGACTATAGTGGCCACTAAAAATTTTCCACAAGGTAAAAAAAAAATCATCATTTTTTCCTAAGCCAGCAGTGAATGGACTATATATATATATATAATGCCCCGGAAAATCCACAATATTTTTTGTACAGTCAATTTACATTTTATTTCGAAATTCCAACGAAAACGGCGCCAGTTAGCGTCGTCAGGATGGCGATTGAGAGGATCCGAAGATTTCGAGCCCCTTCGATTTCGCTGGAAGTTTCATAGCTTTTTTTTTATCTTTCTGATGAAGAATATCCGTACTGAAAGTAGAAAACGCCCCAAATGGCGGCACAAACGCCGGGCAACATGCTGATGATGGGAAATGAGACGGCTTGGGAGAGATTGTCGTTGGCGACGAACCTGAAGAGACAGTTTCGGACAGAAAAATTTTGTTGGATATTTCTCTTTCTCAATACCCTTCAAATGAATATGAATTGGAAAGTCCTCAAAAACGTCTCAAAATAAAAAAAAAACTCGAAAAAGATAACTGTTTTTTAATCAGTAACTTTTTCCATAACTTTTTTTTCCCAGGCGTCCTCGGCATTTTTCGAGACCAGATTTGGAACCAGCATTGAAAAGCTACATTTGCACCTTTTTCACGCAAGTCGCATTTGGAATGGCTGTAACAAAAGCCTTTTCAAGAGCTCGAAGTTTTGAGTAGCTCCAGGCTTTTTGGTTAGGCTACCTTGCGTCCGACCAGAAACTACTTGCGCCTGATTTTCCGAAGATCAGAACCGGCATCAAGGTTTATACCGATTTGAAAAAAGGACGATTGTTCAAAAAAAAAATCGGTCTTATTAAGATGTGCCACTGCGACTGGGGACCATTCCCTGATAAGAGGCGGGGCACTGTTTGCGCCCTCCACTAACCAGACACTATTTTTTCTTTTATCGTGTCAGGATTATTTTTTGATGGCCTAAACCTGTCGTGAATTGGCTATAAAAATCAAAAATTGCTCAAAGCTCTTATGTACTTTCATGCAGGCCAGGTGTCTCAACGGGTGCACCCGTGTTTTTGAAGCTATTTGAGTTTCAGATGTGCCAAAACGGGGGAACAACCGGTGTAAGAAGAAATAGATAAAGCAGCTGTGATAATTTCAAAAACCTGAGGCTCAGCTGGGCTAAAACGGCCTCCATTGGGGTAAAATGTGCCAAAAGTTATACTAGCGGTGCTTATACGGGTACACCCGCTGAGGCCCCATGTTAGCACGGCTGGCTACCCTCATCAGTATGAGATTATGTACTTTAGAAATTATGATTTTCCGAAAATATTACAATGAAGTGAAGGTTCAGAACTTCCTTATAAGCTCTAATGTGGGAATTTTACATCATATCCCTTATAGGCATAGGAGCAGTATGAAACGATGTTTCAGGTGAAAGCAATATCTTGTTGAGCTTTTCATTGTGAATCATACGGTATAATTGAAAATGTAAAAAAATTCCCTATTTTCGGAGAAAAAAAGTTATTCGAAATTAACACATTTATTTTTTATCCCTACGACTGCAAAACCCACCAAGACGATTGAGCGATGCCCCAGAGCAGGCCGCCAAGAAGACTGGGTCCAACGATGGCGTTGTTCACGAAGGGATTATTCTGAAAACTCTTTTTTTATATATGGCTCTTCCGGATAAGACCTTCGTAATCAGCACATATCCAATGAGAAGAACGGTCGCACTGGCGAAAATCCCCGAAAAATGAGCAAAAACGTAGGAAAGTCCATTCACAGGAGCGTCGGGGAACTGGAAAAGATAATTTTTAACATTCGAAACGTCTCGCTAATATTATCAAATTCATTATTCGCTTGGTAAGCCTCTTATAATCAAAATATGGTCATTAATCAGAAAAAAACCTTCTCCGGATGATCTTGTACATAAATAACTGGAACGAAGGTGGTTCCATACAAAATACCAGCGAAAAAGAGCGACGGCGATGGCGCTAAAAAAAGACATAAATAAAAAGGTTTTTATCTCGTCCTGAAACGATTTTTTTGATTGAAAAATAACATAAATATAAACGTTCCTAAAAGAACTATATGATGAGAAAACTCAACTTTCTGTTGGCGCGTTGACAGTGAACAAAATCTTCAATCTACCACTTTTTAAGTCAAAAAGATGTTTTTACTTGACCTTAAAAATCTAACCAACTCATTTCTGACTTGTATAAAAAGTTAAACTTGACACCTTTTGACCAATTTTGATATTTTTTAAAAGTTTATTTCAATTCTATTAAACTTCTAACCTGTTGAGTAAGGGTTTTTAAAATAAACTTCAATTTCTGAAAATTGTGAAAGCTTAGCGACTTACTGAAGCCTTAAAAAACTCTATTTCTAGTCAAGACCATTTTTTCCACGTGTCTTCAACAACTCTGTAAATCCACCGTAATATAAAGTCAATTTTATTTTTTCTAATGTTCTGATGACTCCAAAAAAATGGCAGTACCAAAATTGCAGAGCTTCAAATTTGGCAGTCCCAAACTTTCACAGCTGGAAAAATGGCAGTCCCAAATTCGCAGAGCTAAAAAAATGGCAGTCCCAAATTTCCAGGCTTAGAATTGGCAGTACCAAACTTGCAGAGCTTCAAATTTGGCAGTCCCAAACTAGCAGACTTAAAATTTTTTATCTTCCTGTTTTTCAAAATTCAAGTTTGGCAGTTCCAATCCTTTGGGATCAAAAAAGTCATGAAAAGAATCTCAAGAAATAATGCAATTTTCTGATTTTCGTTATCTTTTGATATTTTTCATCGTTATAACTCAGGCACTGACGGCGCGTGTTTGTTGCCAAAAGTGCGCATGCGCGCCGCCTGCTGCGCGCACGCGCGGGGTGTCTCTTTTGTTTTTTAGCTTTTTAACTAATTGAAAAGTTATAAATTTAATATTTCTCATGTCTGTTCATCTCTTAACATTGCTCTGCACCAGTTTATAACAATTAGATTGCACAAAAAAATGTGAAATATCAAAGTTTCACTTGGCAACTTATTTTTCATAAATTTGTTCGAAAGTGCTCGGAACAACTTTAAAACGTGAGCAGGGGCACTGGGTAATATCAAAAAAATATAAAAAATATATTTCAAAACCTTATTTCAGTGGAAAAGGCGAAAAAAGAATCAGTACCCCCGCGCGTGCGCGCACCAGTGCCTGAGAAGCCAATATTCACATGATCCTCCTCTCATTGCGATGAGTGGTATTCCTGAGAGACGGCAGGGCATCTTCGTTGGAAGGCGAAATGAGCGGACTATTTTCGTCTTCATCAATCCGTGGCAAGGGGCTGTTGCTCCGCGTTTGTTGCGAGTTGGACCGGATTTGAGAGAACATGAAGCCTCTGAGAAAATGAAAAATATTGAAGACGCCATCAAAAAGTTAAGTTCAAGGTCCCCATTGAATCGATATAGTTTCTGATCACCCGGAAAAAAGGTCCGATTTTTCAAACTTTTAGTTATAAAAAATCACCCAGAGAAGTTTTAATTCTTGAAGACTTCACTTCAGGGTTCCAAAATGGTTTTATAGGTCATTCCGCGCCAGCTTGTCACGATTTTAATTTTTCTCGGAGCTAGAGAACCCCTTTCTGGGCTTCGCTTCGATGCTCTCGGTGTTCCCCCCTGCGTGCGCCTTTAATAAAACATTATTCCTGATCAAGATATTGCTTAAATCTTCTCTAACTCTTTTATTGATTTACTAGGTTGTTTTCAATGGATTGATTTCATTTTTCGGTTTCACTATACACAACCGAGAGCATCGAAGCGAAGCGCCGAAAGGGGTTCTCTAGCTCTGAGGAAGTTTAAAATCGTGACAAGCTGACGCGGAATGACCTATATTCCTTTCTGAAAACCCTAAAAAAGGCAGCAAAAAGCTCACCCAATGATGACCAACAATAGACCAAAATAATTCAGGAGCGGCTTTTCAGGAACCGTCGCATGGATGCCGAATAAGCCGAATCTGAACCGACCTTTAAAAATGGGAAAAAAAAATGAGAAAAAATATTTTCGCAGTTATTTCGAGTGAAGAAGGCCTTGAAAACCATTTTTCGTAGAGTGCAGTTTTTTTTTTCCAATTCCATAACTTATAAATCGAGAAACCTTCCACACGCCCATCCCGCAATACAATTCGTCGTTCCCCAAATCAGCATGCCCATTCCGATTCCAATCGTGTTCATGATTGGTACGGCCGTTGAGTTACCTGAACTTCATGCCTTTTTTTAAATTTTAGATCTCTTCATTCATAAAAGTCCTTCAAGTCTCGAAGTTAAGTTCGTTTTCTCAATTTTGAAGAGCCTTAAGTAAATCAAATCTATAGCTCGATTGACCAGAAAATATGTGATTCCGTGTTCAAATTGAATCCGCGAAATTCAAAATAACCGTCACAGAATGGAAAAAAACTTATTTTTGGAGAGTCAGAAATAATTTTGCGCTGCGCGTAAGTTACTTGAAGCATGGCATAATAAAAAAAATCCTAGCATTTTTTTTCCACCAACCCAAAGTCCACAACATGCCGCCAATCATGGCTAGGGGCTCGAATTTCGGGAATCCTTCCATCGCATAAACAGCAAGGCCAACGAGCCAAATCGCAGCCGACATCACCCATTGGACGAAAAGTCCTGAAAGAAACTAGTTTTTGATCCATTTCACCACGGCATTCCTAATGGGGTGAGGGCGTCAAAGTTTTTGAATTCACGAAAAAAAAAGTAAGTGCGCGCTCCGGATAAAATGACGTCATTCTACGTCACAAATTCCACTGAGTATTCAACGTTAATAACTAGTTTGTTTGATCTTCTTTGGCTGCGTACTTGAGATTTGAATTTTCGCGCCAAATTTTTTTGGACGTCTCCCACCCCGTTTGGTTCACCTAGGAAAGGACTAACTTTTAAGAAAAATCCGGGGAAAAATTTCCAAAGCGTCAAAAAAAATCTCCATGAACATTCTATCTCAGATATCATGATAAAGTTTAAAAGAAATACTTCGTGGAATTATTTTTACGTAAAAATTTTGAAGCTTAAGAACAAAGAGAAATAAAAAAAGAAGCTAAATTTCTTTTTTTCGTATTTCTTACTTTTTTTCCAAGCTCAACTATAGTCCCAAGCTGGCCGTGAATCAAGCTGATTCACGGCCAGCTTGGGACGCTAAGGGGGCGTGTCCTGTCTGCGCTCTCCATGATCCAGGCGCTATCTCATGCATTATCGTGACAGGACCATTTTTTTGATGGCTCAAACCAGCCGTGAATGAGCTATACACAAACCTGTTATTTACAACCACAACAAGAAATACAAATTACAACAAAAAATAAACCCACCATCGCCACTTTCAAACTTTTTGATCGGAACGTAAACGCTTCCAAAAAACAAGGAAGACACGGCGCAGGCGATTAAACCAATCGCCGCACTCATTTCTACACAAAAGTAACTTTCTTCATCTTTTCTTCAACACAAAAAGAATATACAAAGGTCAAAAAACCAGTTTTAGATCGAAAAAAAGTACACGAGTAAAAATAGAATCACTTTATCAGCTCTGAAAACAACAAAAAAATAACAGAGAACAATTTTCAATCTTGAAATGGAGCCTAAAACAAAGATGAGTACATGAAAAACAAGCGGAAAAAGATCGAGAATCTCAAAATTATAAGCATCTACTCATCAATAAAAATTCGAAAAAAAAATCCTAACAAAAAAAAATTCATTTTCCGAATCAATCGTCCATGTTGATGACTTGCCGCAATTCATCGTCTTCAGCATTGACGTCCTGAATTTTTTTTTTACTTTCATAGCTTGATCATGAGTCATGATTTTGTAGGATCCTTTAAAGTGCACAGCCTGATTTCAAAAATATTCTTTTCGCTCCAAAATGATCAATTTTTAGGCTCCACCCTGCGTTTTTCAAAAGTGAAAAAGGCTTCTTGGACTTCGGTAACGAGCTTTTGTAGTGAACACTTAGGAGTACTAACGCAAAAGAAATCCCTAGAAATGCTTAGAAATGTCCGGGGCGAGTCCGGTTTGCGTTACCGAGGCCTGAGCATAGGCAAAGTTGGAAGGACCTTTTACGGGCCCTTTGAGCGTCCGTTATGGATCAAAAGGTGTCCAATATATGTTCCCAAACGGCTGGCAAAAGTTTCATTTTTACTGCCTTTTTCCTGTCCGTTCATCGGCCTTTATCCACCCTTTTTGGACCCTTTTGAAAAACAAAAAAGTTTAAAATTGAGAATGGGCTTTACCAGTGACTGGGTATGAACAAAAACGTGCTACAGTAATAAAATCGGGAATCATCAATGGCCGAGACTTTCAGCACCCTTTTTTTGGTGCTTTCTAGCGTACCAAGAAAGAAAGGCTCAATAAAGGCCGCAAAACGGAAACCTTTATGAGGCCATTCTGCAGTCACTCCCTTTTTGCACCCTTTTTTCACACTTCCGACTTTGGAAGTGGAGTGGTTTTAAGAAATCAGAGAATTTTTTTTTTTCGCACTTCCGATCTTCAAAGTTAGTTATGCTTTTTCAAATAGAGCAGCGGAATCAAAAACAAAAGCCGGTGACTTTTTTTTCAAACCTTCAGATGATCATATCTGACGATGATCGGGGTGGCGATGCCTCGAACATCTCCAGTTGCAGTGACCTTTGTAAAAAGGGAAGGTTTCAGCTCCCGGTATATCCTTCAAAGGATTTATTATGAGTATGACAATAATTCTGAGTAAACCTATTCCTCTTGAGCATTTTCCAATAATACTCCTTGCCGCCTTCGGCATGATCAAAAGAAGTTCTGGCCGCTTCGGCGTCAGCATGGACGTCCGATAAATATCTGTTTCAAAATGAGCTTCTGTTTGATTTTAGAGGCTTCAATTCTACAATCTGGACCCGATAAACCAACCTGTACAATAAATACCATTGTTTATTGGCATAATATGCGGCTCCGACAAAAACTGTATAAATAACCGCGAAAGACATGGCCGTACCTCCGCCCAGCTTCGTTTTCTAGAAAAGTAACAATTTTCAACTTTTTTCCGAGGGGAGCTCTTCGAGACCCGTTGATTTTTTTTTTTTGATGAAAACTTGTTTTTATTGTTTTCATCAAACGTTCTCCAAGAGAATCGATGAGCGGCGAAACAGTATTATATAGTCGATGTGCCACAAGTTGAAATTTCATGGAACGACACTCCGCTGTTTCGATTTTTGTGCGGTAGCGCGCATCTGGCGAGTTTGCCAACTTCGGCCACGCTAATTTTTTTTTTTTGGTTTTCATTCTAATTTCGATCGTTTTTTTTATTGTTTTATTTCTTTAAAATGTAATATTATCGTTGAAAAGGATTGCGTTGTACAAATGTAAAAAGAAAGAACACAGTAAATTTCATGATGTTTTCTCGAAAAAAAGCGATTAAAAAAAGTTTGAAAAAAACTTCATGTATTCTTTAATCGCTTTGATATTGTTTTTCTCGTTTCACAAAAAAAGTTTTCAAAGACTTACCAAAAGGATTTGCGGGTGAAACGCCACAATATTCTACAATAGTTTCTGTGTTTTTTTAAAAGCCATGTTTTTAATGTTTTTCATCGTTTTTCTGTTTGCAGTCGTTAATTGTTTTTTTCAGAAAGTGAGCGCCTTATAAAAATGAAGATGTGTACTTCCATGAGCACATGCACCATAATTTGAAGAAAGGTTTTTCGTTCCTTTTTTTTAAATGGAGCTTTAGATAAATCGTATTGCTGAACTATGCGTCAGGAATGGGGCGTGAACAGTGGGCACATGGAATAGTGGAAACGATGTGCTGAACGAAATGTCCAGTAAACTAATAATTTTTTTCCTTTGAACTTATGTATCTGTTTTTTTAATAAAAAAATTCGTCAATGTAGAAACATTCAATTTTTTTAAAAATCATTCACTGTGTATTTTATTTCTGATTGCGATATTTTTTTTACATGATTTGAAATGAAAAAAAGAAATGTCGATAAAGGCTCAATAAAGGTAAAATAACGGAATATATTGAACAAAAACCAAAGACCATCTCATGAAAAAAACTTTCAAATATTATAAACGCATTTTTTTCGCTTAAAAATTCGAAAAATTACTCTACTTTATTTTTTTATCAATGAAACAGTCTATCCTCTAGAAAAAGATAATTATGATTTTGGCGCGAAGAAAAACTATTAAAAACATAATTAAAAATAATGAAAATTTCGAATAAAACAAAAAAATGGAAAGCGCGACCGAAATTCGCAAAGGCAAGGCGCTTTCACGGCCACGGCCACCCAACGGAGTGTCGTTCCATGAAATTTCAAGTCGTGGCACATCGACTATACCAAAATTTCAAATTGAGTTTCCTGAGCTCATATTAGGGTCACAATAACTACACAAGGTCCTGAAAATTTTACATAGGTTTTTGAGAGACTCCGCCCCTTTTTAGGGTTACGGTAGGTAAAATACCAAAAAAAAAAAGTTTTTTCTCCGTCGTCCAAATCGAATGACTTTCTGATTCCAAAAAATAACGAATACTCAAAAAGAAGTCTCGTTTTCGAATTATGAGTCTTCAAAATGCGTCAAGTACTCAGGAATTTTTGAGTGGTCCCTATAGGGGTTAAGGGTCTGACCCCTCAGCCTCCAAAGCTTAATTGGTCCCTATAGGGGCTGTTCAATTTTATTCAAAAAAAAAAATCACTTTTGCAAGCTTTACTGACCCCTATAGGGGATGGTAATTTTGACATTGAGAAAAACAATTTTTTGGTTATTCAAAACCCACACTATGAAGCCAATAAGTGAAAATGCTGGTGAATGAGGTCCAAGTCGCCCAGGAAATACTCCTTTGCGCTAGAGACGCGTAGCCGTCGTGGGCGTAGAGGTCCCGAAGAAAGAGGAATCTCAGGGCCTGTCAAGGAAAATATTAAGGTCTTTTAATAGTTGTATGACGAATCATTAAACAAAAATCAGCTCATTTGCGCAAAAAAAGACTTAATATAAATAAAATCAAGCCATCAATATTCGGAGTACCAGAAAGGCCGAAAAAAGTTATAGCTTCACGATTGACTTGAGCCATCAAAAAAGGGTCCTCACACGATAATGAAAGAAATAGTGTATGGTCGGTGGAGAACACATACAGGCCACGCCTTTTTTTAGTTTTTTCCAAGCTAGCCGTGAATCGACTATACAAGGCGGCAGGCTTTTCACCCATGAACTTAAAAACATTATCAAGGAACTTTTCAAATAGAGTTCGCTAAAACAAAAAAAAGTCTGGTTTTTTTTTTTGCGGTTTTCACGTTTCTTGACCTCATCGACGAGTGAAAAGAGAAGAAGACATGTTAAACAGTTTCAAGTCATCATGGTATTTTTCATATTTAAAACTCGACCAACATTTTCCGAAAGGACATAGGATTCGGCCAATTCACTGCTACTTGGTTCTCCAGAGGACCATGGTACCCGGACCTTTTCGCTCAAGAAATCCATCGTGTCCGCATATTTTTCTCTGGAAATAACTTTATTTTCCATTCAAGGGACAAGGAAGATAATCTTGCGGTTGAAAAAAAATTCCGGTCATTTTTCAATAATTTTTTTAAAACTCTTTTCAAAATTCTAGAGTTCATAGAAGAATTATTCCTTGCAAAACAACAACCTGAAATATTCCAAAGCGTTCTCCGTCGATTGGAACCTCGCATAAAAAGGAACAGCGATATTTAGGCCCGTTCTAATACCAAGAGACCCACTGGCGATGGTATCTTCATCTTCTGAAAAAAAAGAGAAATTTATTCCGATTCTCTGAAAATCACCAAAAGTCGACTGAATATGATGATTTATAACCGCGTCTTTTGGTATCCGGTTCTCTTTCTCTAAAAATCGACGATATTCCTGGAAAATTAGCGTTTTATTCTTAATTATCTCTTCCGGAGGTACCTGATCAGCTAGTCTTGCTAAAGATTCGGGCAGCTTTTCAATACTATGTCTGAAATTCGAAAATTAATATAGTCTGTGGGCCACGTCTTGAAATTTCACGGAACGACATTCCGCTGTTCCGCTGCGTGCGTTCGCGAAGCGTCTTTCGAATCTAGGTCACGCTTTAAATTAATTTCTATTGCCGTGGGTGCACATGAAAGTAGAGTACCTTGATAAAAGAAAATCAAAAGCGCGACCAAGATTCGCAAAGGCGCGCAGCGGAATGTCGTTCGGTTGAATTCCGAGTCGTGGTACACAGGCTACACCAAAAAAGAATTATCAGCCGAACCTTTTAGGAAAGGTAAACTTAGAAAGAGGGCCATTAATTAGGATGGACCCGACAGGATAAGTCACCACCGTAGCCGCCAGTAGACCGATTCGAAACCGTCGTCCTGGGGTTTTCTGAAAATGATCTTCAAAGAAAAAACTCTGGTTTCTTCTACTCCCCAAAAAATTGCTTTAAAAAAACCTTTGCTTTGGGATTTTGATCAAGTTTGCCTCATTTCTATTGAAAAATATGCTGAAATTTTCAATAATTGGGCTCAAAAAGGAAGTGAAATTTTTTTATCAAAAATGAAAAAATTTCATGTCCTTCTCCACCACTTGAGCAAAAAAAAAAGTTGATATTTATTCAAAAAAAAACTCCGAAAACCCAGGCATTTCCATTTTCCACAAAAAAAATGCGTATTCAATCAGGAAATGAGTGATCTTCCCAAAACAAGGCGTTTTTAGAACGCTAGTCAAAAACGTTCCGTGAATTATGGTGCTTAGGGTGTAAACACCGAGACGCATTATCGCATACTCAACTTTTTTTTAAAATTTTTAAAAATTTAGAATTTTAAGAAAAATAGCTCCTGAAACTCACAAAATCCTCTATAATCGAAGAATATGATGTTAAAAAGCATTTTACACGCTGAAAAAAATATAGCAGCTAATTCTGAGTTTTTTTAAAAACACCGTATGAGACTTCAAATAATCAACCAATTTTTTTCACCTTTCAAAAAAACGAACCTGTAGCCAAACAGTCGCCCGGTTGTTCCAATCCGAATAAACGCCCATCGGACGTCTTTAAATTCATTTTTTTCTGTAAAAGTTTCTTTCTCTTCATAAAAAAAGTACGAGAAGGGTTGAATCCAGTTCAAAAACGACAAAAAAATATAATTTTTTTATAGTAGAAAAATTATATTTATGACAATTCAAAAAAATAGTACGCAATCAAAGAACACCCGACAAAATGGAGAAAAAAAGAGAGCTCGAAACTTGATTTTCAAACCAAGAAGATAATGAGAAATAAGTCTATAAAGTTAAAATTGATATGCTCTATGAACTAGATTCAACTATAAAAAAAAGCAAAATGACGTGTTCTGAAAAAATAATTAAGGATAATAAAATAATCACTGAATGAGCTGTATAAAAATGAAACAAGAAGACAGAGGTGAAATGAAGGAAATAAATAACTACTCAAACCTGCTAAAAATTCATTCGTTTTTTCAGTCCAGTTAGAAGAAGATTTGAAATAAACTAACAGTGAACAGTATGATTTTTTTTTCTTTTTTCTCCGAGCTACAGAACCTTTCTCTTTGATGCGCTCGGCCTTTTTCTGCGCATGCGCCTTTAATATAACGAAACTTTTCAGGATAAATTAAAGGCGCATGCACATAGTTCATGTCGTAGAAAAGGGTTCTGTAGCCAAGCGTAAAAAATCGTGGGACGTTGATTCGAAAGGACTATACTTCAGCGGCTTTTAGAAGTTCAAAAAAAGAAATTTTTACCTAACCTCATTTTCACGTCTTCCATGGGCCCTGATATTAAAAAAAAGCGTCATTTGAACCTCATGAAACTCTTCTTCAAGCTTGGAACAAGATCTTCTCCTCCGTAACTGTTCTCAATAGTTATAGCCCATTCCGCGGCAGCTTGTCGAGTTTTTTAATCCTACCAAAAAGACCATATACCAAATAAGATCAAATTTCGCTTCAGGACCTTTATTTTTTGCAAGTAGTTTTTTAAAAAAAGTTCGTATTTTTTCTGCTGTTTTTTTAAACATTACCGTCTCACGTGGAACGCACTAAACTCAAGCAAACCCCTCCAAAACCAAGAAAAAAAAAGTTACACGAAAAGAAACAAAAATGAAAATTCAAAGATCTTTCAGGAGGACGTTTCGGTTGCTGAAACTTCGGCGGCGATCTTATCGACGAGTCGCCGTCGCGTCGAGAAAGGGACGTGACTGTGGAGGGAGCAGTCGCCGTTCTTCTTGATGTTCGTCTCGCCGTCGTCGCCGAGCACCGTCCTGAGAAGTCTGTTCAACTTCATCGATGAGTCGAAGTAGTCGCGAGCCCCTTGGGCATACGTTTCACCTCTGGAATATAACAAGACATTTCAAAAATGGTTTAATAAGAGGATAACAGGTACCATAGTGAAGAACTAACTCCATATAGAATAGGGGATTGATTCAAAAAAAGCCTTTAGAGATAGGAATAAATTTTGGCCTGAACAATTTACTGACTTACTCGGAAAGTCATCTTACTTCACGGTTGGGAAACTCTTGAAAACTGCCGAGAACACTCCTTAAAGTACCAAAAAAAGTTTCTGAAAGTTTTAACATGTACAATTTTCTATTTTGTGAGGTCTCAAAGCTTCAAAAAAGCTCATTTTCACGAATTTCGAGGATTTTTTTCCGATTTTAGGATGTTCGTTCTACAGAACTAGGAAGGTGTGCAGGTTGGGAGTTTCAGGATCTTCTTCTGGTACATCAAGGAACGTTTCTAACAATTTTTAGGAGATTCCTAACCGCAAAGTGAACTGCCCTCCATGTGAGGAAGAACTAAGAAAATGAGTTTTGGCCTTTAAAATTTAGGCCTTCTCCTGTCCAACTTCCTATTTTCCCGTAGAAAATAAAAAAACATTTCAAAATGACCCAATGACACATTTTTGATGATTTTTGTTAACACCTATCTCCTTGAGGTTGAAAAATTGGTTTTTATCTCTAATTTTTTTAAAAATTTTCATATCCCAACACATCAAAGTAGTCGCGCGCCCCTTTGGGCATACGTTTCACCTTCAAAATATAAAAAAATTGAAGTATATATTTGATCCAAGAAGAATCACCCAAAGAAAGATCTTTTTGAAAAACTGCTTTTTATAGCCCGAGTTCGAATTCAATTGCAAGCCATCTTTTACCTCTTTTCTTAATAGTTTTTCGATAATTTTAAATCATTTTGTAATCAAATTTTTTCTTTCCGTTATCTACGTATTATTTCTACATAAAGCTTCTCGTTTTATATCAAAAAAAGAAAATATTATTGAAAATTGGTTTTTTTTTATTACTTATAAAACTTTTATAGCTGTTTTTTTTTATTGGCTTGAACTTTTGATCACAGGCAAATTCAAAGGACCTCAAAAAGAGCCTAAAACTCCTTTTCGAGTTCCTAAAAAGGTGTCAAAAGTCTCTCAGAATCTTCTTTTTCCGCCTTCTTTTTTCACACCTCTTTAAAAGGTCCTTAACAGAAAAAGGCGCATTTGAGGTCTTTTAAAGTCTTTCGAAAGTCTTTTTCAAGATCTTTTGGACTTTGCCCTTGGATAAAACTTTGCTGGAAGGCATTTCAACACTTCCTAACTTCGAAAAAAAAAAAATTTCCGCAGGGAATCTTCTTTTACATTTTTTATCGCTCAGAGTTTAAAAAAAACCCCAATCATAGAAATTTAACATTATTTTGAGCGTCATAACATGGAAAAAAAAACCTTTTCATAAAAATTTTCCTCCATATGGCCCTCATTTTCAAACAATTATTCCGTGTGGTTCCAAAAAACTCAAAAAAGACGTCAGAGAGTGAAAATGACTTAATTTCCAAGCAAATTTCTCGGAAACTACTTTGAACACGACAAAAAAAATGTCCCTACTTTCGTATCGTAATCTCGTCGGCTTTCTTCATTTTGTAGTCATCGAAGGAGCCGAGAAACCGTCGAAATACCAAGACAGAAAAAGTTGTAGCAACCAGAAAAGCAGGAACTGCTCCGATAGTCATTGCAGACACTGAAAAATCGGCAGAACATCAAAGTTGAAATATAGTTTTTGAAGGATAGCCTATCCATCTAACCGTGAAGAAAAGCTCGCTTGCGTCTATTCAAAATTAATGGCTTATTTTGAAGAATCATCAAGAATTTTGACCAAAACGATGAATTTGTTCTAAATATGTGAAAAACGGGTGGTATGAAAAAAAGAGCAGCGAAAATTCAAACGGCGACTTTTCCGATTTTTTCATATCGCTAGGAAACTTTCCGACGGACACCTTTCCGACGAAACTTTTTCCGACTTTTTTTCTCGATGAACTTTTAGTTTCGAATCTTCCTATATGATGTAGGTAGTTTATCAATGATTAAAACACAAAGAAATAGGATAAAAACGTTTATAGATGTTTTATAAACCGAAAAACATAAGGGAAAATGAGAAGGTGGAAAAAAGCACGTGAATATTTCCTTTTTGGGCCATGTAATCAACGGTTATGAACATTCCTTTTATTCTTTTTTGAACCTTGTGAAAAATGAAAGGCCCTTTTTAGCAACCTTTCTTCAACGTTTCTTGTTTTGTATATTTTAATGATTCTAGAATTTTTCGAGTTAATCTCATTTTGCCGGATCGATATGTAAGATATTTATAATCTCCCGAAAAATCAGTTTTTTTCCCATCTTTTTATATTTTAACGAACCTACAAAAATTTCCTTTTTTTGGGCCATGTAATCAACGGTTATGAACAATTTTTTTGGTGCCTCTACCTTTTTTTTCAGGAAAAAAATGACAGGCTCTTTAAAAAGGCCTATTTAACAAACTTTCTTAAACGTTTCTTGTTTTTTTATATTTCAATGATTCCAGATTTTTTTCGAATAAATCTCATTTTGACGAATCGATATGTAAGATATTTATAATCTCCCAAAAAAACCAGTTTTCCCATCTTTTTCTACTTTAACTTACCTACAAAGACGCCGTATCCAACCGCACTGATGCCGAACCAAGCGAAAAAGGGGGATACAGAAAAAAACTCTCCGCTGAAAATCATTCATTTTTTTATCAAAAAAATACAACTTTCAAAAAGAAAAAAATAGCGTTTTTTTCGGTCTTTCAAAAAGCCATAGAAACATTCAAAAAGCTGTTGAAAATGTTCAATTTCCACCATTTTTCATTTTTTTTTTTCCTCTAATATTGTTCTAGCTGTTCAAGACCTAAACCTATTGGCAATTTGCAACTGTCTCTGGACCAGGAACATTTTGGCGGCGTCGGAAAGCATCAGCCGGGAAATGAGTTCTTCGCCCACGGCACTGTTCACTTCGACCTTTTTTCGATACCTGGAAAAGTCAAGAGTATTACGAGTGTAAGTATCAATTCAATCAATATTACTTTCAAATAAACTCAAGTTCATCACTGAAAATCCCTTTTTTTTCTAAAAAGTGCGACTTTTTCCTTTCGGGGACTGACCACCAGAGGGACACAAATAACAGTCATTACAAGGTTTCAGAAAGATCAAACTCCATGCAACAAATTTGTGATCAAAAAAGCGTTTTTTTTTGGCATCTTTTTTAACGGAACTGTATTGGTTTTGCGCAGAACAGAATCCTTCGATTTTCATCATTTATGAGGTTTTTCGTTTCCTATTGTGTTTCTAAATGTCCGAAAACTCGAAAAATTTTTCATCGCTTTTCAAATCGAAATGTTTTATTTCTCACACAAGTACTAAAATTTGCAAAATAGATGTGGAGAAACTTAAGAAAAAAACATTTAAAAAAATGAAGATTTTAAAAAAATTTTTGACTAATTTTTCGACCTCGTAGGGATAAGGTATTTAAATATAAAAAAATGAAAAAAATTTCATTTTTAGGGTACGATTATACTTCAAAAACACAGTAGAGACCAAAAAAAAAAGGCACGGAAAACCATAAAAATGAAGCGAGGATTTCATTTATTTTGCTAAAAAAGTCAGCTTTTTTTCTTTCTGTTGACCTTGATCGGTAATTATTTGATTTGGAACTTGATCGAAATGGATTATAACAACGGAAACCAGTCCAGTTAAAATTCATCAAAACCCTATTTAAAAAAAATTAAATATAAGAGATGCTATTTGTGAAAACCCCAAAAATGAAAAATTTTCTCTTGTCGTAGCAGTACCACCATCTCTTTTTACTATAGCAACTAATTCCCATATTTCAAACTTTATATCTCATATAAGTAGCCGGAAAAGAAGCCGTACTTGCTGAGGCCAAGGTCGAGCTCCAGATTGGCGGCGTGACGTCGCGCCTGCTCGACGTCGACCAAGGAGACTCGGTGCGGAAACTGAAGTTCAGCGCCGCTGGTCAGGAAAAGGCCGCCGAAGACTTTTGGCTCGATTTCATCCGTCAGGACGACATTGGTCTGTCAAAATTGAGCATTTCTGTATTTTTTTTTTAACGTTGGCTGATCCGGACAAGGCTTGCAAGCTTATTCCAAAAAGGGGCGGGGGGCGGCTGATCCGGTCAAGGCTTGCAATGCTTATTCCAAAATGGGAGGGGGGATTCTTGACGATCACCTGGACATTCTAGAATCGTCCCTCTCTTAGCACTGTGGGGAGCCTGTCTAGAAATTTGTGGGGGGGCTCTCTTCTCTCTAGAAATTCCGACTTGGGGGCTATCTTCACTAGAAATTCGGACTGAGGGGGCTGTCTTTTCTAGAAATTCGAGAAAGCGATTCCGGAAATGTCCTTTCAAATGAACTAGGATGTCACTATAAAAACTTTTTCCTGTTCAAAAATTCAAACAGAACGATCAACTTTATTCTTTTAAGAAAAAAAGAAGCTCCAACCTTGGCTTTCTTGACGTTATCGACCTTGTCCAGCTCACTCTCGACGAGCTCTTTGAGCTGTTGGCTGGGCTCCTCGCTGCTCCGGTCCACATAAGGCCGGGCCCAGATTTGGTCGCCTCGAAATCCTAACAAATCGAGGTAAAAATCGTATCTAGGGATCAATACCATGAACCAAAACGTAGCCGATGGGATAAACTGGAATCAAAGCAAGGTAGGCCTGCTTCAACCGTCCCAAGGTACTCATTCTCCGAAAAATGACTGGTAAAAATCACAAATATAAGAAAATGTATTTCAATTTGCTGAAAAACCTTTTTTCTGTCATCCAAAACACCGTCATTTTTGCGTTTTCGGTTTATTTTTTGTCCATTACCATACATGACGAAAACACAATAAAATCATATGAATGAAGGTAAACAAAAAAGGGGGAAATAAAGAATATATAAACGAAATTGGCATCTCAATAAGAATGAATGAAATGAAAGAAAGAAAAAAAAACACAAAAAGGCTATACCATCATCTTTTTTTCCAGTAAATAATGCAGGCATGTAAATGAGTGAATTTAAGGGAATAACGTTAATACAACAAAATATGTGTAGAGTGACGTCTTCCGATGCAAATCATGAATGACAGCAAGTTAAGCGCGTTTTCTTTTATATTATTTTTTTTTCAATGGGATTTTTGTTTGGGGTACAATCGGTTTTGGAGATGAAAAATGGTACTGGGAGGCTCATCAATATACTCTAAAAACACTACTTTGGCTACTATCCAGATAACAAAAATTGAAGAAGACACCAGAAGATAGGAGAGTGAGCAAGGGAAAAAGTTATACCCACCAGATGATGCGAAACGCTTTTTCGATAGATAAACTTCCCCTCTATCATTTTACATTTAAAAAGATATTTTTTTCTTCGCATCAACTGGGGAGATCCCGAAAACAAATAGAAAAAAACCAAGACAGTGTTCTTTTGAAACTTCGTAAAGGTTTTGTCCTTGTGAAAAAAATGTAAAAACAAATAATAACATATAAAAAGTTAACAAAGAAGAAAAAACCTACAAGGCATTTCTATAAGAAAAAAACCGGAATTAGCGAAAGGGGGAACTAGAACCCAACAAAACGAAAAACCAAGTGTTTTCTATAAAAAGCGAGACGAGGAAATAATCGAACATCGATTTGATATAAGTAAATATAGAACCGCCCGGAGAAAAAAAGTTTTGAAGTCCAATTGAGACACAAGAAACCATGCACAAAAGCTTTTGACAATTTAAGCACAAACTGAATCCCGTTTAACATTAGAAAAAAAAAACTGATAAGGCAAAGTTTGCTCGAGGGCATAGAAAATGCGGTTAGATTCTACCAGTCCAAATCCTTCAACTTTCTAAAAATAAATCCCCACTTAAACTAATTGAATAAAGTACATTTGTTACCTACTCTGAGAAAAAGCATGCAACTACGCCCCAACCTACAATTTTTTTTGTTATTTTTTTTACCGTTTGGTCTTAATTTACATACTTACAGTTACAAAAGTCATCAGAAAAAAAAAAACTACGTCCTGTTTCGTTCTTATAGCTAACACCTCGGCTTGTTAGAACAAATATGTCCTGTCTGTCCTATATAACAACTGAAAGGCGCAATATAAAAGACACCTGAAAGAGGGCTTTCATACGTTTCATGAACAACTATGCTATGAAAAAGGAATCAAAAATGAATAAACGTAAGAAAAAAAAAACGAATAACAACGAGCCGTCAAAGGCAGAAAAACAACAAATTACATAGAGTAAGCAGTAAACAGTTCTATCATAGATAGGGCAGGCGAAAGTTTTGAGCAGAAAAAATGTTACAATTTTTTTTTATATTTTTAGGCCGCACACGGTTTTTGTCTGACACCAGTTGCAGTAAGGTCACTTTTTCTCTTTATTGGCCTGAAAATTGATAAATTTTATGAGCGTGATTTTTTGATGCCGCGTTCAAAGTAATTTTCGCAAACTTCAAAATTATTTCTGGCTCCGAAAGTAAGTTATCTTTTTGATTCCTTAAAGCTATTTTGAAATTTGCGACATAACTTTTAATACAGCATGACATGTGGTCAGTAAAATATGAGATTTGAAATTCCTAGTGAATTTTCGGAAATGCAATAAAACTTTTACTACACGGCTTCAATATCTCGAAAATCACATTTTACTGCCCATATTCTTGCAATCTTCAAACTCACAATATAAAAGTCATCCACATTTTTGTACTCGTTCAGTTTCGATTTCAAGGCTTCGTCTATTAAAAGATGCTTGGCTCCTTTGTACCTACAATTTTTCGATAACTTTTTTTTTTAATCGGTACAAAACCTCTTCAAAAAGACAAAGAGTTTTTCGAGGCCGTATAGCTCTCCCTTCTCGACGTCTTCGCGTACGTCCTTCTGGAAGTTCTTGTAAATCTCCGGTCGGAACTTCTTCTCGAGGCCGTAGCTGTAGAATCGGAAGAGAGATTCGATGCCGTAGCGAGATCTTCAAAAGTTGCAATTAGAATGCAGCCCTTCGACGTCTTCTCAAATTACCCAATGGCCGAGTCTTCCAGCGCGAGCTTGCGGAATTCCTCATACATACTCCTGTTGAAGTTGTCCCGCAGGAAGAACGACCAGAATCGGTACAACGTGTTCATTTCGGCACAGTCGTATCCGAGGCTCTTTCGTTGCTTCAGGCAAGCCTGGCGCCATGTCGAGTAAACCTGAACAGCAAAACTATAAATGAAAACTTGCAAATTAAATCTATACTTATTATTTGCGCCCCAAGATTTCTATATAAAAAATTGGGATCAAGCTTCAAGAAAGATGAATTCCCTCAAATGTGAGGCATTTGTCGCCTGTTTCCATAAAAATGTTTCTCCCCCATTGAAAACGCCATAAATTCGCGGAAATCGTTTTTTTGGCGGATGAATAGGCTATTCCGCGTTTTCGTAAAATTTTTCAAACGTTTTCTATTATTTTCTCGATAAACCGACTCTCTTGTAGACAACCGAAAATATCAGAAAAAAAAATTTCGAAATGGTCAATTTTTTCACAGAATAAGAAACTCTCGCTACAGCGCAGCACACAATTTTTTTTTGAACTATCATCAAATGAATCATGTCTTTTTCGAAATGATTCAGTCGAATGACGTGATTTGTTGCCAAAAATTGTCATGGGAAGGAAACTACACGAAATTTCTTTGAAGAAAAACAAACATCTTTCCAAAGCATTAAAAAAATAAAGATGATTTAACCAATTTTCGATTCCATAAAAAACTATAAATTATCTACAGTCAATAAAAAAATCTGATTTTTTTGTTTCCTTTTTTTCATAAAAATATTCAAGTACAACACACATTCTGAACGAAGTTGTTCTCCTGGAGGAGAGCAACAGAGGGATGATTGGCCGGGATTTGGCTGGAACTTGCGGCGACGCCAACCGGAGCGGGCGGCGGATCTTCACGTCCCAAAACCCAAGCAACCGGCATCTCAACTGGAGGCTTTGAGCTGTGTCTAAACAAAAACTCTATAAAAAGCCATTCAAAAACGGTTCGGAACCGCGTCTTTTGCTTCCTTGGCGATTTCGCGTCGCGGGTCGTTGCCGGCTTGCTGACCGGGTAGAAGCGGCTCATCTTCTGCTCCTCGGACTCCCGACGTTGCATCGGAGACTTTGGCTGGAAAAATCGAGTTAAGAGTGAAAAGAGGCCATTTTTCATGCAGTCCATGCATTCTAACGAGGTAAAATAAAGATTCAAAAGACTATAAAAAGTACCACAGTCGATTCGAAAGTCGCGGCTCGTTCCTTGGCCTTTTGGGTCCAGACTGATGGTGGTGGGGCGGCGGCGATGGACGGAGGAATCTCCGGGGGAGGCTCCGAAGTCCGTTCGCCGGCGTCCTTCTCACCACGAAGCTGAGCGAACTCGGCGTGGCTGACCGTCGAGACTTTCTGCTGAAAAGCACCACCACACACTATACCGTCGGCAAAATGAAACAAGCACATGTTTCCTCACACAGGTTCGAAATTAGAACGGAACTAAAGTGAATGAACGAGGTTTGATGAAAATTCAGCTATTTCAGTAGAGTAAGAAAAAATATTGTTTTAAAGTTTCTTGAACTTTGGGAAATTTTCCCTACAAAAAAAGCCTTCAAAAGTCGAGTTCAAACTTCTTTCAAAAATTTCTGAAGCTCGATCTTCACCAGCTTTTCCTGTGGAGAAAAGTGTCCTTTTTCCAAGACTTTTTGTCCTTTTTTTTTTTACTGAAATCTAGTTAGAAATTTCTGACTTCCATTCTCAAGCTGCATTTTCATGAACCGAAAAATAGGTAGTTGAAAAAGAGTCTTACAGGCGTCTCCTTCTCGTGCGGCTCGTTCCACAGCTCCTCCTCATAACGTCGAAGGCCGAGTTCAACCTCTTCGTTGAAGGCGAGATGATTCTGAGACCGCGTCGTGAAGTCGCCGGTACGATCCAACGTCCGCTTCATCGGCGTCATGATGATCAGTTTATTTACAACGTCGTCACCGACTTCTTCTAACGCTTCAGTCGTACTGAAAAAGGATATTTTTAAAAAATGTTGATTTTTATCAGTTACTACTGCATGTGGAATAAATGAATGATCAAACAAAATACTTTCGGCTAGAGGACAGCAAGTTATCTCAAAAAAAAGTCTAGAGAATCTAAAATATATCTTTTTTTTATCCAATACTCAAGCTACCAAGCAACGCCAACAGTTATAAAAAACGTGTTTTTTGTCGTTTTTCAATGAAATTTTTGGGTCTTCATTAACCTTAACGTAGACTTTCGCGGTTTCTCCCGTTTCGGCGTCGCATGGGTCGCGCCACCAGCGCTGCTGATCTCATTGTCGAACTGGAAGTCAAGGTCCGGCTGTTCACGACTTTGCTGCTTGTTCTGCGATTTCGAGTCATTCCTTTTGTCGTTGGTGTTGCGGCCTTTCGGCTTCTTCTTAGGCTTGACTTCTTCCCAAACCTAAATTAAGAATTAGTAAATCTTTGAAACATCGAAAAACCTCTTCTTCAGGAGCGTTTGTTGAAGATCCTGCTTGGGGTTGCTCGATAGTCTGTTCACTATCTCTCGCATTCGAAGCAGTTGACGTGCTAGCCGCCGTGGAAGGTTGCGTCTGGAAACGAAGGTGGTAAAAAAAAAAACTCGAAAAATTCACGAAACCTGAACTTGACGGGCAGATTCCTGTTTCTTGACAGGCTCCTGCGCCTTCACAGGTTCTTCCTTCGCCGAGGATTTCCTCTGACTAGCCTCCGAGGTGGTAGGAACTTGGTCGACTGGCGAGTTGACAGTTGGAGACAACGGCCAGGAAGAAGGATTTTCGCGAGGTCGAACCATGGTTTCGTCAATCGACAGCTCAACCTAATAAAAAGTCACTTTTCAAACGCTCTGAAACTCCTAATACCAAAATATATTTAATTCATAAAAAAGTTTAAGAAAAAACCAAAAACAAAATAAATGTTTCATGTCAGAGATCAAATCCACATGAAAAAAAGTTTGTTAAAAATCAAATGCCGTGTTCAAAGTGATTCTATGAAATTCGAAATACCCGAGAGAAAGGGTAAGATATAACCAAATTTTTAGTTATAAAATAAGTTGGAATTTCATGAAAGTACTTTGCACGCAGCAAAGAAACCTGCAAAGCTTAATACACTTACTTACTATAAAATTATCAGAATTCAACATCATTTCTACTCCAATATTTCTTTATTCTCACTTTTCCACTCTCACGAAGTCCTTCACAAATCAGAACGAGATCCTGGGTCAATGATCTGACTCGCGGGAAGGAGGCAATCAAGGAGATCGGCAGAAAACCGTCTTTGTTCATTTTCCTCCGCAGGAAGAAGTCTTTTTGAAGATTATCATCAGAGAAGTAGTATTCGCTAAAAATCAAAATCAACATGCTTCGAAAAAAAGTTTGGTTGATTAACAAAAGCTGGCTGGGAAGTTCAAAAGAATTTGTGAAAATTAATTGAACTATCGCAACAAAAAGCTTTTTTTCAAGAAAAAGTTTATAAAAAAATCATTTTAGATGTAGATAATAAGCTTTTAATCAACTGAAAATGACAGCCTTTCAAACTCACAGCTCTCAGGTTAGCACCTAGATTCTCACAGTTTTTTTTATTATTCTTTCCTTATTTGAGATAAAAAAGGGTCGTGAGAAAGCACGTGTTTGAAAGACGGGCAATTTCTTCAAAGTTAAAAATCAGAAGCTCAAAAGCAGCATTTTAAAATCAAAAGCTCGAAAGCTAAAGTTCAGAATCAAAAGCTCGAAAGCAAAAGTTTCGAATCACAGTAGTTCAGACTTCTCTTCAAAAAATCTCTTCCGAGACCCAGCAAGCCTTTTTCTAGACTTTCTGAATCCTCACATTTGCTTCTTAACACAATCCTTGAGCGTGTCGTCCGAAATGGGGACGAACGGCTGTGGGCTTGGGTAGACAGGAGCGAAGGGAATCGAGGTGTTGATGTTCTCAGCGCCAGGAGGAATCGAAGGACTGACCATCGCCACGCTGTCCGGCCGGCTGTCCATCGGCGGAGAAACGGGAAGGACATGCGGCGGGGCTATCATGGCGATGGTGGGCCGGAATCCGAAAGCGGCCATGTGATGCTGCGCTTGTTGGATCATCAAAGTGGCGTTGTGGGCGTCTGGAGGCAGAGGCATCGGTTCGAACTGCTGCGGCGTGTAGAACTGCGCGTATTGTGTGTCCATCAGAGTCATGTAGTCGAAGTTGTCCTCGCCGTCCTGGATGTCCTCCCATCTTGGTAGAGGTCCACGTTCCTTCCGTTGAGCAGGAGTCAACTTTGGAGGCGCATGCGGGTTGACGCGAGCTTGCCAACGATCGTTGCGCTGATAGTAGGCCTTTGGCTTATCAACCGCGTCCTTGCGCTCTGAGTTCTTGTGCCAATAGTCGGACTTGGTGGAGCCGTTGCGCGAGACCGACGAGGACTTGTCGTTCTGCTCGCGACCGTTGCCGTTCATCACGATCGCCGCGAACTTTTCCTCGTGCGTCGGCGAGAAAGGCTTCTTGTAGGAGTGTCGGTTGGTGGACCTGTCGTCGACAGGAGAAGACGTCTTCACCGGCGAGTCCGGAGATGAGCTGTCGTTGTCTTTCACTTTCTTCTTCCAACCGTGCGTAGCTCCTTGCTGATAGTAAATTCCATTCGCGCCGTTATCCACGACCCTGCAACTGCAAACAATTATTACTTTGGAAAAGAAAAGAGCAAAGAGAAAAAGCTTTCAGTGTTTCCGGAACGCGCAAAATGATCCAATTTCTTTTTTATGCAGTGACGTCTTGATACTCCGGAAATGTGCGTTTTGGGTGAACTTAACGCACGTGCTTTATTGCCATTTTTCATTTTGGCGTGTTGGCAATAATGAACAATTTTCTATGAATTCAAAAATCCCTATGATTGTGAAGAAAATAATTTTATAAAGTTGAAGGGCTCTTCGAGTGTTTTTGAATCCATGAAAAATTGCTTCGTCTATGAGAACCCTAGAAAAATTCCGAAAAAAGACTACATTTTGAACTTTTTCTCACTCTTTGTCTTGTCATCGCAGAGAACAAGAAAAAGCAGCGAAACGCGTGAGTCACCCAAAACGCGAATTCAGTGGCATTTCGCGTCGTCACTTTCTACGAGAAATTTGATCATTTCGCGTGTTCCAAAACTACCTTGCAACACGGCATGGGAGAGAGAGCGGCAAAACAAGCCGAATTTTTTTTTTCCAAATACAATTTTTGGTGTCGAGTCACACACTATACACGAGAAAAAAAAAGCGGGGAACGGAGTTTTTGCTGCTGCAGTACAAAACCAAAAACAAAATATATTCGGACTGAAGGCAGCCCAGTAGGGGCAGGCAAACATGAGACGCAGCGCGGCCTATCGGCAGACATTGCACGCCGTAAGAGAGAATAGACGGCAAAGGCACATTGCAGAGGAGCTGTCAGCTGCCTCGCGCTGAAGGTCTATCTATTCGGGGGCCTGCCAAAAACGCAACAACAAATTTTTTTTTCTTTCTCCGTGCCATCAATAGAAATACAAAAATTTCCCTCCTTTTGCGAACACTTTCAACCACAAACACGTTGAGAATGATCGATTTGAAGGACCAAACATAGGTGGCAATTAAAATGGCAGGAAGGAACAGAAAAATGGCAATAAAAGGGGTTGGATATTGACACGCAAGCTATAATTATCAACCCGAAAGCTTACCAGTATTGCTCGTCGCCGCTGTCCGAATCGCCGTCAGCCGAGTTCCTTTTCCCTGCAAAACGCAAATTTTCGTGGGAAATTCGCCCGTTTTTTCCCACACAAAAATCGCCACATTTCCAAAAAACCAACCAGCGTCTTCACTGTTCCTCTTGTAGCCTTTGTCTCGAGAGCCTTTTCCTTTGTTTCCGTAGTCAACTGCTATGTCCACTCGTTTCCAGCTGTTTTTACTGGTTTTACCCGTTTTTTGGTTGCTAGTTCCAGAGTCCAAATTCTCCTACAAAAGGTGAAAGTTTTTTTAAAGAAGGAAAAAAAAATGAGAAAGCTTCCAAATGGAAGACTGAAGTAGTTTGGAATTTTGACAAGATAATGATTACTAAATAAAAAATCTTCGACAAAAAATGAAAAAAACTTCAGAAATGTACCGTATAAAGTAGAAAGAAGTTCAAGCTATAAAAAAATTAGGTTTTTTTTCATATAAAGTTTACTAAATTTAATACTGGTGTTGTTAAATAAAGACCGAAACTTAAAATAGGACAAAATTTGAATTGATTTCTTGTAAATACTAAACTCAGTTTGTATCACCTAAAATTAGCGAAACAGAAAAGAAAACTAAGATATTACAAACCTGAGTGTCAGAATTGGTGGGAGAAACTATTCCATTATCATCTAGAGAAGGCCATTCGCTATCCTTTTGAGCTGGCTTATGTTCAGGTGACGAAGTCGACGATTGAGCAGTAGCAGTGACCTAAAATATAACAAATTTAAGAAAAATTACCGAAAGACGTTTTCATTGCTAGCTTACAGTGATTGGTTCTTCCTTAACAACTGGTTCCTCTTTATGTTCCACAGCTTCAGCAGCTACTTCAGCAGCTGGAGCAGCGGAAGCGGCACCCTCAGCTGCAATAAAACAACATTTTTCAATCAATAATAATATAAAAACCTTTGTTTTTGAACCAGGCGTTTACCGCGGGAAGTGGAGCAGGTTCCAAGACTACTGGAGGATCGACCGGCTTCACTTCTTCCGGTGGAGGCGCCGGCTTTTCAACCTTTACAGGTTCTGGTTTGGGTTTTCGTTCATGGCGCTCGCGGTCGCCTTTGTTTTTCGTGAATCGCTTCTTATTGTAGTTTCGCGGTTTTTCTTCGTGTTTCGAATGACGTTCTGTGTTTCCACTGTCGACTTTGTGATTCACTGATGCAGGTTGAATAGGTGTGGGTACATTTTCAGGAATGGCTGCTGCGTCAATTGATGAAAAATCAGCGGGTTGGCCTGATACTACTTTAGCAAACGAGAGCATTGGCTGCCTCTCGGCCATCTGTCAGTTGCCAACTCGCAATCGCAGTTAGCAAACTGAAGACGATACCTTAAATACAAAGTATGAGGTGAGCAATTCTCAAATGAAAAAAAGAGTAACGACAAGGAAATAGAGAGCGTAAAATGAAAAACAGTCGGTATCACCATTACCAGCAAATAATTTACTACCTTTGCTATCAGCAAAAACACAAACATCACAGATAAAGATTTTATAAACTAATGAGACGTGAAACAAAGCAAGGATAAGCGCGAACTAAGGAAAATATGGAAAGCTAAATTTTCATAAAATAGTTTTAGATGACCAAAAAGTGCTTAGATTTATTATTTAAACTTTTTTTTGTACTTTGAAATTTTAATGAACCGAAAAAATATGTGCACTCTGAAGGAAGTTCTGTTCGTGCGTAGTGCCCCTATGCTATTGTGTACGACTGGCAAGTTGCCAACGCTCAAGGGGCTGCTAGGAAAACAGAGGAGAGGGTTGCACCAGAAAAGCGCCAATCCTCTGGTGCTGACTCATTCGATGCTTAAGCGAGAAATGATTGCAGCAATTAAAAAAATTCGTTTTTCCTGTTTTCTCTCCTGAGTGTTTTCGGTTCATGTTCTTGTCTTTGAAGTTGGTCACATTGTGTAGAAAATTTTTGCAACCGGTGAGTTTCTGAGCGAAAGCATAATGTTATATATTCTTTTCAAATTTGCTTTTTCAGTGTATCTATTCTCAATTAAACTCTTTGTGGCTTTGGAGACTTGTTTTTTTTGATAGATAACTCGCATGCTGAGCAGGTGTCTCAACGGGTGTACCCGTATTAAACCCGTGTTTCTGAGGTTATTTTAGTCTCAGTTGGGCTAAAACGGGGGAACAACGGGTGTAAGAAAAATAGGTAACCCAGCTGGGCTAAAGCGGGGTCTCAGTTGGGCTAAAAAGTGCCAAAAAGTTCTATCAGCTGGGCTTATACGGGTTTAATACGGGGGCACCCTGCGGAGACCCCGTGTTAGCACGGCGGGGTTACCCTGCTCAGCATGCGAGAAAGTGATTTCGAGCGAGTATTTCCTAATTCAAAAATTTCTCAAAATATTTTGTCGTAGTTTTGTTTATCGTTACGAAAAAATTATGAGAAAGGTTGCGTTTAAGCTAGTTTTAGTGAAGATTGATAAACATGTGAGTCAATTTTAGATTGCAATCTTGATAATACAATAATCACATTGATTGAAGCCAGGTATTGACAAGCATATTTAGAGAACTCACTTTTTCGGTGTTTTTCCCTTTCCATTTCGTGATTTGCTTTTGAAATTTTGAGAAATTTCACTATTTTTATCTTCCAGGATGCCTCCTCCACCGCCGCCTCCACCTCCACCGCCTGCACCCCCAGCTCCGGCGCCATCAGCACCGCCACCAGCTAGTACTGCACGAAATGCACTTCTCAGCGATATTCATGTAGCTTTTCATCACTTGAAATCTTCAAAAATATGTTTCATTTTGCAGAAAGGTGCCAGGTTGAAGAAAACTGTGACGAATGACAGATCCGCACCTGCAGTAGGAAATGTGAAGCCATCTGCTAACGGATCCACTTCAAGTTCAGCGCCAAACGGTTTTTCCCGAGTTTTTTGTTGGAAATAAATGCAATTTTTCAGGCGGAAATGCTCCAAAACCGTCATTTGGAAGTTCTCCGGGACCTGGTCTAGGTGGCCTTTTTGCTAATGGAATGCCAATGAAACCCAGTGATAATAAAAGGAGGGCAACTACAACGAATATTGTTACTGGTGAATCTTTATCTCGAAAATAAATTAAACTTTTTCTCAGGTTTGGCCGCCAGTACATCTTCCTCACCACCGCCGCCACCTCCTCCAGTTCCTTTACCGGCTGAAAGTTTATCTCTTTGAAGATTTAAAGTTTATTAATGCTCTTCTAGATCGAAAACCGTCTTTCGGCGCCTCGAAGCCAAATCCACCGCCTCCCCCGCCTGCCCAACAGGCCAAACCCACGGTTTTCTTCATTTTCAAATTTTTAAGTGTCTTTCCTGTTGAAAATGTCCTTTGCAGTTATGTTTTTCTGTTTTTCTTGATGATTACTAATATTTTTGAGTGAATTTTCTTTGCATCCTTGTGATTTCTAGCTCGGCGGACCCTCTCAAACCAATCGGGAACAATTTAAAACGATGCGACCGATCCGACAAGCTTCTGATGAAAAGCCCACGTTTTTGAGAAGGAGTGGCAGTTCCGAGGTTTTGTTTTTGAAAATTGAATTTCTAGCTGTTTTGTACTTAACTAATCGAATGCGGTTCTCCTTGTTTTTTCAAGTTTTTTTTCGGAATTCGAAGGAATTTCCAGCTTTAGAAGCTTCTATTTAATGATTTTTTTCTGAATTTAAAAAAATTTTTGAAGGGTTTTTTCTGGAAAAATCGCTGAATTTTGAGCTTTTTGTGAGATTTCGATTTTTTTGAAAAATTGGTTCATTGTTTCATATTCCCAGGGCTCTTAAATGGTCGTGGATGCACGGTTCTTTCTAATTTTTGTCTTTATGTCATTTGAAAAATGTTCAGAAGTGTTACGCTTTAGTTCTTAAAATCCGTTAATAATTCTAGCAGTTTCTAGTAAATCCGATAATAATTCTAGTAAAATGTGATAAAGTTGGAAAAATCTCTTTTTTTTTCTTGAAAAACGAATTGTAGAAAAAGGCTTCTTCAACTTTTTCGAAAAATCGTTTTTTTAAAAGTCATATTTTCTTTCCAAATCACTTTTTCCGGCAATTTTTCATTAAACGTAATTATAGAGACGTTTGAAAAAAATAAAAATAGGAAAAAAATAACCATTTTCAACTGTTTAAGGCAATTTTTTTAAAAAGAAAAAAAGTTTAGGAAATAACCGGTTCTTCTCGGATAATGAGGCCTGGAGTTCCACCGCCTTCCCGGCCGAATGCGCCACCCCCGCCGCCGCCTCCACCTCCAGCACAGAACAATACGCCGATAAAACCAACTGGAATTCGGCCCACACCTCCGGCAAAGTAAATTTTTTTGAAAAATCGTTTTCCGGTCCAGATTTTTTATAATAATTTGATAGCTCCTTAGAAAATATTCAGTATTACTTGGCTGAAGTAGTGCTTCGACCTCTCTAGGTAAAACAAAACAAAATTACCTTTTTTTCACCTATTTTCTTCCTTCTTTATTTAAACCTCCTTGAAAGTTCCTTTCCAGAAAAAAACTGTTTTAACTGTTTATTGCATCTTCAATGTAAGAATACATGTGCAATCGACTTTCATTGATTTCAACTGTGTTTAAACGGCGGCAGGAGCTGTGGCTTAGGCAGAGAAGTTGTGAATGTCGCTCGTAGAACATCAGGTACAAGAGGGGTCGTAGGAAGAAGTACGGTGCCGGCTTTCCAAAGGCTGATGGCAGAGATTGAGCCTTTTCGCTGCATGCAGCTTCCAATATTATCTACCCCGGAGGGATGAAAGGCTTGGTCGACCTCGGGGGGGACTCGAACCTACGACCTTGCGGACGTTAGAAATGAGTTATGCCAGCTGAGCTATGCCGCCCCTCCAGAAAAAGGTTCAGAAAAAAAGGCACCTTTGAAGCCTTTGTAAGACTTTTTTTTTTTCCATAACTCCTCTTTGAGACCTTTTGGACTTTGTCCGTGCTTTTGAAACTTGTGAAAAATCTTTTTGCTTTCTCAAACATGCTGTTTTTTTCCGTTGAAAATTGTCCTTTTTTACTTTTTTCATTTCAAAAAGTTTTTTTCTTCAGAGCTCCCTCAGTGATAGAAGATTTGTCACCTCCTGCTCCACCGCCACCGCCAAGATTCGCCTCAAAAGCGCCGGCTCCATCTTCCAATTTCCGATCAAGTCCGGCGATCTCCACAGCTCCGCCGCCTTTTTCCGTTTCAGCAAAACCGGAAAAGTTCCACCCTCTAGATAGGTGGGTTTTCGGGAGAATTTCGCGGAAATTCGGCTTGAAAATATTCAAGTTTTGTGAGAATTTGGGCATGCTGGGAAAGTCGGTCGGTTTGGTCACTTTTTGAAAATTCAAAAGTTTTTTTTTATCGGTCTAAATTGTTTTTAAACTCAAAATTTTCCAAAATGCGTAGAATTCTCGATTAGAGAGGGTTTTTTTCTAAGATTTAAGATCCTTTTTTTGACGAAAAATTCAGGAAAAAGTTAGATTTGTAAGTATAATGGCCAGTACTTTTTTTGAAACTGATCATATTATGAAGAAATAGATACTTTAAAAAGCGTTAACACCTTCATAAAGCTCAAAAAAATTTTCAAACCTTAAAAAAACTTGAAAACTTTTCTATTTCAAGTTGCCCGGAAACTGAGTTCACTGTTAGATTTATTTGATACTCATTAGGTAACTTTTTTTTTCACTCCGTCAGGAGGTCCTGAAACACGGTTCAGCGCAGTTTCATAATTTGGGCAAAAAAAAGGCTAAAAAACATACGATTAAATTTCTCGGTTCCCGTTGAAAAATCAGCCACAAGACAGGTTTCGTTGAAAATAGGCTTCAAGAACGGTTATTTAGAGTAGTTTGCGTTGAAAAATTTATTTTCATTTATACAAGGGCAGAAATTTCTTAAAAGTTGCCATCCCGCACCCCCGAGTTTTCACAAAATAAAGTCATTGCTTTTTCATAGGCTTTTATGCACCATTTTTGCTGCCTCTCCCTTTCTTCATCATTTTTGAGCCTTTAAAATCTTAGAAAAATCTGAAGGCTTGATAAAGGGACTTTTTTGTTGCCTTTTTGCTTCCTTTTTGAGTCTCTCCCTTTAACGACCATTCCGACTTTGCCCGAGATTAAACTCTTTTTCATCAAACTTAATTATTTTCATCACATTTTCAGATTTTCCTTTATGTCTCTGAACCAACTACCCCCGCCACCACCGCCAGGCAGCAATCGTGTATGAAAACAAATCAAAAATCCAAATTCTCGTCAAAATCTTCAGTTAGATATTGTTTCGATTAATTTTCCCTTTGGCCGATGCCGGTATATTTTTTTTTGAACCAAAAAGTGAGAAATATCTTATTTCACTTCAATTTTCCGTGTTTTTGTCTTGTCGTTTTTTTCTGCTGTATTTTTCAAAGCCTTGGTATTCAAATGATTCGTCTGTGATATCGAAATCTCCGCCTCCCGAGTTTTGTATTGATTGTATTATATCTATGAAAATATGTGTGTTAATTCGATTTTTTATTATATATATACCTTTTTTTTGCACACGCCTCTCGCTTAAAGCTTTGTGATAATTGATCTAGATTCGCCTTATTTTTTTTATAGATTTGAATGATTTTTTTGGAGGGTTTTTTTGGAAAAAATAGTTGATTTTTGATGACTTCAGCCAATTTTTTTGAGCTTCAAGGGTGATTAAAGCTCTGATTTCTTATAAATAATTCAACTAGACCCATTTATTACACAAAAAAATCCAAAAATACCTCAAAATTTCGTTCAAATTTCTCTTTTCTGTATCAAAAATCAACTAGTAAATTTTCTCCATCATCTAGAACTTTTTCATTTTTTTTCTTGTAGTCTTTTTAGTACCTCTCGCCCACCAACACGGACCGTCGCTCTCAGAGAATTTCCTTTTAGGCCTTTTAATGCCTGAAAAACTTTTTCTTATTCATATACATCTCTCGATTTGCTCATTTGTCGATAAAACAGTTCATTTTTCTTTCGCATGAAGTTTATTTTGTTGGAAAGGTTGTAGAATGTCCTTTTTATTTTATTCTTGTACAACTTAGACAAGGTCCGAAAGGACTTTATGAAATTTTTAAGAGGATAATATTTAATTATACCTTGTCAAGGAAAAAGATGTTATAATTTTTCCGGCTTTTTTTGGACATTTTTTTCGTCTTCTCTGTATTCAGTTTTCATTTAAAAAAATCCAAGAAGGCTTTTTCCAAAAAAGCTTCTTCCACCTTTTAAGAAGTATAAAAGTTGTGAAAATCTTCCTGGATTTTGAAAAAAAGAAAGATTTGAAGATGATGCCCCAAGAAAAGAAGGAAGATCCCCAATTAGTGGATCGTCTTGAATCAATCGTCGTCATTGAACGCAAAATCGACGATCTTTTGAAGTTTGAACTGAATTTTGATGATTAGAAAATGAAGTTTTGATTTTTAGATGCGCTAAAGATTGTTTAGCGGAACTGTCAAGGGAGAAGCAGATTAGTAAGGTTTGAAATTTTATTCCTCCTAATATAATCTCTATGAGATATAGAACAAAAATGGAGGACAACTGTAACTCGTTCAAAAAGCTCCTGACCCAAATCGAGAGCGAATTGAGCGGCCATATGCAATACTTGGCCAATGTTTGTGTCGGATCTGCTCATCAAGGTTCAGTTTTTTGATTTTCAATGGGATTTTTTAGATAAAAGTAATTTTTTAGCCCGTTTTTCCATTTTTTAAGTCCAGTTTTGAAGTTTAGCAGCCTTTTTTGAAAATGAAAATAGGATTATCGATCTTCTAGTCATTTTTCGCTTCTCGAATTTATAATTTTATCACAAAAATAGTATCAAAAGGGTCGCTTTTTTCTCCAGAAATCCGTGATCTTTAACTTTTTTGGCCTTTTTTCTTAGCTAGATGAACGACTTGATGTCGTTGTTCACCACCAGTTTCTTTTTAACTTGCTGAGCGGCTAGGTAGCGTTGTTCAACACCAATTACTTTCATTGGCTAAACTTCTTGCTCAGTAAGGACTTTCTGGGGAAAGTTATTTTTAGTTTATTGAAACCTTTGCGCATCGAGTAAATCCTAAAACTTGATTTTTGAACTTCTTTTCACACATTTTAAAATTGGGAAGCTTCTGTTGTCGCTTTTTCGAGTAAAAGAAGATTTCGGTCTTCTAGTCATTCTTTCCTTTTCGAATTTGTATTTTTTATCAGAAAGTATTATTCAAAAACACTAAGAATAACTGACGAGATAAAAGCGAGGTCGGTGGCGGTACATTGACGAGCTCGCAAACATCTCGCTTTTTTCAAGGCGCGATCTCGCATTTCTCTCGGCGCGACCTCGCATTTTTCTTGGCGCGATCTCGCATATATCTCGCACTTCGGAAATTTTCAAATTGCGAGAGAAATGCGAGCTCGCGCCTAGAAAAATGCGAGCTCGCGCCCAGACTAATGCGAGACCGGCGCGAGAAAAAAAGCGAGATGTTTGCGAGCTCGTCAATGTACCGCCAGTGTCTCGCGTTTATCTCGGCAGTTATTCTTAGTGAAGTATCATTGCAAGGCTTTTTTCCAAGAAATCGTGATTTTTCACCTTTTTATACATCTTTTCAGTTAGATGAACAGCTAGGTATCGCTTTTCAATACCAGTTTCTTTTTAGCTAATTGAACTTCTAGGTATCGCTGTTCAACACCAGTTCCCTTGACTGATCAAATTTCTTGCTCAATAAATATAGGAAGTTCTGATTGAAAATTAATTTTTCTTTAGTTCACTGACAGCTATGCGCTTTGAATAATGCCATGAAACTGAAGGGAATTTGTTTTTTAAAGTTTTTGTTTTCACATGCTTTGAAATCTTTGAAATTGAGAAGCTTCTATTCACCTTTCCGAGTGAAAGAAAGTTTTCGGCTTTCTAGTAATTTTTTTCTTCTCGAATTTGTATTTTTTTATCAGAAAAATATTATTCAAAAAAAGTATCATTGCAAGGCTTGTTTTTTCAGAAATCCGTGATCTTTCACTTTTTTCATTCACTTTTTTTTAGCTAGATGAACTGCTGGTTAACGTTGTTCAGCACCAGTTTCTCTGACATTAAATTTCTCGCTCAATAATCGATAATAAACTCTCGATTCCCAGGATCAACCTTCGCATCTCATCAGAACATCGCCTTGGCTGAGATGACCGGCGAACAGCTTCACAAGGACATTTTGGACATCGCCGGCACTCTGAAAGTCAAAGAACCGCCCACGAAACTCGTCGAAACCACCATCGTCATCACCAACGAGGATGACGTCACCATGGAGGAACCTGCAGCTGAACAACCACAGGAAGCAGTTCAACAACCGAAGGAGGAGGAGGAGAAAATGGAGGAAGACAAGGAGAAAGATTAGGGATTTTTTCCCCGTTTCTAATGATTTCTGTATATTTGAATGATCAGAATTGCTATTTTCGTGTTTTTAGATATTTTGTTCTTGAATTTTACGCTGAACGTCAAATTTTAACTGGTTCGATCACTTTTTCTTGTTGATTTTTTTGAATATTCAGTATGTTTCTCTTAATCTTCATTTTTCCAAAGTTTTCCACTTTCTCACGGGCTACATTATATTTATTGAATTGTTTGAAAATAACGTTGTTGTATAAATTTTTTTTTTTCAAATCTTTCAAGCCTAAAAGTATTTTTTTCGTGGAAATATATCGCCAAAATTGCGATTTCATGTCTTTTCAAGTGTTGTGAAGTGTTTCGTTTCTTCAAAATCAAGAAAAAAAAAATTATTCAGACTGGCTAAATTCCTATGACAAGTAGTGTAAATGTGGCGCGTAGCGTCGTGAAAAGTGAAGTGAGTTTTTTTTTGTTTTAAAATGAAGAAGTTTGTTATTTTATTCGAAAAATAGGTATTTTTGAAAGTATTCTGTTGAAAAAATGATCATTTTTCTTCAAAAAGTGATTTTTTGGGAAAGTATTTAGTGGCCACTATAGAGGCTACGCCAATGACTACTTGGAGAGGATACTAAAGTGGCCACTATTTTCGGTTTTAGTGGTCACTTCAGTAGTTTTCATCCAGTAACTCTGATAGATTTAAAACAACCGGATTGGACCAGTTATGTTGATCCTTTGACCTCTAAAGTGGCCACTATTTTCGGTTTTAGTGGTCACTTCAGTAGTTTTTCATCCATTATTCCTTCCAGTAACTCTGATAATTTTATAACAAACAGATTGGACCAGTTATGTTGATCCATTGACCCCTAAAGAGGCCACTCAAATTTTCAGTGGTCCAGTAGTAGCACTTAGACCTCTATAGTGGCCACTAGTTTTAATCCCTTAAATGGCTACTAATTTGACTACCATAGTTGCCCCTAAAACGTCAAAATCCTATAGTGGCCACTAAAAGTTTTCCCATTTGTCCATTTTTTAAGCTAGAAATTCGGAAGCCTTTAGTTTTTAAAGCAATAAGTTGCAGAAAAATAAATTTTCAAACGTCTTTTTTTCTCATTTTCTGTACTGTTTGGTTATAGAAAAAATTTTGCAGGTAGAAAGCCCTGAAAAAAAAGTTTTTAAACCTCTCGAGAAAAATAAAACTACTGAACAAGATGAATATGTCGACAGGATACGAACCAAGTACTTGGAGAATATGAAACAGGTTTGAAATCTTGAAATCGCTAGAAAATTATCATGTTTTCAGAGAAAAATGCGCCGAAAAAAGCAAAAAGACGTCGAACTGAGCACCGACCCTGAAATGATAACTTCGCGTCTTTCCAAGTATGGCATGTTCGATTTTCGAATGTCAAGCTCCGCCCCCTAACCAGTTAGAGAGCCACAGAGTGTTTTTAGAATGACGTCATTGCACTTGGCATTCAAAAACCTGAAAAAAATAAGCAACACAAGTTCATCAACTATTAAATATAAATAATAAATTTTTTTAGTGGACTTGATTTTTTCATCGCTTCATAGTCCCAAAAAACCGGCTACTAAGAAATTTAATCCATCCGTTTTCACCTGTTAATCAATCACGTAAAAACTGAAATGCTTCTTGTCATCCATGAAATGAAAAAAATTGTTGGCAACTCGCCAAGTTGTAAATTAATGGTTCATATTTGCGTCGCGGTGTATTGCGGCCAACACAGCTGACCGGGCAAGATTTTTTATTCATGGTAACGCCGTGCGTCATTGCACTTGACCTTCAAAACCTGAACAGAATTTAATATTTCAAGTGATAATTCGTGTAAAAATGAATCATTTTGTAGATCCACCTGCGATATCGACGTCAAAACGTTGAGCTGTAGGTTTCCATTGTGTGGCCGAACTTTTTCGACCGTTGAGGTTTGTTTGACGTCTTTTTTTGGGATTTGATTTATTATTATTTTTCATATTTTTAAAATGTTCAGTTTCATTCAAAAAACGCTTATTTTTTCAGTTTCTCGCATTAAAATTCTTCTTCGAGCTCATTAAAATCATCGACTAGCATGACCCCAATAGGGACCACTTTTTCAAGCTTTAGGAGACCCTATAGGGGTTGGTAGAGTGGTCTTTGGAGGGGACTCTCCAAGGGCCCCTATAGGGAAAACTCTGGAGTTCCTAAGTGTCTGCGCTCTCCATCAACCAGGCACTGTCTCTTTTCTAATCGTGTCAGGGCCTTTTTTCGGAGCCAGGCGTGAAGCAGTTATAAAAAATGCTATTTTAAAACTACTGTAGCTCAAAAACGAGTCACAGCAGAAAAAAAAAAAAACTTTTTCTTTAGATAACTGCAAAAAATACAGTGGAAAACAAAGGTATTTAGGAGAAGTTTTGTCAAATTAGGTATACGGTATTTTTTTTAGAGAAAAAAAGGATGAAAACCTATAAATTTGATGGATTTCGGCGTTGATTTTTGTTAAGATTACGCGTTTTATCAAAAAAACGCTATCGTTAAATTTTTTTGAATAAATCTATATATATTTTTTTTGAGTAAATCTAGGTTTGAAAAAGAAATAATGTAAAAAAAGATGTAAAAATGGCATTTTAACGTGTTTTTTTGTACTTTTTTTCGAAGTTCTTTGATTATGATTATCCTTAATATTTAGATTTTCTAGAGTTTGGATCCTTATAAACTTCTTTCAGGTCCTCTCTTTCCACGCCTCTTACGCTCATCAAGAATTTTCCAGTACTGATTTGTCAAATGTCACTTGTATGGTGTGCGGAAGGGTCTGGAATAGTGTCAAGGTATAGTAAAAAAATATATTGACCAATAAAATATTTTGGTTGAAATTTTGCGCAATAATCTAGAGATTTTGATAGTTTTTTTCAATTTGAAAGTAAGTAGTTAGAAAAAAATTTTAAAAATTTCCCGAAACGTCTCAAAATTACAGCTTCTTGCAATTTCTATCAGTTGAAAAATAGTGATCAATCAATAAAAATAGGAAAAAAGAGTTATTTTCCAGTCAAAAGTGGTTCACATGTCCGCGAAGCACAAAATCGTGGCAGCGGAGCACAATCTCCAGTGCATTGAGCAATTAGGGCCCGTTATTGCTCCAAATGCTCCGATGGCTCGTCGGTTGGCTCAGGCGGCTTTCCAGGAGGAGCAGTTCGTTTTTGAGAGCTTTTTGAGAAAATAAATCGGATTTTTAAAATTAAAAAGGTTTTGAAAAAAAAAAATAATTGATCAAAATTGACTTAGGCGGCTCTCCGGGAGCAACAGATCGTATTTTTAAGGTTTTTTTGAAAGAAAAATCGAATTTCTGAAATTAAAAATATCTTCAAAAAGAAAAAAATAATCGATTTAAAAATGACTTAGATGCTCTCCAGTTCGCTTCGAAGCTTTTTTTAGACAAAAAAACTACAATTTTTTTAAAAATTTGAATATCTTCAAAAAGAAAAAAATGACTTCAAGCTGCCCTTCGGGATAAGCAGTTTGTTTTTGAGGAATTTTTTTGAAAAATAAAAAAATTGAATTTTTTTAAGATTAAAAAAATCTCTTAAAAAAATCAAAAAGTAGATTCCAAGTGACTTAGGCAGCTTTCCAGACGGAATAGCCTGTTTTGAAGCTTTTTTTGAAGGAAAAAATTAAGTTTTTGTAATTGAAAATATCTCAAAGAGCAAAAAAATTCGCTTCAAAGGGCTCAGAAGGCTCTTCAGAAGAAAAGCTCCTTTTTTAGGCCTTCTCGGCAAAAATTGAGTAGAAACTTCTTTTTTTACGCTTTCTATGCAAAAATAAGTAGAAAAAGATTAATATTCTTTCATTCTTTGAACCCTGAAACGAGAGAATTTTTTTTTATCTGACCACAAATCGAACTTTTTTTGAATTAAATGCTAATTTTTCGAAATTTCTCCAAATCCAAGTCCAATACGAAATTTGAAAGGACCCTGAAAATATTGTGCCAAAATAGTAGCTCCTCTTGAGAATCTCGAAAATTTCCCCTAATCTTTGTTCGAAATGTGCGGAAAACCGTGCTTTGTACGTTTCATTCTTTCGATTTCAAGAAAAAAGCCTCACGGAAGGCAGTAAATATTGTGGCATGTACGTAGGATCAATAATGTTATTAATTTGAGTGATCAAGCTCTCAAGTTTCCAGTGATAGGTAATCTCTCAAATTTGTTCTGTAATTTTTGAATTTCGGCTTTGAAATCGTCTAGAAATTTCGTCCATGGAACCTCTATCGTTTTTTCAATAATGAACTTTGAAAATTTAAAATTTTTTGATTAAACAAGAAGGTCTGAAAATTGAATTTTTGCTTTTTACTCAACCTTTTCGGCGCCTTTTTCTCACTTACTTCTTAGGGATTTTAAATTTTACCTCTAAAGTCAATTTTGGAAGGTAGGAAGGAGTTTTGAGTCTGCAAATGTTCGTGAGCGTGAAATATGCATACACCATTATTGGAGGCTCGAATCTTGGAGAATTTGAATTTTTTTTTCGATTTTTTATCTTTCTTTCCTTTTTGATTTTATTGTGAGAATGCCGTGTTTCGACAAAAAAGGAACAATGTATGATTTTTTTAAACTTATTTTTAATTAAATAATGCGTCTATAGTCAATGTTTCCCGGCTTGAAAGGCGAGGGAGGCGGGGCAGCGGGCGGGACGCGTAGCGTGTGCGTACGCGGTTCTTGGCGCCAATTCAATTCAATCGCCGCTGACTATTTAAAAAGCTCGGCAACCGCTCTTTTTCTGTGTTTTCTACTAATTTTTGATGCAAAAATTAACATAATCAATAATTAATTGAAAAAGGAATGAAAAAAGCGAAAAATGAGCTCTCTGAATGCTCGCTGGCGGTTGAATTGAACTCGTGCCGAGAACCGCGTCCCGCCCCTTGCCCCGCCTCCCTCGCCTTTCAAGTCGGGAAACATTGACTATACTTCTGATGTCAGTTTTGAACATTCTGATAGCCCCTCTTTGATGGAAAATGTCAAAATTGTGAATATTTCAGAGCCGCCTCCCAACAAGAAGTCTTCGAACCGATCTATCCATTATTCGAAGTAACTCCAGTTTTCCTCGACCCATCGGACCCAATTTTCATGCCAGTTTCCGCTGAAATTCCTGAAGATTCTAGTCTCTCCTTCCCCAGTGTCGAAATCTCCTGTAAAATTGAACTTTAAAAAAAAAAATGTCGCCGAGAAAAGTGTTATATTTATGATTGCGGGTTCTCAAGCTTAATAAATATTGATGGGCTTTATTGATTTTTCGTTTTTTTCAAGTTGAAAAAGGTTATATCACTTTGATATTTCTGTTCCTTTGGTATACACAGCTACTCGGAGAAGTCTGGTTTCTCTGCGCCCTCTTATCTCTCGCCGGACTTATCTCTCGCGGGAGTCCTATTCTCATGATTCTTTAGTCCGTTTTTCGGGACTTGAAAGAGTGGGACTTCTCTGCGCCCTCTCAGGTTTACGTGCTTTCCATGTTTCTCTGACCTCGCCGGCGAGGGAACAGAGAGACAAGGCTATATGACCCCACCGATGTGGGAAAAGAAACGCAGATAAGTCAGACTGTTCCAAGTCGTGGTCGCATGTGGAATGGCTCTAACCGCAGCGCGACCGCGACGCGTCGACCCATTCCAAATGCGACCAGTAGTTGAGATGAACGTGGTACGGCGCGGCGGGACGACGCGGGCTCTTTACAGAACCTTTGGCACCAACGAAAAGGCCTACGCGGAGAAGAGGGTCATCGGGTAGGTGAAATGAAAGGTATCCGAAATTTTCCCGATGAGAGAAAAAAAAAATTGTTGCTTCGAAACGTTAAAAGGTGCTTTCTACCTAGTTTTCAGGTATTCAAGAGAACAAATGTTCGATGTCGTCGCCAACGTCAACGAGTACCATCATTTTGTTCCTTGGTGTCGAAAATCTCTAGTCACTCATGAGACGTCCAATTCTCAGGTGATAAAAAAATAAGCTTTCTGAAAGTTTTAGTTTAAGTATATACGATTCATCGGGAGCAAGAAAAAGAGTTGAATATATATTGCTCTAATGCAGTAAGATGTCAAAGCGCTCAAGTCGTTTTTGGTCGGGCGCAGTCAACCGCTTCGCAGCCGCTACGCGCCAAGCCATTCCAGATGCGAGATTGACTTTTATAAGCTATAAACTGAATGATTTTCTGAGGAGCAGTTGTTTCAAAACGCGTCCGACTAAAAACGACTTGCGCGCAATGACATTGAACAACATTTGAACCGATAGTGGGTCTTTATGTAAGACCACGGCTTTATAAATATAAGAAAAACGAGATTTTAAGCATTTCTGTTACAAATTAAGCAAAATTTTTCAATTTCGAGTCAATTTACTACAAAGAAAACGCCTTGAAATACCTCAATTTTCGATTTTCAGTTAGTCCTGCTCGAAATCGGGTTTCCGCCGTTAGTTGAAAGGTACACGAGTAAGGTTATGTTTATCCGGCCGGCTGTTGTTCATGTGAGTTATATCGTCAAAAATCCTGTTATTAAAGGCGCAGGAGCCCTGGAAATGGCTTTTCGCCTTGAGACCATTGATTCCATATTTCCATGTCCCTTCAAATCAAAATGTTTTATTTCTCACACACAAGTACTAAATTTCACGAAATAGGTGTAGGGAGAGTTTGGGAACATATGTGTCGGAACTTGTGGTGATGGAGGGAAGAGGACCCGCGGTCGTGTTAACCCCCCACTTGAGTAAATTGGAATAACCATGAAGTTATTCTTTTAAATGTCGATTATGTAGCTTTCATATTTTTGTTGGATCAAGAGTGTTTAGTTCTGTAATGTTGTTTTCAAACCATTTCTCAAGTTTAGATCTGAACTTATTTTTTTCATACTCAAATACTATGTTTCTATCCATGTGATTCAAATGATTGTAAACTCTTTGATTGATGAACCGGTAGTGTATGTCAGAAAGTAGAGGCCGCTCTATTTTGAGGCCATTTCCTCGCAGTTGATTCGATCTACTTGTTGTATTTTGTAAAGGGATTGGAGATGGGCACCAATAGTATCCGTAAATGAAATTGTGAGCAGCAGTTATGTCTTTTTTTAAACGTCTTTGCCAAAGGGTGTTTAGTCCAAGTCGTTGAAGTCTTTCTTTGTAATTCATTTTAGGTACGATGCACTACGATTTAGTTTTCGAAAAGGATTTTTGAAAAATACTCACAATTTTTTCAGTCTGTCGTCCTGGAAGGCGAGAGCTTATTCAAAACCTTGGACACTACTTTTAGATTCGCCAAGGTTTTTTTTAAAATTTTTTTTAAAATTCGAACAATAAAAACAATTTCAGGGCCTTCCAGACAATCCCAACACGTGTACGATGCACTACGATTTAGTTTTCGAATTCAAATCGTCTTTACATTCCCGTGTTGCTCATATGTTCTTTGATAAAGGTAAAATACACTCAAAAAAAAAATCTAAAAAGTGTCGATTTCAGTTGTCAAAACGATGGTGGCGGCGTTTCTCGACCGCGCCCACGAAGAATACGGAAGTCCTTCAGTACCTCACACTGCCCCGCAAATCCTGAAATACAAAGCTTGATTAATTTGATTAGATTTCTATGCAAGATTTTGCCCTTTTCTCGGGTTACTGTAGTCCTTAGTCATGTAGTTAGGCGCCGCGGTGTGCGCAGTCTCACGCGCGAAATTCAAAACTAGCTTCGCATTTTACTCACGTTCGACGTGTAAATATTATAAATATTACGTATTTCTGTTGTTATTTTACTAACTACACTACTGACATTGGTTATTTGATCTTGGTTCATTGATAGAGGATGTCGAAAAGTTTGAGTCGGGAGGCGTTGATCAGTATTTTTGGGAAGAAGAAGGAGACAGGCCAAAACGTTCCATCGACGTCTTCAAAGCCTGATGGTAGACTTTTGATGAATATAAGGTGTTCAAGAATCCTAAATAGATTATTCAAAAGGGCAGGGGCAATTATTCGTTGAAAATTAGAAACGAGTGCTGTTTTCAGTGATTTTTAGGCATTTTACGAATTTAAACTTCACGGCAAGGATTTTTGAATATCTCTGTGACTTATTTCTCCCATAAAATCTTTATTTTCAAAGTTGAGTCAAGAAAATTATCAAGAGAACAAGAATTGAGAGAAATTTGCCACAAAACGCTTTTTTATCAAATATTTGCATTTCTCTTTTTTCCAGAAAATGACGACTACAAGAAGTCGAATGGATCTTTGGTGATGAAAATATTACAATTAAAGGTGGACATTGATTGCTTCTTATATTTTAATGCGTTTTTTACAGAATGAAAATGCTCAAAATCGAAAAACAATGGATAAATTACGAGCGGAAAATGAGGAGTTGAGAGAAATGTGTGTGTTTCAATACGTTTTGAAGTTTTCTGAATTTTATTATGTTCAGAAATCGTTCGCTATCCGCGGCTAATGAGGAGGAACGCATTGAAATGATTGTGGCGCAGAGAGTCAAGGTTTTTTTTTTAATGCTGAGATAGGTTTAATTTTTGATGTTTAGACGAAAATGGCGCATTTAAATGCGATGAATCAACGGACAATTTCCTTTTTGCAATCAATGACTAGTGATTATCAGGATGCTATGAAGGATTTTAAGTGAGCAATTAATTTTTTGATCCAGTAAAAGAATTTTTTTCAGAGAATTGGAAGGTATTACCGTCCAACCGGCAAAACCTTCACGTGTTAGAAGTCAATTGGCTGTTCCGACTTCACTTTCTTCAGGTTTTTTGGTTTTATTTATAAAGTTAGATGTAATTTTTTGTTTGAATTAGATGATTTTTCTTAGAAATAAGTTTTCTTCAGTGTTAAGTTTACATTAAATTGAATGCTTTTTTAATCAGAAATTTCTAGGTTTTGTTGAAAAAAGCTTTTTTTCGTTTTTAATGTTTTATTTATGAAGTTTGATGTCATTTTTCGAATTAAAAGATATCTTTTAACAATTCCTTCAGGGTTCACGAAAAAAATTCATTTTGTATTAGAAATTTTTTTTATTTTTTTCGTTGAATATTGCAATTTTCCGTTTTTTTAACATTATAAGTGTCAGTGTTCCTATTATCCTTCCTGTAACTGAGGAATAAAGTTTTGTAAAACATTATTTTGAAGTTTTTTTCGTCCCAAAAATTGATATACGACGACAGTTTTGAAGTGAGCAATTTCTTTTTTTGAAATTTTTTTCATTTATCTGCCTTTTTTTCAATTCCTTTTCTGTACAAATTTACCTATAATTTCAAGTGATCATCTATAAATACTACTGGCATCTTGATTTTCTCTGCAAATCTTCACTTTGAATCCATTTTTTGTTTTTTTTTTTCGGACAAATTTACCTATAATTTCAATTGACAACCTGTAGAGTCTTCTGTGATTCTTATTTTCTTAACTAACCTTTATTTTCAATCTTTTTTTCATGAATTTGAACAAATTGATCTATAATTTCAGTGGACGAAGCACCATTAGTGCCTTTGAAAAGAGTTCCCCTGAAAATCCTGCCGCTAGAAAATGAAGTTCGAAGTTTGGTCGAAGAGCAAGATGATGACGTCACCCCGACGGTTTGAAAAGCTTCCTATGAAAAAATGAAAATTTTTTTAGGTCAGTCCCGTGAAACGTGACGCCGCGGTCACACAAAGGAGAAAACCGAGGAGTTCGGGGAAAAAATGTTGGTTTTTGGAACAATTTTCTGTAGAATATTTTTCTTTAATGTCTTTTTGGTACCATTTTTATTTCCTCGAAAATTTCCCTAAATTCCATATTTTTAAAATCTTTAAACTGAACTCAAAACAAACTTTCCACGGCGTTTTTTTATCCTACTTTTTCCGTAAAGTGTAGTGTGTCGTGTGCATGCACTGCGGCGCTTTCGCACATACACTGTTCAAAGTTAGTTTTCGCGAAATTCAAAATCATCTCCGGAGTTTCAGTTATATTTTTCACTCTCTAGCGGCTTTTTTTTTTTAAATTACGCGCAATTTTTTTGAACAGGGCATGTGCTTTAAAAATACATGAAAAAGAAAAATTGCGTTCTTTTTAAATGAGAAATCGATTCGTCTCATGACCCATTGAACATGCGCCTTTAATATTACCTGTTGTTCCCATGACGTCACATGGGAACTGCGCATGTTTTGATTCCGCCCTCTTCATTTTTGGTTTCGCATTTTCTTCCAATAGCACAAACGCCACTGTCAAAATTTATTTCTACCGTTTTTTTTTAGAATTTTCGCAACGCATTCCCTCCGGAGTCGATTCAGTTTTTCACTTGCAAATTTATGATTTAAAAAATCTGCAAACTTTCTTTCAAGTTATTTTTTTAAATTTGTGTTCTCATCATTATTTTCTTCAGCCGAAACCCCGCCGAAAACGGTCCGCCGAGGTGTCAAATCCGACTCGGCGGCCTTGAAGGTGATCAGCAACAACAACGCCTTGGAAACGCCACAGCGTCATCCTGCACGAGTCCAGAAGAATCGGAGCGATTCTGAAGGCTTCGTCGTACCTGCCACGCCGACGGCCCCGGCTGATTTCGATGGCGATTCTCAGACGGTTGGTTTCAGGGGGAAATATGGATTGATTCATGTGATTTTTACTGTTTCAATAGTCTGTTCAGATTTTGAGAATTATGCAAAATTACTTCATTCAAAAAACTCTGTGAATACCTCGCTCTCTGATTTTTTTTTTTTAGTAAGTGCGCGCCTCGGATAAAATGATGTCACAAATTTCACTGAGTATTCAACGTTAATAACTTGTTTTTTTCGATTGCCTTTGGCTTTCAATTTTTGCGCCAAATTTTTGCCGTCTCCTCACCCCGTTCGGAAACGCCGTGAACTTGCGATTTCAAATTACGTTGAACGAAATATTAATAAAAAAAAAGCTAAAAATATGCTTATTTTTCAGAAAACGCTTTCCGTAAATCTTGAGAGATATCTGGAGGGTGGGCCTTGTAATCCAAAAATTTGGGCTCCGAACAGATCAAAAACTACCGTAGTCGTACGGTTTACGGCGCCTGATTTTTTTCTCTGCATTCTCTTTCACTTCCCGTCTTTGAGAATTTATACAAAAATTCGTCAGGTTCGACGGAAACGCGCTGCCGCGGCTAAGGTGACGTCAATGGCCGAGCCGAAACTCAGCGGAAAACTTCGGCGCCCCGGAAAATACGACGAGCCCGTCCCGTTCATCAGCAACTACCTTTACTGAAACAAAATATATACTTTTATTTTTTGTCCCCACTTTTCGCCTCGATTTGTCCCCTATTTCATACTCCTAGTCGGAAAGAAAGAAAAATAACCCTTTTCAAGCTTATTTTCTGTGTATTTTGTTTTGTTTTGCTCCTCTGGTGCATGAATATTGGCATTTATTAACGAAGAAAAAAAAAAACAAGTAAAAAAATGATATGTTGGATTTGTGATTTTCTGATGAAATTTCAACCAAAGGGCCGGTCGACCAGACGAAAAGCCTCCAGAAGCTCGTTCAGATCGATAAATCCGTCTTTATTGAAATCGATCGATTCGGCGATCTGGGCGATGTAGTCGGTGGCCAGTGGCCTTTTCGTGTACTTGCCGAGTACCTGGAAAGGTAAATTATTTTATTAGTTTTTTTTCAAATTGTTCTGGAATCTGAATTATAGATCGAAATCGTATTCTTTCTTTTTATCGGATCTAATGGCGTTTTCATTGGAGGAACGAAAAGCGGATTTCTAGGGATCACTTAAGGGTTCTGACGGCCCTAGAGTGGTCACTAGAAATGCCCCGATTCGCGTTACCAAGGTCCCAAATGTTAAACCAAACTGGGAAAAGCTGAAGTGGGTCCTAAAGGGAGATCGAGATTTAGTAGACCCTCTAGGGATATTTTAGGGCCCCCTGAAGGGAGAAGCTTCAGGGGGTCCTCTAGTACACCTCGGGGGGAGGGGGGCTTTGTTTTCCCTATAGGACCCACTTCAGCTTTCTCCAGAATTTTCTTCAAAACTATTTTTTATTTTGTAGCGGTTTTTTGGAGTTTTGGAAAAAGTCTCGTTTTGCCCAAATGAACACGCCGCCATTACGGAAATTTAAATTTTCACAACAAGAAAGGTCATTTTGCTTTCTGGTCGGGAATTTCATGAAAATTGGTCATAGTGCTCTCTGATGTACAGTATGAAAGTTCTGAAAGTCCCAACTTGAAAAACTTCTTATTTTTTGGAAAACAAGGGCTCAAAGACCAAAAATGGCCGAGTTTTTTGGAGTTTGTGGTGTTTTTTTCTTGAAACTAGGAAGTTGGGCAAGTTGGGATTTTCAGGGCCTTGTTCTGGTGCGTCAAGGAATGTTCTGGTCAAGTTTCAGCGAATTTCCGTAGAAAAATAACCTTCCTTATAAGCATAAATATCTACGTCGTATCTTTCATTTCCTTATATTTATCTAATTTTAAGATTCTGAAACTCCTGTGAGCTGGTTTCAACTCAAAATGATCATCTATTGAACTCAGATGTCAGGGGATCATGACCCAAAAAGATGGTACGCGATGTTTTTTCTTCCTGATTTTATTTTAAAAAAACTTCTCTGAAAGCGGAAAACTTATTTTTTCTTTCGTTTCGAGGTTTGGTTTATAATTTCTTCGGAGTAACTGTCATAAATTTCAAAAAACGATTCCCATACCTCACAAGCCTCGATGAACTCCTTCATGGAGACTTGTCCGGAATTATCCTTGTCCATGAATCGGAACAGCGTTTCCAGTGTGCTTTTGTGTCGGTATAGCGATTCGACGACGTCGCGGTCCTAGAAAAAAAAAAGCATTTTTCATGAAAAATGATCAAAAAATACACTTCCAAGGTTCAGCTCAATCTTCTTCAATTTTAAAGGAACAGGCATTTTTTTTCCGATAAAAAGGGTTCCAGAAGGTTGGTTCCAGTGATTGAGTGTCTAGTAGGTTCTTCTTGTTAAGATGTCCAAAAGTCCGTGAACTTTTTAATAAAAGGGTCCTGGAACGACGAGCAATAGCGTGTAGGAAGGAGAGGGTCTTGTAGAATTTTAGACAGTTTTTTTTGGCATTCAAATGGTAAATTGAGTATGTTATGTAAAAAGGTCTTACGGTAAGTTTTGAAGGCGGTAAAGTTCTTCCAAAAATACCTACCGTACCCTAGAAGTTTTTTTGACGGTTACCAGAGTAGTTCTTCCATGATTTCCTACAGTAACCTTGAACCTTTTTGACGATAAATCGAGTACAGATCTTCCAAAAATACCTACAGTATCCTAGAAGGTTTTTAACGATAAATCGAGTACAGATCTTCCATAAATACCTACAGTAACCTCAAAACTTTTTGGCGAAAAATCGAATACAGTACTCCCATGAATACCTACAGTATCCTTGAAGTTTTTTTGACGATAAATCGAGTACATATCTTCCATAAAAACCTACAGTAACCTCAACACTTTTTTGGCGAAATATCGAATACAGTACTCCCATGAATACCTACAGTAACCTAAAAATTTTTTTTTGACGAATTACCGAGTACAGTACGTCCATAATTACCTACAGTAACCTAGAACCTTTTTGGCCAAAAATCGAATACAGTACTCCCATGAATACCTACAGTATCCTTAAAGTTTTTTTACGACAAATCGAGTAAAGTTCTTCCATAATTACCTACAGTAACCTTGAACCTTTTTGACGATAAATCGAGTACAGTACTTCCAAAAATACCTACAGTAACCTAGAAGTTTTTGGCCAAAAATCGAGTGTAGTTCTTTGGAAACTTTTTGAGTTTCCATTAAGCCATTCTGCGTGCGACCAAAAAATTCAAGAAGTTTTATTCTTTGACAATACCTGAGCCCCGGTCCTGCCGACTTGACACATGATCTTGTCCTCCTTGTAAAGCACGTACTTTCCGTCTTCACTCAAAGTGGCCACTTTACTGGCCAAGGCTCGCCACGGCAAGGGAAGACCGGTGATTCGTTCCACGCTCTCGCTCCAATTATGGATCGACAGCTTTCCTGGAATTTTACCTGTTTTATTAAGCACTACGAGTATTTTTTTGTTTTTGAGTTTGATTTTTTCCTGATTTAGAAGCGTCTGATCTCTCTGCGCTCTCGCGGAAAAAGCCAAAAAAGCAAGGAAACAGCACGGGAAGTGCAGATGAATCAGACAGTATCATTTTTTGACTAGTGGGGCACATAATCAACGTAAGGTTGAGCCGAAAATTGAACTGTTTTAGTTTTTTATTGAGTTTGGAACCCAAAAAATGTCATTTTTCGAAATTTCTTAGATTAGGACGTTTATGAACCTCTTCAGCTTTTTTTTAGTCTTTTGAAGGAATTTTTTCGGATTTCCTTGGAATAACTAGCCCTTTCTCGGACTTCTGTAACGTGAACTGGAAGTGTCTGAGCATTCCTAGGGCAAATTTAGGATTTCAGCATTCTTAAGGGATCACTAGAAGTAGAGGAACACTCTACTTCTAGACATGCTCAGAAACGTCCAAACCACGGTTTTTTTCAACCGAGGAGCAAAAGTTAGTTTTTTCTTGACGAGAGAGTCCCTCCAAAAATGAGCTCGATCGAAATTTTGAAATTGGACAGCCCCTAACTTTTTTCAAAGGCTTCGGATGCCGATTTCGAGCCCAGATTCGTAATCAGCGTGAAAAACTACATCTTAGTCTCATTCAGAAGACCCACTGTGAACATTCCTTACTAGAAAACGTTTTCACCCCCCCTCATTTTCTCTGTAGAGCGCACAATCTTCCAATTTTCCAAAAACTTACCACTATTATCGGTGTCGATGTTGGCGAACTCCTTCTGAAGCTCATTTGCGAAAGACGAGAGCTTCTCCTTCAGTTCTTTCACTGCCGATTCTTCAACCACTCCCAGTCTGAGAAATCTTCAGTGCTTTTTCTGGACTTGGTTTTCTTGGCACCTTTCCCTTAACGTCGTCTTCCGATGAGTTTTCGTGGCCATGTACTGGACGACATGAGGCTGTTTATTCTTGCCGATGAATTTGACGTAGGCTCCCCGATTGCTCCCTGTTTCGTAGTAGTTGGAGGCCGAGAAGACGGTGAGACATCTGAAAGAAAAAACGTTTTAGCGGTCACTTTAGGGTTTTGAGATCCTAGTGGCTCCTATAGTAGTCGAAATAGTGGCCTTAAATGGCTAAAAGGTCCAAGTGGTACTACGGGACCACTAAAAACTACTATAGTGGTCACTAAGAAAATAGTGGTTTCTATAAAGGTGGTTTAGTGGCCACTTTAAGGTTTTGAGATTCTAGTACTCACTATAATAGTCGAAAGAGTGGCCACTTAAGTGGCAAAAAAATTCCCAGTATAACTAACAAAGCACTGAAAACTACTACAGTGGCCACTAAAAAATAGTAGCCACTTTAGGGTTTACTGGCCTCTAAAGTAGTCGAATTAGTGGCTACTTAAGTGAATGAAATCAAGTGACCGCTTTAGGAGCCTAATTTGTACTACTGGACCACTAAAAACTACTATAGTGGCCACTAAGATGCAAAGTAGTGGCTTTAGTGGCCACTTTGGTGTACTCTCCAAGTAGTACTCGAGGAACCTCTTAAGAGGCCTCTAGAGCTTTTCCCAGAATAGCAAAAGAGAAGCGGTCAAGGGTTGTCAGTGGGAAGTTGTTGCGCTTTTTTTTTTCGATTTTTCGATTTTTTTTTAATATCATTCGACCATTTCATTTGATAACCCACTGACTTCAGACCGTTCTCCTTCCAAATCAGTTCTTCCTGGTTTATATAGGACGATGGAAACTTGCGCCCGACTCATTCCAGTTCCTCTTTTATCAGTTCGAAGCCACGCCTCTTTATCGAAACCTTTTCAAAGTCGTAAACTTTCTGGCGCAGTTCAAAATGAGCCTATATAAACCGTAAACGTCCTAATAAGCAATGGAAGCGGTCCAAAGTCAGTGGGTTACGGACTGAGATACAAGGATTTCGAAATAACGACTTTTATTAACTGAAACTACCTTCTCAAACCATTCTACGTTTCTTTTGAGTTTGCTCAGCTCTTTTTTTTCTGCGCGAAAGAAAGTCAGGTGAGGTCGGGCGCAAACAAGCCTCCGTGTATATAAACCAAGAGAAATCGGAGAGAAACGGCTGGTCCGTAGTAGTGGACCACCCGATGCGTTGGGATAATCCACAAGCGAATCCTTGACCAGCCTTTTGGTTTTTTATTCAAAGAAGGATCGCTTGAAAAATTCAATTTTGAATCAAGAAAAATTACAAGAAAGGTTTGAAAAACCCAAAAAAAGTTTCAATGTACCAAAAAAATTCACAATTATCATAGGAAAAATACCTTGAATTAATCCCAAGTGAGCCATATATATATATATATTTCGGAACAGAATGAAGATTTCGATGATTTTTGATTAAAAACATATCATTTTCTGAAAAAAATTTTTTTTTGGTTCAATTTCATTTATTGGCGTTCTTGAAAACTTCGATCACGACGAGAATAAACGTTAACGAAAATTCAGATTTTTAGAACGAATAGTAGTGAAATTACCCCAAATAATACGAAAAATTTACAGTCGCTTATATTTTCCATGAAATTGCCAAGTAGTTGCTTAAGTGTACTCTTTAAATATTTCTTGAGGGATCACTTAAGTGGCCACTAGAGCTTTTCCCAGAATGGCAAAAAAGAAGCGGTCAAGGGTTTGTCAGTGGGGACATCGTTGCGCTGATGTTTTTGCGTTTTTTTTTTTTTCGATTTTTTGGTTTTTTTTATATCATTCGACCGTTTCATTTGATAACCCACTGACTTCGGACCGTTCTCCTTCCCAATCAGTTCCTCCTGGTTTATATAGGACGATGGAAACTTGCGCCCGACTCTTTCCAGTTCCTCTTTTATAAGTACGAAGCCACGCCTCTTTCTCTCAGCGGAGTCTTTACGATTTCGCAAAAGGGTTTCGAAATATATCGAAAAGGGGCGGGGCTTCGTAGTGATGATACCGAGAACCGGAAGGAGTCTGGCGCAACTTCGCATCGTCCTATATATACCAGAAAGTGTTAAGAAGAAACAGAAGCGGTCCGCAATCAGTGGGTTACCGATGAAAAAGAAACTTGTACATTAGAAAATCGAAAAAACGAATAAAAAAAATTGAAAAAGCAAAAAACACAAAAAATTACCTTCCCACTGGCAAACTTTGACCGCTTCAATTTTTTGCGGATTTACTAGAAAATTTGGGTTTGTAGTTTCAGCGGATACCTTGAAAAGCAGTTCAAAAGGAGGCTATATGAATTGAAAATCGGAAAACAAAATATCAGTTTTCGGCGCGAATAGTAATGGAATTTCCACAGGAAAAACCACGGGAAAAGTCCAAACGGACTCAAAAAATAAAAAAACAAGAGCTCCTTTTGAGTTCCCAAAAGGGGCTAAAAATTTGCTCAAATCTGCTTTTTTCACGTTTCTTTTTTTTCCTCCTATGATAAGTACTTTTTAGAAGATTATCAAGAAAAAAAGGCTGTGAGGCTTTTTTTCAAAAGCTTCTTTTTAGGTATTTCTGGACCTTGCCCGTGAATTTTACCTGTCCATTTATTTTCACGAATTGCAAAAAAGAAGCGGTCAAGGGTTGTCAGTGGGGAAGTTGTTGCGCTGATGTTATTGCGCTTTTTTTCGATTTTTTGATTTTTTTTTTATATCGTTCGACCATTTCATTTGATAACCCACTGACTTCGGACCGTTCTCCTTCCCAATCAGTTCTTCCTGGTTTATATAGGACGATGGAAACTTGCGCCCGACTCCTTCCAGTTCCTCTTTTATCAGTACGAAGCCACGCCTCTTTCTCTCAGCGGAGTCTTTACGATTTCGCAAAAGGGTTTCGAAATATATCGAAAAGGGGCGGGGCTTCGTAGTGATGATACCGAGAACCGGAAGGAGTCTGGCGCAACTTCGCATCGTCCTATATATACCAGAAAGTGTTAAGAAGAAACAGAAGCGGTCCGCAGTCAGTGGGTTACCGATGAAAAAAACAACTTGTACATTAGAAAATCGAAAAAACGAATAAAAAAGTTGAAAAAGCAAAAAACACAAAAAATTACCTTCCCACTGACAAACTTTGACCGCTTCAATTTTTGCGGATTTATTTTTTAGAAAAAAAAATATCCGTCGATAAAACGCGATTTTCCATTGCTAAACATGTACAACAATTGATGGAAGTTGCTATAAAAAACAAAAATTTCGCGCCATTATCAGATTTGGAAAGCATTTACATAGAGAACCTTCATTTCCGTCACAATTTCCGATAGCTAACGACTCTAAAAACTTTTTTTAGGTCAAGTTTGATAAAAAAAGTTTAGGCTTCCGGGTTGTCACTTTGGTCACTAAAAATAATTATGGGATTTTTTTTTCAGTTTCTTCAAATGTTATTCTCTAGAAACTTCCCTTGCTGTGTCAAATAAAACCGTTATTTGGGGAAATCTTAGGCGTCAAGACTCAAACTTTGCTCTTTCTTTGTAGCTCACGTTATTTTATGTATTAGAGTGAAATAAATATTCAAATGCTTTAAAATAAGGTGAAGTAAACAATAAAAATCAGCGGAGGCTGTCAAAAATCTTTTCGAAAAATCAGAACCTCATAACCAGTTAAGAAAAAGCTCCTCACGTGTTATTGTGCGTGAATTCGTAGCCTTCGAACTTGCATTCGTGTGATCGGACTATCAGCCGGAAACCGTTTCTGTAATTTTATTTGACTTTTTGCATTCGAACCCATTTTTCTTATGGATCAGCATCAAGAGAAAATTTTTAAAACCTGAGATTTCGGGAATAGTGAGAAACTTTTTTGAAAAGTCGATTACATCTGACTAAAACAACAAAATAAATGATTTGATTTGATTTTGATTGATGAAAAAAATCCCAGGCTTTCTGAATTTCAAGAAAAGAATTGAATAAATTATTATTTTTAACAAGGCAACTAGGAAACTTTCTCAGCTCACAGTGAGACTTCTGAAGGAAACTAGGCTCAATACGCTTAGTTTTTCGGCTTCAGCATCCTTAAGTGACCACTAGAAGTAGAGAGCTTCCCCCAGACTCCCAATTTTTCGAACGCATTACTGTTCTAGTACTGTCGCGAAACGAACAGTAAAGCGTTTGAAAAACATTTGTAGTCGGGGGGGGGGGGGGGGCACTCTACTACTAGAAATGCTCAGAATCGTCCGAACCACGGTTTCATTTACCGAGATCCGGGCAAAAATAGTTTTTTCTTGACCAGAGTGACATGAACCTACTCTGCAAAAATGAGCTCGATCGAAATTTTCAACTTCGACAGCCCCTAACTTTTTTCACAGGCTTCGAGGGCAGATTCTGAGCACAGATTTGTAATCAGCGTGAAAAAGTGAATCCAGGGAGCTTAGTCTCATTCAGAAGATCCACTGTGAGCTGGGAACATTCCTTATTCGGGAAATTTTTACCCTCCCCCTCACAGGAAAAATTTAAAAAGCTTGAAACAGGGCTTTTTTTGTCATAGTATGTGTATTTTGCACTCTTTTTAAGTTTCATAACTCGAAAAAAATTTTTTGGGGGGGTTTGAAAATGTCCCTAGTCTTTTACCCCTCCCCCTCACAGGCCAATCCAAAAAGCTTGAAATCGAGCTTTTTTTGTTGTGTATGTTGCGGACTTTGAAGCTTCATAACTCGAAAAAAACATTTGCAAGATTTTTGGGGGGAAAGGTTTCTAGAGTTCATCTTGATGAATTTAGAATCTTCACCCTTTTTCAATAACTATAAAAAAACCAACTTTTTCCAAAAAAATGAAGCTGTAATATCGGCCCCAAAATACGAACCGCCGCCTCGAAATACATTCGGCCAGCAACCCTAAAATTATTATCAATGATAAATCTATGTTTTAATGAACCTTATTCTGTTTCGGATCGCTCCATAGGATGTCGAGCATTTGCTTCCATTCATCCACATTCACTCCATTTTTCCCATCACCTCCTTTGTTCACCGGTGGCCGTAGGACTGATTGGAACTGGAAAAATGAGTTTGCCAGGTACTGAAGTTACCTAGGTAATTACTCGATTTCTGGGGATCTTCTCTAGTTTTGCGACATCCGTTTGATCGGAAATCCCGCCGTGGACAACGAAAATCTCCTGGTCGATTATCGTACAGATCGGCAGCCAGGAGAACACGTCTTCTAGCATTTTGGCGATCGGCGTCGCGTTTTCCTGGAAATCTTGTCATTATCAGTACTTCAGTTAATTTTCGTTCTCTACCGTACACGGCGGTCGTGGGGAAACGTCAAAAAAAATTTGGCGTGAAAATTCAAATCTGTACGCAGCCAAAGGCGATCGAACAAACAAGTTATTAACGTTGAATACTCAGTGTAACTGTGACGTCATTTTATCCGGTGTTACTTATTTTTGTAAACTCAGAAACTTTGACGACATTCCCTCACCCCATTAGGAATGCCGTGCGTAGTGATGCGTTGCGGTCGCGACGCGGCTTTTGGCGGGAAATTTGAATATTCAAAGGCCTTTTTTTCTAATCGTTTTTGACTATTTTTCAGAGTATTGGAAACATATATGAATTAATATCAGTATAAATGTCCGCATTTTTTGAATTTTTATTTACCGTCGCACGCGGCTTTTGGCGGGAATTTCAAATTCATAGGCCGTTTTTTCTTTTTTCTAATGGTTATTTGATTATTTTTCATGATTTTAGCCACTTATTTGAATCAATATTTATATAGATGTCTGCATTTTCTGAATTTCTCCATTTTTTGAATTTTTATTTCCCGCCGCATTGCGACTTCAACAAGCTCTACTTCGTTTTTGGCGATATGTTGTTTTTCTCTGCGCTCTCCTTAAAAATCTATTCATTTTCTTTCATTTTCCTAGTCAAGTTCTGCTGGAAATAATAGGCTTTGAACAAGTTCTATAGCAAGGATGCGTTGCGGTCGCGACGCGGCTTTTGGCGGGAAATTCAAATTCGAAAAGCTTTTTTCCTTTTCCTGATGGTTTTTCGACTATTTTTTTCAGGATATTCGCATTTTATTTACTCAATATTAGTATAAACGTCTGCATTTTCTAGATTTTTCCTCGTTTTTGAACTTTTATTTCCCGCCGCATTTCCAAGGGCTCTACTTCGTTTTTCTCTGCGCCCTCCTTTCCTCTCGGCGACTCTCTCATGTTTACGTGCTATTTTCATTTTCCTCTGACCTCGTCGGTAAGGGAACAGAGAGACGCAGACATTCAAAAAGTGTCAAGTCGCTTTTCAGGGTATATGATGATCGGGCCGCAAAAATCGAGCCTGCGAAAATCGAGCCGCCTTTTGTACAGGGCGAGACGAACAGAGAAAAATAAATAGTGCAGAAATGGAGGCTCGATTTTCGCGGCCCGATTATCATATCCCCGCTTTTCAAAAAAGAAATTTGGAATTGAATAAATGAAGACCCAAAAGCGAACCTTGTACTTGGTCATGAGCTCCTTGATAAACCCGTATCGGAGGTTCATGATGTGGTCTTCGTGGTTTCCTCGATTCAAAACGATTGCGATCGGGTCCAGTATCACCAAGGATAGAAGGACACATAGTACCTGGAATTTTGGAGTTTATGGTAGAAAATGGTATCTTTTAGGGTAGTCTTCGAGCTTTTGGTATGACCTAAAGTCGAATAATGCGAGTTTGAGCTGAAGACAATAAGGATAAAGTCTTGGAGAGCAGAAGAAATCTTTTTTTAAATAATCTTGTTTTTGGTTTACTTTGATAAGTGTGCTGTTATAGTTTATGAGAAATTACGATTTTTCGGTGAAATTTGAGAATTTGAAAAGTTTACGATGAAAAGCACCTCGAAATTTTTTTTTCCGAGTAGATCCTGTAGCGTTTGTTTAGCATATAAGGCGATTCACAAAATCTTACTTTTCCGGGGGAAAAAATTTACTGTGCAACTAGAATTAGAGTATTATCCGGATAATTTTTAGTGGTCACTTTAGGGTTTTTTTCGTTTAGAGACCAATGTAGCACTCGAATTAGTGACCACTCAAGTGACTAAAAATTAGTGACCTCCTTAGGACTCTAAGTGGCGCTTCTTGACTACTAAAATCCACTGTAGTGACCACTTAGACGCAAAATAGTGGCTTCTATAGAGGTGGTTTTAGTGGCCACTTTAGGGTTTTGACGTTTTAGAGGCCAATACAGCAATCGATTTAGTGACCACTAAAGTGAATACAATTTAGTGACCTCTTTAGAACTTTAAGGGGCGCTACTGGACCACTAAAAACTACTTTAGTGACCACTAAGGCGTGAAATAGTGGCTTGGGTTTAGTGTCCCCTCCAAGTTGTCCTTGAGGAACCTCTTAAGTGGCCACTAGAGTTTTTTCGAAAAAATTTTTCCCACTGTAAGGAGCTCAAAGTGGAACAGAAGACAAAAGCTGAAAATAATGAGATAAAAAAATTACATTTTGGGCGTAAAAGTTCAAAAATAATACATCGAAAAAGTCAATTTTAATTTAAATTCCCATAAAAAAGCTAACTTCAATCGATTGGCCGCCTCGATCCACAAAATCGCCGTTGAATATGTAGGGATTGTCCACGGATGGGTACCCGTTCTGGATCTGAATTTTTCTTTTTTTATGGGTATAGCTTTTTTTCATCAATAAATCGCCTTTTTCACTGTTGTTTTCAATAAATCCATAAATTGTTAATTAAAAAAAACAACAAACTTTGTAAAATATGATGCAAAGATCGTCGAATTTTCCGTGTAAATCACCGCATATCGTGATCTAAAAAAAATTTTACTTTTATTGAATTTTATTAAATCGAAAGTACCTGATTAGAAATGGAAGTTGAAAGCCGAATAACCGAAGGCAAGCTTTTTAGGACCCTCCTGGCTTCGTGTAGAACTGTCAGCACGTATTTTGGGTGAAGGACCTTGAGATTTTAGGATTCAGAAGCATGTTTGAACTTGAATAAGTACCTTATTGACTTTGAAACCCTCAATCATCTGCATGATCTGCGTCTTGTCCAGGGGGAGGCTCAAAACTGGTCCCTGAACGAGGAAAATTGATTTTCAAGGTCTGCTGTCCCCCCAAAAAAATTCTTAATTTCTAAGTTTTTCCAGGTATAGAAAAGGTAAAACACTATAAAGTAGGTTGATGAACCGATGTCACTAAATGCAGATTTTAATGTTAATTCAAAATCTAAGCTACCGAGTTGGTCTGTAAAAAAATTGAGGTCTTTCAAATCTACAGAAGTCAGTCTTGAACCCAACTTGACCATTTTTGTGATGTCAAATAGAAGTTCCAAGGCTTCAAAACTCCCTTGCTAGCGAAACTTTGGCCAGCGAGGTCTTTTTCCATAACTTTTTTCAGACCTTTTCGGTCCACTTTTGGCGCAAGTCCGAAATCAGCGTAAAAAAAGCCTATTCTTTTTTCGGAAACCTTACTGAGAGCTGCTGGGAAAACTATCAGTAGCCATTATAGAGGCTCGAGAAGGACTATTTGGAAAGGACACTAAAGTGGCCACTTAACCCACCTCTGTAGTGGCCTCTATTTTCCGTTTTAGTGGCCACTTCAGTAGTTTATCGTCCAGTATTCCTTCCAGTAACTCTGATAGTTTTAAAACAGACAGATTGGACCAGTTTTGTTGATCCAATGACCCCTAAAGTGGCCACTTAAATTTTTAGTAGTCTAGCAGTAGCACTTAGACTTCAATAGTGCCCAATAATTTCAACCCCTTAAGAGGCCACTAATTTGACTACTATAGTGGCCACTAAAACGTCAAAACCCTACAGTGGCCACTAAAAACTTTCCCAGGGATACAAGTTTATGTAAAGCCTCAAGAATTTTAAGAATTGAAAAATGTAGATTTCCAACCTTGTAATGCTTGTCAACAGTGAATTCGGCCGGATTCGTCTCTTCCAACATTCTTTTGATCGCCTCGCTTCCTTCATTATCTGTTGAAAAAAAAGTGTATTCGAAAAATTACTGTACTTTCTGTTCTTGGACTAAATAACTTATTTCTTAAACGTTTCTGACTTCATTAATTCTCTATTCATGACGTCACAAAGTGGCTCTTTTCCAAAAAGAATTTTCTCAGTCCGTGGCGTCACCAAACCTACTTCTCATTGAAAATAACGTCAAATTTCAACTTTTTTGATTTTTGTCGTCAGTCATGTTATTTCTGATCATAATAGTTGGTCTGGACTGAATGACGTCATTAAGGTCATTCCTATGACGTCATGGTCAAACATCTTTTGTAATTTTCGACCGCACCACTTGGGCGATCTTCTCTCTTACCTCCCATCGGATTGGCATAATGACTGAGTGTGCTCATCAACGGCGACCCCCGGCCGTCGTTCTTCGGCTTCTCGTCGTTGACCATCGCCGTGATGACGTCCGAGAAGAAGTCGTACAGCTGAAAGCGAACCTCATCCTGAATAAAGTTCAGAACTCCCACCTTGAGCTGGTCCTGCTCGCCGGAGTACTCCAAGGCGGTGAAGATCTGCCAGGTGGCTCGTCTTCGCGCTTCCAGTCGGGCCACACATCGGCGATACCATTTTTGGATGAGGATCGCCGATTTGATCGCTGGAAATGTAAAATTTATTGATTTTTTTGGTGGTTTCCGTGCAGATCTGTGCTAGAGTGACTGAGGAAGTGGTAGAATTTGTGCTTTTCATGACGTCACTGATGTCTATGTAATCGTCAGAAAGACATCTAGGTAGAGCCAGAAGCTTGATAACTTTGATTTTAGAAGGTCTGTGGCTTCAGGGTATGAAGAAGAAATGGTGCAGTCAAAGACTGAGTGGTTCAGCTTTTTGTAAAGGTGCTTCTCTGGCTAGAAGACGTGCAATACGATTCAGATTCAAGAAGGAGTTTCTCCAATCATGGAGTGGCCCACAGGGAAGCCTGTATGTGTCACATCGGCGATACCATTTTTGGATGAGGATCGCCGATTTGATCGCTGCAAGTGTTGGGTTTGGTGATTTGAAATTGAGGGTCTGTGCTCGAGTGACTGAGGAAGTGGTAGAAGTTTTGCTTTTTATGACGTCATTGATGACCATGAAACCGTCAGCAAGACATCTAAGTAGAGCCAGAAGCTTGATAGCTTCAATGTTGGAAGCTATGATTCTTTAAGAATTCGAGAAAGTTGGTGCATTAAAAGCCTGAGTGGTTCAGCTCTCCGTGAAGGTTTTTTTGTGGCTAGAAGACGTGCAATATGATTCAGATCCATGAATTAGCATACATGTGACGTTTACAAGGAGATTCCGAACATTTTCAGTGATTGTGTAACTTTTGTGCATTAAGATCCGTAATTCAGCTTTCTGTGAAGGTGCTTCTGTGGTTAGAAGACGTGCAATACGATTCAGATTCAAGAAGGAGTTTCTCCAGTTATGGAGTGGCCCACAGGAAAGCCTGTATGTGTCGTTTACAAGGAAGTTCCGAACTCATCAGTGATTGTGTAGGTTAAACGGTGCTTAATGCGTTGCGTGTAGGTCCTGCTCCGAATTTTGAAGATCTTAGGCTGTAGGTACTGAAAAAGGAATCAGTAGAAAACCAACATGTGCAAGAACACAGTGAATAGGCATTTTAAGGGATCTCAGATCGAAGAGAACCGTTGAGTGGTACTGAGAAAGGAGGTATTACAGGAATTGTAACTTATAGAAATCTCTGAGTGATGCTCTCACAAAAATTGCGGTGCACCCCTCGTCGAACCCTCGGTGCCCCCCCGCAGTGTAACCAGGGGTGCACCCCGTTTAGCTTTAAATACCTATTAGGTACGTATTCCGTCTGGCGACGTCATTACCCATTGCGATGGGGGTCTTCCTGAAAGTTGGCCAGAACAACTCCTTGATGTACCAGATGAAGATCCTGGACTTCGAAGTGGGTTGTTCCCAATATCACCATTTTCTACAGTTTTATCCTAGGCTGGAAAGGTAGCTCAAAAAATGTTTCTTTCCGACCACTTGCCCCAGAGGTGCACGCCATTGTGGTCGAACGCGGGGTGCACCGGAAACATCAACGAAAAGGGGTTCCACTGCGGGGTTCACCCTCATTTTCGTTAGAGTGCTAATCATCTCAAGCTTAAAGGCATAGGGGCAGTAAAAAACGGTGTTTCAGTTCAAAGCAGTACTTTGTAGAGTTTTTCATTACGAATCGAACGGTGAACTTGAAAACGTACAGAAGTTCCTTGTTTTGGAGAAAAAATAATTCAAAATCGGAGAGAGGAAAGTTTGAGTTCCCGCAAAAAGGGCGCTTTGCAGTAAAGTTGCTCTACGGACAACAGGCTTCGCCATCTTCTGGATTTTCGCTTTTTTCTTCGTTTCTTTCAATTTTCAATTTTTTCTGTTGTCAACAAAGTTCTTTTCGTCACAAAAGCTTGCTATTCATGAATAATTTGCAAACTTTGATCGCAAAAATGCTTCTCTGGTGAAAAATGATGATTTTACATAGGTTTCGATTGGGATAGCGAATATTTGTGTTTTCTTTATTATCAATGTGTGTTTTCTGTTTTCTTAATCGATTTTTCAGAGATGAAACCCTTAATTCGAAGCAGATAGCCGGTTATTTCACACAAAATGCGAGTCTAATGAGCCGTCCGCAACATCGCGTGCACCGCTACTGTAAACATTTGTCCGTAGGCCGATCCAAAGCTTTCTTTCAAAATTAAAGGCGGGAGAGTAAAATCGCGTTTTTTTTTCTAAAGTTGTCACATCTGTAATTTTTTTGATAGCACAGTTCGATTCGCGATGAAAAACTATATAAGATACTGCTTTTACCTGAAACCCCATTTTTTACTGCCCCTATGCCTTTAACAGACTTGAACTTTATAAAATTGCTATACGCTTCCATCAAGTTCATCAACATCTCTAACAAAGATGGCGTTGTACCCCGCAGTGAACCCCAAAGTGGACTTTTCAATGATTTTTGCGCTGCACCCCGCATCTGACCCGGATGGGGTGCACCTCTGGGGAAACCGGTCGGAAATAAACAAATTTTTTTGAGCTACCGTAACGACCTAGGATAAAACTGTGGAAAATGGGGATACTGGGAACTAATCACTTCGTAGTCGTGTACAGAGAAAGTACCTTAATAGGCATTTGAAGCTGGACGGGGTGCACTTTTTGGTTACACTGGGGGGCGCACCGAGAGTTCGACGCGGGGTGCACCGTAACATGTCAGACTATGGAACCCTAAAAGATTAGGCTAACCAGAAAGGATAATAAATAAACCATTCAACATATTTGTTGTGTGAAACATGGAGGATACTCAAATCTCTGTAGCTGAGATATCGTGGTGCAGAGAAGTGAAGAACCACTTCTAGAAACAATCGTGCAAAGCTGACAGTTCCGAAACAGATGCGTTGGTGTTGCTCATCATGCCGTCGCTTACGGATTTGAGGCGTCGGACTCGGGGCCCTCGGCGACTTCTGCGAACGGCGCTTCGAATCGCCGAGCCTTGGCGACGCGGCAAACTTGCTCGACCGCAATTTCGGAGTGTTGGCGCTACTGCCACCTCCAGTACTTCCATTGATACTCCCATTGGTGGCTATGTTGCTGCCGCCGCCGGTTGATCTCGTGTTCCACGACTTTTCTGTTAGTTAGAGGGAGATGAATTTACTATGACTTGGAACCGTCTGACATGTCTGCGCTCTCTTTTCCCTCACTACAAAGTTGATCTCTGAACTGTGGCGCCCGAATATTTCTCTGTCACATGCTGTTTCTTCACTTTCTGACTGCGAGAAAACGACGAAATAGCATGAGGCAGAGAAACATCAGGGCACTCCTTTTAAGGCTAAGGTTAAGTTTAGGTTAAGTTAAGTGTAGGTTAAGGTTATGTTGAGGTTAAGGTTAAGTTTAGGTTAAGTGTAAGGTTAAGTTTAAAGAAAGGCACCATAGCTTATGGGTAAAATAGCATTCAAACGCGAGAGGGCGCAGAGAAACCAGACAGTTTCAAGTTGTGAAATTTTAAGTATGGTATGTTTACCGCTGGCTTGAGAGCATATATAAAAATTGAAAAATGAGCGAAAGAGTATGTGAAATGAAGAGACTCAGACGTCTCCTTTTTCGTCTAAAGGTAGAGGTGAATGGAGTATTAATAAAGGGACATTTTTAAAGGGTTAATTTTTTTGATTTTTGGTTTCCTGAAAAGTTTTGATAAAGCCTGAATATTTTTGAAGTGTTACTGGGGACTTTTATATACACATTTCAAGAAGAATTAATAAATATTAAGCCTGAAAATTTTTCCGAAGCATATTTATCAAAGAACGGAATGAACAACGCACAATTTAAATTCAAAAAAAAAAAGAAAACCAACTGAGTTCGGTGCTGTGAGGCGGCGGCCGACCGCTGGACTGCCCGCAGCCCATCAACTAATCTTCCTCCTTCCTTCTTCTTTTCGAATCGTTTCCAATTCCTAGAACTTTTCTTTAAAATGCGGACGATGGAACGTCGAGAAAAAGAGCGAAATGAAAAATTGCTGTAGAAGTACCAGAAAACCACGAGTTCTAAAGAAAGACGTTCCCTCAAAAAACAAGAATTCTTTTCTTCTCCTCATTTCTAAGGAGTTGAGTTTTTGAATATTGAAAAGAAATGAATAGAATAATCAGGCGTACATAACAGATAGTATAGAAAAAGAGGGTGAAATTTTTTTTTTCTTTTGATTTTTCTTTTGCTTCCATGGCTTCGTATGGCTTGAAAAGCTTCAGATAATTTGAAATAACTTCTAAAAAAATTTTCAATCAATTTGTAGGGTAGAATGATTGTTTATGTGTGAATTGGGAAAAAAGAATAAAGTTCCAAAAAAAATTTCAACTCAAGAGGGGAAATGAAAGCATAAAAACAGATCTTAAAAATATGAGAAAAAGTTCATTTTTTTCCCACCTATTTATTCGAAGCCTCTCAATTACGAAATAAGTACCAGGAAAGGAATTTTTACGAAATGGGAATGTCCTAAGAAAAGTAAAGTTCAAAGGTTTGCTGTTTGAAAAATATTTATGGAGGACCGTACAAAGTTGATTTTTTCAAGGTTTTGGAACCAAAAATGACCTTTAAAATGGGAGTTTCGAGTAGTAACGGATTTTTTGAATCAACTAGAAAATCGGACGAAAATCATGAATATAATCTTTAGAATTTCTAATTTCTCTGCGCCCTTTTTCTCTCATCGATGCTCTGTTTTTTTCAAGTTCTTTTTTTCATGTTTCGGGGACCTTACAGATGAGAGAATAGAGACGGAGACAAGTCAGAAAAAATTTAATAGGAAAAAAATTGGCAGTCCCAGAAATTTCTTGCCTAGAACAAGTCTGAATATTTATTTAGATTTGAAAAATAGAGATTTCAACGATTTGCAATGGAAAAGGATCTGAAAAATGGGGATTTTGAGTTAAAAACGGACTTTTTGGATCATCCCTAGAAAACTCGGACAAAATCATGAGTAAAATCTTTGAAATATCCTATTTCTCTGCGCTCTTTTCTTTTAGTGATGCTCTCGTTTACAAGTAATGTTTTTATTTTTTAAAGATTTCAAAGAGGAGAGAAAAGAGACGCAGACAGGTCAGAAAACTTCAAGCCTTGTCGGATGAGGTGTGAATAATAGAGAAAAATTGGCAGTCCCAAATTTTGGGAGCTAAAAATTGGCAGTCCCAAGTTTCGCGAGCTGAAAATTGGCAGTCCCAAGTTTCGCGAGCTAAAAATTGGCAGTCCCAAATTTCGGGAGCTGAAAAATGGCAGTCCCAGATTTCGGGAGCTAAAAATTGGCAGTCCCAAGTTTCGCGAGCTAAAAATTGGCAGTCCAAAAATTTTTATAGCCTAGAATAGGTTCGAATATTTACTTATATGTATGAAAAAGTAAAAAAAAAAATAGGAGTTTGGTTTTTTCAAACGGAATATGAGCTGAAAACGGATACTTAAAACTGAATTTTCGACCAATCTTTTTTGGAAAAGAAATAAAAGCAACTGATTTTCAAGGCTAGAATGAGAGAAAAGCATCGATTTTTCACAAGAATCCTCATTAAGAAATATGAAAATATCAGGAAAAACTTGGCAGAAGACATGAATAGCCAATAATAGCCAAAAAAATTTCATTACATTGTTGACAGCGTCATAATCGCTTCTTTTTTTGAAAAAAAGAAAGAAAAATGGGACTTGAATAGCCGGATTAGTTGGAAGCCTCGTTGATAAATGCGATTGGATTCGCGAGCAAAGGAAGTGGGCGGAGTCTGGGCGCTGGTCCAGCTCCTCGTGACGTCATTGCTTATCAGCTGGATGAGTTGTTGAGCTGGATCATCTCGACGTCAGTTCATTAATTATTGAAGAGGTGAAGTCGTCGCGGGAGCCAGGTATAGATTCGGGAATTTATTGGGTTCTAAACTAGAGTTTTGGAGGGAGTTTGAAATTTTTCTTGGTCGCATTTGGAATGGCTTTTTCAAGTGGTGCTTTATCCCGACCATAAACGACTTTCGCTTGAAGGTGAAGTCGTCGCGGGAGCCAGGTATAGATTCGGAAATTTATTGGGCATCGAACTAGAGTTTTGGAGGGAGTTTGAAGTTTTTCTTGGACGCATTTGGAATGGCTTAGTTTAATTTTTGCTTCAACCCGACCTTGAATGACTTGCGCTTAAAGGTTAAGTTATCAGAGGAGCCAGGAATAGATTCGGGAATTTATTGGGTCCTAAACTGAAGTTTTGGAGGGAGTTTGAAGTTTTTCTTGGTCGCGTTTGGAATGGCTAAACGCCAAAAACGCAAAGAGGTGTAGTCGTAACGAGAGCCAGGAATAGATTTTTAAAAACTCATTAGCGCCTATATTATGATGAATTTGAAGGTTTTTACTCTCGTTTTTCTGATTTACTAGTTCATGGTCGCATTTGGAATGGCTAAACGCCTAAAGCACCCGACTTGAAACGGCTTTAGCCATTCCAAACACTGTTAAGTAATTTTTTTGGTGAGGCCAACAAAGTATAGTCCCTTACGAAATTCTAAACTAAATCTAGCCTTTAAAAGCTTCAAAAAAATTTAATTTAGAATTTTTTCTTTTTGGAAGCCAATTTTTTTGGAGCTTTTTCCTAGTTTTTGCAAGGCTTGCAAGGTCCGAAATTTAGCTTATTTTTTTGAGTTTGAAGCTTTTTCTGGCTGTTTTGTTCAGTTTAGCTCTTTATTCCCGGGATTCAAAAAAATAATGAAAAACTAGGATAGTTCATAAAAATAAAATGGAAGTACTAAAACTGCTGAAAATAAAATAGACACCACACGAAATCCAATTCATAGTCATTTTTCCAGTTTCCGTTTTGTAGTTTTGAAAAAAACACTACAGATTCACGTCATTCGAATCATTTTCTATTTGAAATTTATTAATTAGAAGCTCTTTATAACTGATCTTTTAATGGAAAAAAACAGATTCTCGCAGAAGAAAAATTAAAAAAATAAAAAAATCAAGGGCAATTTTTTTCAAGATTTCTTTTTTTGCAAAGGGTCATTTTTGCATTATATCTCTCTTATTAATCAACTTGGAAAGCTCAAAAAGGCTTTTCCAGTGGTCATTATTGATAAAAGATCATCGTGAAGCCCTTGAAGCTATAAATAATCACAATAAGGATAATGATAAAAGCCTTCATCGCTTCAGAGTGATCCTCCAAATACTCTAAAGCTGTTTCTGCAATCAGAAAGATTGAAACGAAAGTTAATCATTTTCAAAAAGGCTTGAATTGGAAACTTATCCGTCCACTGGCAAGCCTGAGAAAGCTCAAAAAAATATAAAGTTGAAAAAGTTTATTATAAACTTCCAATTTTTTTCAATTTTTCTAGTGAAGCTTCTTCATATTACACTAGGAAAATAGAATTTATCAAAAATCGATTAATTCATTGAGTAGCTGCCAAGCTGTCTCTCTGACCAGGTGAGCCGCATCCGACTTGAAACTACTTGCGCAAGTGAGCTTATGAAGACTTTAGAGCAATTTTTTCAAGTTTCTAGCCATTCTATCTGCGACCAAGACGTTTTAAGAGGTGACTAGTGAAGTCAAAAAGTCCATTTAAGCAAAGTTTCATCAAAAGTTCGACCGAGGGGGCGGGGGGCGTAAAACAGCTCTAGGGAGTGAACACTATAAAAAAATTGAAACAGTGTTGAGAATATCTAATCCTCAACTTCTAGAAGGCAGAAAATGTCTTTAATATCAAAATTATTATAGGGAAACTCGAAAAAGCTTGTAAACTTTGTTACGGCCAGGATTTCACGATAGATGGAGGATGAATTTTTTTTTTTGAATAGCCACATTTGGAATGGCTTGACACGTAGCGGCTGCGTAGAAATTGCTTGAAAAAAGCGCCGGACCTAGAACTACTCGCGCGTAGTGACATGGAAAAAGTACTGGATCTATAACTTCGACCGCAACGCGACCGCGACGCTTCGAGCCATTCTAAATGCGACTCCGGAATTTTTTTAGTCGTCCTAATGAAGTATAAACTATTAGAAACTTCTATTAAAGATCTGAGATTTTTGGAAAAAAATCGTTAAAAAAACCACCGGAAAGCTCTTGAAAGTAAAGAAATATCAAATTGAAGCTCCGATCTATAATCCCCAACTTCTAGAATTCGAAAAACGTCTGTCAATTCAAAAATATCACGAGGAAACTCGAAAAAGCCTATAATTTTTGCCACGGTAAGGTTTTTACGATAATACTGATGAAGATTTTTTTTTTAGAAGAGCCGCATTTGGAATGGCTTGACACGTAGCGGCTGCGTAGAAATTGCTTGAAAAAAGCGCCGGACCTAGAACTACTCGCGCGTAGTGACATGGAAAAGTACTGGATCTATAACTTCGACCGCAACGCGACCGCGACGCTTCGAGCCATTCTAAATGCGACTCCGGAATTTTTAGTCGTCCTAATGAAGTATAAACTATTAGAAACTTCTATTAAAGATCTGAGATTTTGGAAAAAATCGTTAAAAACCACCGGAAAGCTCTTGAAAGTAAAGAAATATCAAATTGAAGCTCCGATCTATAATCCCCAACTTCTAGAATTCGAAAAACGTCTGTCAATTCAAAAATATCACGAGGAAACTCGAAAAAGCCTATAATTTTTGCCACGGTAAGGTTTTTACGATAATACTGATGAAGATTTTTTTTTTAGAAGAGCCGCATTTGGAATGGCTTGACACGTAGCGGCTGCGTAGAAATTGCTTGAAAAAAAGCGCCGGACCTAGAACTACTCGCGCGTAGTGACATGGAAAAAGTACTGGATCTATAACTACGACGCTACCGCGACGCTTCGAGCCATTCTAAATGCGACTCCGGAATTTTTTTAGTCGTCCTAATGAAGTATAAACTATTAGAAACTTCTATTAAAGATCTGAGATTTTGGAAAAAAATCGTTAAAAAA